GTCAAATCTCCGTAATCCAGAGCCTTTCGAAGGCTCTGACCCTTTAAAGCTTCGTCCTTTCCTCACTCAGTGCTATTTGCATTTTGCTGAACGTCCCTCTGAGTTCACTACGGACTCGGAGAAGATTGTCTACATCCTCTCTTATCTTCGAGGTAATGCCTTGTCGTGGTTTGAACCCCAACTGTTCAGCGACGATCCGGACTCCGTTCCGTACTGGGACGGAAATTTGGAGCTCTTCCTATCAGAGCTTCAGACTACGTTCGGTCCGGCTGATCCGGTTGGTGACGCGGAGGCATCACTCCGCATCTTGAGGATGAAGAGCGAGGACAAGATTACGACCTATGTGATCGAGTTTACTCGACTTGCGTCTCACACCTTCTGGGGTCCGGAAGCCCTCCGATCCCAATTCTACGAAGGTCTCCCTCGACGCATCAAGGACGAGCTTTCTCGCGTCGACTACGCGAACACACTGGTCGGCCTGCGCCTTGCGGCAGTCAAAATCGACACTCGCTATTGGCGACGCAAGGAGGAGATAATCCGCGAGAATAATCTCAAGGATTCCGGAGGGTCTGGCTCCGGTGGCGGTAACCAGAAGGGTGGTGGGAAGAAGTCTGGCGGGTCTAACAACTCGTCGTCTTCGGGATCCAGTTCTTCATCGACTGGAACTTCTGGTTCGTCCAACTCCAACTCCAAAGGCAACAACAACGGCAACAACAAGTCGAACGGGGGCAATAATCGCGCCTCTGGCTCCGGGTCCGGTAACGGAAACAACTCCGGGGGTAAGACTTGACTTTCTCTCACCTTTTGAAGGGTGGCCATCTCAATGCTGCGGAGAAGGAACGACGGATCAAAGAGGGCCTTTGCCTCTATTGTGGAGGTAAGGGTCATACGGCTGACAATTGCAAGAAGCGTCCGGCCAATGCTCAGGCCAAAGCTTCGACCACGGAGGCTGCTCCTGCCTCCGACGCTGCCGAGTCAAAAAAATAGACAGCAGCCCTGATGCCTCTGCACTCCATCAGGGTTGCGTTGACTCTGGCAGTGCCCCTACTTGGCCCGAGGCTTTTCTCAACGCTTCCTCTCTTTCCCCTAACGCTCTTAATCTCGACTTATTCTCTGCTGTGGACGCCCTCGGACCTCTTTCGGAGTCGCTATCCGGACCCGAGCGTATTCAACCACGCATATTTCTGTACTCTCTTCACTTGCCGCGGGATTCAACTCCCGCTTACGGACACTCATCGACTCTGGCTCCTCTCACTGTTTTATATCTGCTCAGGCGTGTAAAATATATGGTTTTGTGCCTTACTCGATCGCGCCCGTTAAGCTCCGATATCTCGACGGCTCTAGTTCTATCATTCGGAGCCAAGTCCGGCTACCGATTCTTTTCCCTTCTGGCGACATTCAAATCTTGGACTTCTATGTCACTCGTCTTGATCCTCCTAGTCAACTGGTTCTTGGATACAACTGGCTGCACCGCTTCAATCCGTTGATTGACTGGTCCGCAGGCAGTATCTCTTTCCGTTCCACTACTCCTAGTGATCCTGTGTCGACACCACTGGCGACTACGCCTGTCTTGGTTCAGAAACCATCCTCTACGGACGACACTCCGGCGGACACCGTTCCGGCCCCTTCGTCGTCTCTGAACACTCCCTTGTCGCCTCCTCCTGTCTTGCTTCCTTCTATGGAGTCTGATCCTTCTATGGATTCGGCCTCTAGTCAAGGCACTACACCCTTTTCGGCCCCTCACATCTCTCTTGTCTCAGCTGCGGCTTATTCGGCAGCTATTCGTCAAGAAGGTACCGTTCAGTATACCTTACGGACCACCGTTCCGACGGTCCGTGGTAATGCGGCTTCTGCATCTGGCCCGCCTGACGGACTCCCTTCCGAATACCATGACTACGCTGAAGTCTTTTCAGAGACTGAAGCTTATAATCTGCCACCGCATAGAGAGTTCGACTTGCACATCGAGACTGAGGACGGAGCTGTTCCGCCTATCGGACACCTTTACTCTATCTCTCAAGCCGAGCTCGAAGCCTTACGGACTTCATCGACAAGAATCTCAAGGCGGGCTTCATTTATCCGTCTAAATCCTCTCATGGTGCTCCGATCCTATTCGCTAAGAAGAAGGACGGCTCTCTTCGACTTTGTGTCGACTACCGTGGTCTCAATCGTATCACTAAACGCGACCGCTATCCGCTTCCGCTCATTTCCGATCTCCTTGACGCTCCGGGTCGAGCTAGGATCTATACGAGCTGGACTTGCGTCACGCTTACCACTTGCTCCGCATAGCGGAGGGTGACGAGTGGAAAACAGCGTTTCGCTCACGGTATGGTTCTTACGAATGGAGGGTTGTTCCTGAAGGCCTCATGAACGCGCCTTCGGCTTTTCAACGCTCGTCAATAGCCTCTTCGCGGATATGTTGGATGTGTGCGTCATTGTTTACCTTGACGACATACTAATCTATTCGGACAACCCCTCCGAGCACCGCAAACATGTACGGGAGGTACTCCGACGCTTACGCGACGCTGGACTTTATTGCAAACTATCTAAGTGCGAGTTCAGTGTGGAGTCTTGTGAGTACTTGGGCTATATCCTTTCACCTGATGGTTTCCGGATGTCTCCGGAGAAAGTTGCGGCTATCGTCGACTGGCCTGTGCCACGCAAGGTCAAAGACGTACAGTCTTTTCTTGGGTTCTGTAATTTCTATCGGCGTTTCATTCCTTACTACTCCGACACTACCGTTCCGTTGACTCGTCTCACACGAGCCAATACCAAGTGGAACTGGTCGGAGGACTGCGAGGCGGCGTTTAATACGCTTAAGAATGCCTTTAAACAGTCCCCAATACTTCACCATTGGGTGCCTGGTCGGCAAATTACTGTCGAAACGGACGCCTCCGACTATGCCATCGCCTCTATCCTCTCTATCAACGGGGATGACGGCGACATTCATCCGGTTGCCTTCCGCAGCCGAACCCTTGGTCCAGCCGAACTCAACTACGACGTGCACGACAAAGAGTTGTTGGCCATCTTCGATGCCTTCACTATCTGGCGCCACTATCTGGAGGGCGCTCCGCTTCCGATCGATGTCGTTACCGATCACAAGAATCTTGAGTACTTCTCTACTACCAAGATTCTTACTCGTCGTCAGGTCCGCTGGTCCGAGTACCTTTGCCATTTTAACATGGTAATCCGCTTCCGTCCGGGCCGTCTGGGCGGAAAACCCGATGCGTTAACTAGACGATGGGACGTCTACCCTAAAGAGGGGGATAATGATTACCGTAAGGTTAATCCGCAAAATTTGCGCCCAATTTTCGCTACTGAACAACTCACAACGTCTCTACGCGCATCGTATCTCGAGGATGTTGTCCTCCGAGCAACGGTCGTAATGGATACTGAGAAGCTGCACACAGACATCCTCGCAGCTCTTCCGGACGACTCCGCTGCTTCCGCTGGTCTAAAGGCTGCAAAGTCAGGTTCTTCTTCGCGCTGGTCTGTTGACGATTCAGGTCTTCTACGACTTGATGACCGTATCTATGTCCCTTTGGTCGGAACCGGCTCCGGCTCCGATGCATTGCGGGTACGTGTCCTTCAACATAAACACGACCATATTCTTTCTGGCCATTTCGGGCAAAATCGCACTCTCGAACTCGTACGACGCGACTATACCTGGCCGGAGTTGCGGACCTTCGTCCGTGACTATGTGCAATCTTGCGTTCTCTGTAAACGCAACAAGAAGCCTCGACATAAACCGTTTGGGTTACTTAAACCCCTTCCGGTGCCGGAACGACCTTGGCATTCTATTTCGATGGATTTCATCGAGGGCTTACCAAAATCTGGCGAGTTTGACTCTATTCTAGTCATTGTTGATCGTGCCTCCAAACAGGCTATCTTCATTCCTTGCGACAAACACGTCAACTCAAAAGATCTAGCCCACTTCTTCCTTATTCACGTCTTCTCTAAACACGGAGTCCCTTCCCATGTGTCCTCTGACCGTGGATCGGAATTCGTGTCCGCTTTCTTCCGGTCATTAGGCGAGTTACTCAACATGGAGCTACACTACACTTCGGGTTGGCATCCGTCAGCTAACGGACAGGTTGAGCGCGCTAACCAAACGCTCGAACAATTCATCCGCATGTACGTCTCGTATCAGCAAGACGACTGGGACCGCCTGCTTCCGCTTGCCGAGTTCGCCTACAACAACGCACCTAACGCGTCAACCGGAGTCTCTCCGTTCTTCGCTAACAAAGGCTACAATCCATCTCTTACCATTCATCCTGAACGAGATGTGGCTAATGTTTACGCCAAGGACTACGTCGTTGACTTGGAATCCCTTCACGAGTTTCTTCGAAAACAGATCTCCTCCGCTCAGGAGCGGTACAAAGAGACGGCAGACGGCAAGCGCACTCCGGATCCGATCTTCGAGGTTGGTGAAAGTGTCTACGTTAGCGCTGAACATATTTCTACCACACGCCCTACCGCCAAATTCTCTGAGCAGTACCTTGGACCTTACGAGATCATTGGCCAAACCCTCCTCCGCTTCCTATACGCTCCGCTTGCCTCAAAAGCTTCGCGGAGTCCATCCGGTCTTTCACGTCTCTCAACTCGAAAAAGCACTATCCCAATCCGTTCCCTACTCGTACGGACGAGCCTCCGGCTGCGGTTGAAGTCGATGGTGAACAACACTTCGAGGTAAAAGCTGTGGTTGACTCTAAAATTGACCGTCGCTACCGGGTTCAGCTCCGGTACTACGTGGAGTGGTTGGGCTACGAAGATACTGACGAGCAGTATACGTGGGTTGGCGCTGACGACTTAGAAGCTCAAGAGCTTATCGACAGCTTCCACCGCCAACACCCGGACAAGCCTGGGCCGGACTACTAGCCTTTTCGGATTCCCTCCGGTTTTTTGCTTACTCGCTCACTCACTCACACTCGTTTCGGACTCATTGCGGATTCTATTCTATATACAAAGGCCATTTTTCTATCTACAATTGGCCGTTCTGCTACCTACTTCTTCTTGCTAGGCCCGGTCTTCTTCTCCTGAGCCTTCTCCTGCTCCTTTCCCTTCTTCTTGTTCTCCCGTCGGCGCTCGTTCTTCCTGGCGGTTTGCTTACGCCTCTTCTCGCGCTTCCGCTCCGCCCGTTCCCACTCCGAAAGCCGCCGTGACTCGGCGATGTCGAGCGGATCGGGGATCCGGATGACTGGTGGCACCCAGTTGGGCACCGCTATCGTCGCAGGGGCACGACGGGCCCGGACCTTCTCCAGGTGAGCTTTCCGCTCGCTGCTTCCCCTTGCCTTTTTGTCCACTTCGGACTCCTCCTCCTCCTCCTCCGACGACTCCTTCGAGCCCCCATCCACGGACTCCTCCGCCTCGTCGTCGATGAACGACGGCAACTCGTCGTCGAACAACGACAGGATTTGCGCGCGGGCCAGAGCCCTTGCGGAAGATCCTCCGGCGTTGGCGCACCGGTTGCTCGACCTCGTCGTCGTCGCTCGACTCGACGACCGGAGTCTCCGCCCGCTGACGCTTTCGCGCCCTCTCCCTCGCCGCGTCTGCCTCCATCTCGTCAACCAGACGGCGGAGCTCCTCCTTATAGGCGCGCTCGTTGGCGGCCTGAGGACTTTCCGCCTCTGGCGACTCCTCCCTCAGCCCACTCCCTTCGCCCTCCTGTCCTTCCGGCTCCGGCGACTCCGACCCAATGTCTCCACGGGCCACTCTCGCTCTCAGCTCGTGGAGCGCCTTCGACAGCGTAATGAGATGCTGCCCCTGCTCGTTCGCCAGTTGGGTGAGCATCTCCGTCTTCTCCTGGCTCGCTTTGAGCTCGGAGCGGCTCCGCTCGAGCAACTCGCGATGCTCTTTTGATAGGCCAGCTTCGCTAAGTCGAAGGTCAGTTTGGATTCACTCCGTTGGCTGCTTCACGCACCCTTTTGGTCTTACGACCCTTTTGGCCTTCGGAGGCTTTCCGGGCCAGTCGCAGGCGGCCTTGGCGTCCACGCATTCAACGCACGACGACGCGTTGGTTTTCGTCACCGGCTGGTCCACGCACTCCAGCTCCTTCTTGACGCAGCGATAACAGGCTACAAAACGGTTAGTTATTCCTCCGTACGCTCCGCAACGGAGTATTTACGGATGGCGCGCAACGACATGGTGGTGGTGGTAGAGAGGAGAGAGTTTGGGTCCGCCATCACGAAATCCCACGGCCTTATATACCACGAATCCGGCACTCTCCGACAAACTTTTGATCATCGCCTCCGTTTCCGCCAATTCCTTTGCTGCGCCAAGCTGCGGCCCTGCAGCCATTTAATTTTAAACTTCCGCAGGGTTTCCATCGAATCTTCTGGGCTCTCGCAGGCCTCGTGCCTAAGAGGGGGATACTGTCATATCCGTGCATCCGTCATGTGCCGCGGCCCGCGGACCGGTCACGGTCCGCCGGGTTCCGGCCCGATCCGATCCGGTCGCTCCGGCGACCTTGTACTCTGTATGTCTTTCGCCTTGTTACTTATATCTCCGTATGTCCTTATGCTTGTTACTTTCCATATGCACTCCGTACCTTGTACTTACTTATGGTCTTCCCTTTCTACTTACTTGTAGTATTTAAGCAGCTAAAGTAGCTACGGTACTTTAGCTTGATTATAAACGTTACTTGCACTCCTCCTCTGTGCGGAACGACTCCGAAAACTCTTCTCTCTTCTCTTGTCCTTCAACCGGACTTCACTCCGCTCGCGGACCTTGCTCCGCTCCGACTCCGCTCCGGTCCGGTTGGTCTTGTGTTCATTCGTGTCAGGCAGCTACTGGCTTGTTAGCTATAGTAGAAACCCCCTCTGTTCTGCACGGCACTTGACACTCGTGCCGTTTCCGTTTGATGATAGAACCAGTAAACGTATACATAGGGAAAAAGTTTGGCGTGGTTATTAACGGCGTGTTGCAGGAACTGCTCGTAGAAATATATGGTCGTTTCCACAAGTCGAATTAATTCCGGGAGGGGCGTTAAAATGCTGACCGCGGTAATCTCTGGCCGGCCACTGCTTATCGCGGACGATACGCTTATTGCCCACTACGAACTCCAGTCGTTGCCCATCCGGGTGTCGCTCCAGTCGTCTATCCCGCAGCTGAGATAACGGTCCTACGTTGATGATGTCGGAAACTTCCCGTAATGCAAGTAGGCAAGCGTGACACTGAGTGGTTGTGGGTTTGAAGGACGTGATGTAAGTGTGGAGGGTAATGCCCATGCTGCCTGGGTTATGGCGCTTCAAGAACTCGAACACTTCTTGCCCATGCGTCTCCATGGACTGCCCAGCATACTTCTCCGCATCCCAGTCATCGCTCATGGCCACATCATCGTCTACATCGACTTCCCCTGTTACGAATGTGTCGGGAGACAGCAACGCCGAAGCAGCCGTGCTGCTGGTATCGCCAGAAGGATAATCGAGGTGGGTCGTATGATCGTATGGTCCCATGATAGAACCTATAACCGGGTTCGAAAGCATTGAAGCGAATATCTTTGCGGTCCCAGACCAAAGGCTCCAACGGCCACGAGTGATGCGCCGGGTTATCGGTGATGATGGCAAAACCCACATTCGAAGAAGAGCTCGAAGACGACTGCACAGGAAGGGTGGTGACAGGAGGATGTTCCAAGGCGTTGGTGTTGGACGTCGCGAAAGTGCTGGGATCTGTCCAGAACCAGTTCTCAGCCCTTGAAGTTGATGAGCAAGGAGCCGGCATTTTGAAGGTAAAGACGTACGCAGCCACTTTCTTTTTCCACTCCTGAACGTCTCGCATCATTCGCTCGTCGGTTGGGTCCGGTTCTTTGTTCAAGAACCGAGCCAGCTCCTCCGCATCTGAGGTCTTATAGGCATGTGCTTCCGTTAACTGCTGCCACGCTCGTTTGAAGTGCTCCCGCCCAAGTTTCTTCCACCTTCGGCACATTCGGACAAAATTCTTCATCGTAGGGTCGTGGATGGTCGATTAGACGAATAAGCTCCTCCAAAATCTCTTCCCAAAGACGTTTAGCACCTCGATAGTCCCCAATTCGTCGGCATTCTTGGCATAGCATCATCTTTGCGCGGATTCCCTCGCAAGATTCGCCAGTGATATCATCCGACGAAGAAGACTCGCTGTCCGAGACCAAGACATGGTCCAGCGGCGTAAGGTCGTGGCGGAACGGAAATGCGAAAAGTGGTGGAGGCATGCGCAAATCTGGTTCTGGAGAAGTAGGTGGGGACTTCTTCCACCATGAAGGCATTCCTGAGGGTCTTCTAGCGTCATGATCAGATTCTGAATCTGAAGAAAGAGCATTGAGAAAGTCACTCATCCTTTCTCTATCCTGCTCTTTCTCCTTACCTTTACCTTTTCTTTCTTTGAACCTATGTCTAGCCTTACTTGTAGAGGCATAAGGTCCTTGTGATCTTTGGTTCTCTTCATCCTGCATATATGCAGCATATGCTTCAGTGTAGGAGTGGGTGTCTGGCATGTCAAATGAATCCCAGGCAGTCATGTTATCAATGAGTGAAGGTGGTGATGGATGAATATTGGTAATGGTTGTGTATAGGTTTGGAGAGTTTAATGGATAGCAGATGTTACACCAATTAAAATCCCCCTCGCGGTGGGCTCCAATGATGTCGAGTGGAAAATTTGTTTTCCTACGTAAAGCTCTGGGAGCGACTTTGTCCAAGAACTCCACGTAAAGTTCGTGGGATTTGTTGAGGTGTGTTTGTTGGGAAAAGTAGCAGAATGTGAAAGAGAGATCAAGTGAGATCAGAGACAGCAGACTAATGAAGGGTCAACTTAATGAGTGTTCAAATAGCCTGACTAGGTGCCTGAATCAAACAATTCTTCTAATTCACAAAAGTGCACTGGTGAGGTCTTGAAACTGGGAGAGGTTGGGAGTAGATAATCCTGAAAGCACAAGGTCACAGGCAATATCTGGAAGGCTGGGTAGTTAATCCTGCAAGCACAAGGTCACAGGCAATAACTGGTCGTTGGGGGTAGATAATTCTGCAAGCACCGGGAAGCAGACAATATCTTGTAGTCGTGGCGAATAATCCTGCAAGCACAAGGTCACAGGCAATATTCCGTAGTCTTGGTGAATAATTCTGCAAGCACTAGGTCACAGACAATATTCAGTATCTTGGTAGTTAATCCTGCAAGCACAAGGTCACAGGCAATAACTCGTAGTTCTTGGGTAGATAATTCTGCAAGCACCGGGAAGCAGACAATATCTCGTGGTCTTGGTGAATAATCATCCTGCAAGCACAAGGTCACAGGCAATATTCCGTAATACGTGAGGTAGATAATCCTGCAAGCACAAGGTCACAGGCAATATCCCCTAATACTTGTTGATTGCAACGGTCTAATCTTCTTGATTTCCGTTCCACAACCAAAGATAGATACTTGAGTTCTTGGGGATGATAAAAGCAACTAATTCAGATCACCAATCGTTGATGATATCAGTGGCTTATCAGAAAATGATGGTGGGGATGATAAAATGTGATTTCAGTCCAAACACTATACAGGTGCTTATACTTGAAATTACAAGTGAGGGAGATCAGATGGGGAGTGGTTGAGATCAAAAAGGGGATCAAAGTGAGGTGTCCGGTTGGCTCAGAGAGCTGCTCCTTATATAGCTTTTGGAGTCCTGCTGACATAAGCCCTTGAAATGACTCCAAATGACTTGGCATCAGTCTGAGTCAGATTGAGTCATATCAGTTTTTGATGATGTTGATATCATTGATAGCATCAATAAATGCGCATTTTGGCCAAGTTGGTGTCCAAACTTGATGAAACTCGTTTTGTTGATACAACCTGTCTAATCAGTGATGGCACTGATGGGATCAATGATCATATCGCCCAGAACATGTTTTGTTCCAAATATTCCAAGGAGCATTTTGATTCTATCACTGATGACATCATTGATCCTTTGATGGCCGCTTTGTCAGCTACCCTTGACTGCTATCCACTTCTTGTCCAGCTTTCTTTCATTTAGAAAGGATCTCATAAGTACTAGAGTTTTTCCTCTTCTTGATAAACCATTTCATGGCCTGACAACGGTCTCGGACTGTAGCACAGGCCGCTCTGGGTGTGCGTCCTCAGCGGAAAGCACGAACACGTGCAGCACCAGATGAAGATCATCCAGAGCAACGCAAGAGCAAGCGGGCTAGGTGCGCAATTTCCTTTTATGGTCTTTCTTGAACTTAAGTCGCAACCTAGAGCTTAAGCATATAGGGAACTTAACTTCCTGCCTTGAACTTAAGTTGTCTTGTACAATATCACATACTGCTATAGATGGCTTGGAATGTACTGTACAACTTAAGTTGTGTAGCTACTTAAGTAATAAATATGGTTGAAGCAGGTAGATCTTAAGATAAGCTAATAAATTATTTGAGAGTGAACATTGGTAAGCGAATACAAATGAAGCTGACCTAGCAGGGGAGGATCCGAAGAGGAAGAAACTCTAAGGGTCCGCCTGCTAGGTAGCTGACTATATACTGCTTGTCCGTAGCTGCCGCTGTCGGGCACAGAAGGCTTGGGCGGCGTCGCAGGCGAGGTCCCAGGGCGACCGTCGGGAGGGCGTTGACGGATCGGTGATTGTGCGGACGAGATGGAGGGCCGGACCGGAGTCGGAACCGGAGTCGGACCGGAATCGGGCGCGTCTCCGGGCCGAAAGGGAGGTTCCCCTGACACTACCATACACATGATGTAAAGGCCAAATAACAGGACTAAACAAACAAACAGACAAGATGATGGAATTCGAAGACTAGAGTACAAGACGAAATCTACTCTACTTATATACACTACTACCATGTGTTTACCATGTCTAATACGAGAGGCAATGACGTCATACTTTAGCCATGCCTTTACATGCTGTTTGCCTCATGTCCAACTCCACGCTGTCAATCAACATCAGCATCGACATCTGATGATCCAATCACCATCTTATCGTCCATCTTATCTCCTCCTTGTCTTATCTTATCAACCAGGGCCAAAATAAAAGGTTTAAAGGGCGAAGAAAAAGGGTTTTTAAACCCAGGGTTTGACAGTCCGAGCGCTGATAAGCCGCAGTCTGGGACAGACCAGGAAACGATTATTTTTGTCGATTTTGTTGCTCAGCGCACGTCTCAGAGTTGACATGAGTCCCGAATGGTCAACTAGGGAATTACCTGCACAAGAACTAGTCAAACTCCAGTCAAAGTCTATCAAATCGCTCTTAGTGATTCCAAAATCTTGACTAGGAAAAGTTCGCAGAGCCCGTTCCTCGCTAGAATCTATCCAATTCTATGCAAAATACCCAAAGGGAGTGTATCCTAAAAGGCATATTCGGTTTGGCGCTCAGTGGAGACTCGAGATCGACTTCTCCTAGATAAGGGACACCCCTATCTCTGTTGGTATCGACGACTGACATCATTGGAACGTGGTTTCGGATCATGCTGGAGGATCGAGAGTACCAAGGGACGGTTAAACGGCGAAAACCTACTCAATTGATTGGGGCCTGGACCTGTGATCAACGGCGACTCTAAAACACTGTCGAGGAACTGATCATCTGAACATTGGAAATGCGCCAGGAGAGTTGGGACAACCACCGCTGAGGCCATACGCATAAGATACGAGTTATGGGTGTCAATCAAAAGCTGGGAAGCAGAGCTGTCCACTTATCCTACTTAAGATCGAGGGATTCTTCACAAGGCAAACTAGATGGTCGCGAACACGGAAGATTTACACAGGTCATTGACTCCAATACACGCGATACCAGTCATCTGGACCTGGATTTTTGACTCTGGGCCATATGGCAAAACGATACCTATACAATTATGCACATGGACGACTTTTCTTACTCGAGATTTTCCCTGATTCTATCAATTTCTGTTTAGTATTTATATCTCTGTTTTGTATTTGGCAGGTTCACGGATTGCCCCGCTCTACTAGGTGCATCTGGGGATCTAGCTCGTCAATCTATCTTGCTAGCTCTTTCGAAATAGTATCATCGCGTCGGAAGGATTATTGGTTGAGGGTTTCAGTTGCTGAATACAAGAGTTCCGGTTGCTGTTTATTGGCTTTCGGTTGCTGGTCGAGAGTTTAAGGCAGTTAGTTCCTGACTCAAGACAACTCAGAGGGTTTAAGGCAGTTAGTCCTGATCCAACAAGTATAAACTCTCCGGGCATCGTATTGGCACTTCTCTATTGCTGAGTTTCGTCGATATAGTACGCTTTGGGGCACAACAAATCAATGTTTTTCGCAAGAAACTTGTATCTACCCTACAACCTTACACATCTGTGCCAAGGCTCTGTTCACAGGGGCCTGTACTTGCACAAGGAGCTGACGATTTTTGGGTTTTTGTGACTTTTCCTACTCGACATTATACATCTTTCTCTCTACGAAAAGTGGAGTTTTGGTTGTTTTTGTTGATTTGGTTAGTTAGAGAGCTCATTTGCTGTCCCCACTCCGCACTCATCAGCGCATCCGACCGGCACCCCCTCGGACGCTCCGACCCACCCCCGACCCTCAGCTTCGGCCTCCTTCACCTGTACAATCACCGATCTGTCAAGACCCTCCTAACGATCACCTTGGGACAGAGCCTGCGACGCCGCTCAGGCCTTCTGTGCTCTACGTTGGTAGTTACGTACGACCAGTATATAAGTTGGCGCCCTAGCAGGCGGGCCCTTAGAGTTTCTTCTCTTTGGATCCTCCCCTGCTAGGTCGGTCCCTCCATGTATTTCCATAGCTTTTTATTGACGCTTTGGATCCTCCCCTGCTAGGCTTTCGTCGGGGTCTCCAGGGTTGCCCTGTCTAGGAGGTTATTGTGTATCAGTGCTAACAGGGCCTAACATAGATGATATTGCCAAGAGTCTAAGGAAGTACAGAGTGAAGTGATTTGGAAGGGTTAGGTAGAGTGGAGCAGCCAGACAGGTCTGAAAGGGAGGTTCCTCTGATATATTACCAGGACTCTCATCTTAAACCTCTTTATCATTGCCTTTCTTAATTTTTTTATTTTTTAATCCACTGATTTTCCTTTGATTCCTGGGGATGATCATCAGATTCTGTCCTTGTCTGATGATACAAAAAGGCAAATATACTGCTCTAGCTCATCTGAAGGACTTATGCCACTTCAGAACTTATGCCACTTCAGTCTCTAAGGTTATATCTTTGCTTCTATAGTAGAGTGGCAGAACAATTGAGTGGAAGAGTAATATAGATCCTGTCTAGCAGTAATACAGTATTTTAAAAAAACAGGCCTCTAGAGTATGTAACTTATTATGACCAACTTGAAGTGCTTGGGTGGGCGCGTGACATATGACCGTGATGTGACTTCCATCAAACAAGCTTGATTCAGTAACTCCTTTGCCCAACCTTCACCTCATCTTCCATTTGTTCCAATCGTCGTTGTCCAGGCAAATTTCCCATTTTTTGCACAGTATGCAAGCGTTGAAATGCGTGGTTGTCGGAGACGGTGCGGTCGGCAAGGCGCGTTTAAAATGGTCGTCGTTTTACAGCTCTTTCGACTGACATCTTGGCCTCGGCCTCCCAGACTTGTTTGCTCATTTCCTATACTACCAACGCCTTTCCGGTATGTCCTTCTCAACTCTGCTTTCTCGCTGTATCACGGTCTCACAAACTTTCAGGGTGAATACATCCCTACTGGTCCGTATCCCACAATACCTTCGTACAAGTCCTCGCCTTGACGCTACTCAGTGTTCGATAACTACTCTGCAAACGTTATGGTCGACGGCAAGACCATCTCTCTTGGGCTTTGGGATACCGCTGGGCAGGAGGACTACGACCGACTCCGCCCTCTGTCGTACCCTCAAACGGACGTTTTCTTGATCTGCTTCTCCCTCGTCAGCCCGCCCAGTTACGAGAACGTGAGGACCAAGGTAGGTGTTGCGGAACTTAGTTCTAACGGATGTCTGACTATGTCTCAGTGGTTTCCCGAGATTTCCCATCATGCTCCGTCGACTTCCATTGTGTTGGTTGGAACCAAGCTCGACTTGCGTGAGGACCCAGCGACCATTGAGAAGTTGCGCGACCGGTATGGATCACTCGCTCTATTACCTGTTGATGCTCAACTGAGTCGTCAGTCGCATGGCCCCCATCCAATATAATCAGGGTGTCGCCATGTCTAAGGATATCGGAGCAGTCAAGTATCTGGAGTGTTCTGCCTTGACTCAGAAGGGACTGAAGGTCAGTGCCGTTTACCTCAAACGTGTCAGACCATGCTGAATGTCGTTGGACAGACCGTGTTTGACGAGGCGATCCGAGCAGTCTGTGAGTTGATGATGTGCGACTGATTCTGACAACCGCCTAATGATATTGTTAGTAAACCCACCTCCCCGCCAGAAGCCGGCCAAGTCTGGAAGCAAGTGTGTCATTGCTTAGAGAAGGGACCACAGAGAGAAATATACGACGGCAATTCCTCTTTTTCTTCATGTTTACTTCACGATTTTATGCTTCGATTCTGTCAATGATTTTGTATCTTGTGGTAGTGTGACATCTCCTAGAGAAACCCATCCATGTTGTTCAGCTACTAGTCGTCCATGTCGGGCAACCTAGACCCACGGCGAACTTCGCTCGACACCCAGGCCTCTGGCCTCAACTCGGTGCTCTCTTTCAGCGGGTTTTCACATCACTTTCCGGCTCCACCGACCTCCGTGCCAGCCAGCCCTGTCTCTGGCTTATTTCCCCGTACTCCCGTTTCCCAGACTGGCAACTCCTCCAGGCTACGAGAAGGGTCAATAACAGCATACGACTGGCATGAAGGAGCTTCCTCCATCGATGTTGATGCGACCGAACACTCTCTCCTCTCAACTTCATTCATTACCGGCCTTCTGCGAGATGCAGACCCAGCGGCCACGACGCGTACCAGCCATCGTTCGTCTTGTTATTCCTTTTCTTTGTTTAAATGGACTGAAAACTACTCCAGGCGCTTCATTGGCTAGCGACTTCAGCGAAATGACATATCCTCCTCCTCGCACTCAACCATCTACCCGTCTACCCCCTTCACAACGACCACAAGGAGCGCGACCGCCACCCAGCTCTTTTAATCCCATCCCCGAGGCTGCCGTACCATTGTCAGACGACGAAACAGACTATACATACTTTGACGAAGGGCGCCCTGGAGCTCATTCCCGTGGTACCAATGCGGACAGTTCATCGAAAGTTGGTTCATCTGCTCCTTCTTATGGCATGAAGGGTGTCGCAGACTATACTCCATTCAGCCCTGCACTTCCCTCAGCGACAGGCTCTCGCCAACGAATTTTGGCTCAAGCTGCTGCTCCTCCCGAAGCCCGTGTGTCAATGCACTCCAATCGGAGTCGACGTAGCGTCGTTCCTTCATTCATCTCTGCTTCAAGCAGGTCCATCCGCAAAGCCTTTGTTTGGAGGAAAAAACCATTACCCCCGATACCCAAGATCCCTCACATTCCGCTCGCCGACGAAGCCGAATTCAAGCAGAAAGAAGAGTCAACGTCGTTATCCCAACTTCTCCTCAGATCAGACGCCCTTCGAAATGCCTTGGACAGTGGTCAACATCCTCACAATAGCCTGCTATCCAAGTCTCCAGCGTTTTTCCACGAAGCCGAGCAAAGTCCTTCCTTCCGTCGGTCACCGAAACCAGGCAAACCTGCTGCTTACTGGAATCAAATACCGTCCTCAACCCCAGTCCCGACGACGAACGAGAACGCCAGTCTAATTAAAAGAAGGCGACTGTTCCTAATCATGCTCTTATTCACAATAGTAGCATTAGGTGCAGTCGGCGCTGCCATTGGTGTGACAGTGCACAATCGTAACTCTAAACCCAAGACTGTCGCCTGTAGTGGGAACTTGGCTGGTGCGGCTTGCAATCTTGGTACGATTCTACTTTGAGTTGTTCATCACCGGCCCTCACCACGTTCAGATGCAACCTGCGTTTGCACATCACCCGTCGCCAATCGATGTGATGGTCTTGCCCAGAATCTAGGTATGAATCACCTGCACATCAACGCGCCACTTATCGTCATAATAGTGAACCTGACACCTACTATGAATCAACTCTTTGGCACTAACTACACGGCAAACGATGTATTCCTCTGGATATGGACTTCACAGGGAACACTCGCAACCAAGAACTGTGCCTCTCAAGCTGTTCTGGTTGATGTTGGCGCCACCTCTGCCTTGACTAACTTCGCCAATCGTACTTTGTGGGCGCAGTCAGCACTTCTTTGGGATCTCCAAAGTCTCAACAATACCGCATTGCGTGAATTTGTACTCAATGCTCCCTGGGAAATCTTGACCGTTGACGGTCCCGTTCATGAATCTAATGCGTCCTTTTTTTCCACGACCGCATCAGGCTATAATTTCGACTTTGCTGCGCAAACTATCACTGTTCCGCCAGTGTCATTTACAACTGATGGTGCTCCTACCTCCGCGCAGGCCGCCCAAGTCGCGAGTACCGCTCCATTAGACCGCATGTACAGCTTTGCTGCAGGTAAATCACTAAAAGATTACCAAAACCGCCCCTTACGCCTTTTTAGCCTCTGCAGCGCAGTACAAAGGTTTATTAAGCTCTTACTGGGTCACCAATTTGCAACGAACTCTGGACAAACTCCCCCTGTTCATGTCGTCTCTTCGCAGTAGGTCCAACCTTTGCTCTCTCTTTCTTGAGACTAACGATCGATCTCAGATGCTCCGATTATGATTCCTTTTGATATCGAAAGCAGTTCTGTGCGGTCACTCCTCTCATCATCGACGTTCCCTGTCCCTATCGCTTGCTATCCTGGTCTCACAACGACACAATTGCAACAAATCAACAAGATCGAGAGTGTTTTCGGATTGAATTCAGTGGCCTCCGTTGCCCCCAAGTTTGATCCCTCGTGTTTTTCTACGCGGCCCACCTACGGAATCCTTGATATCCTGCGACTAAGGCTTCCTTTCCCTGATTCGAGGACAAAGGTAGCACGACAAGCGGTGTCTTTGCATGCCGATGTAGGACCTCGCGCGATCATCTACAGCGGAGAGGTGCTTTCTGCTTTGCCCGGAAGCAGCAATACGACGGCGGTCTCTGTTGACCCTGCTTCATACGGAACACTCAACCATCTCGAACATGTCATCTTGAAGTATCTGAGTGGAATGGACACTCTAATAGCCAATGCCATTGTGGACTTTGTGTTGTCCAACTCGACAGTACCGCCAAGCGCAACATCGATACTGGGATCGACTACGGTTCCTCTGTTGGAGGTCGCTGTATTTGGTACGATCTCGAAGGCGGATTTGAATCTGGTTGCTTCTGGCCTAGCCGACTCGGGGGGCTCATTGGTATTTGGAGCTTCAGATGGGCTTGCGTTGCGGCAATGGGCTATCCCTACTGTGGGAAACCTTATTTGGACAGAGTTTTCTGGTTCTTCGTCGATTGTCCACGACACCACCACCTCCGCCCCATTCAATCAGACTTGGGCAGCGGCTGCTGGTGCTCTCGCTGATGGAAAAGTCGTTGGGGTCAGCAACATCACAAATGCTTTCATGTCGACTGGTCTCTTCACTAGCTCATGACACTCTCTAATATCATCCATTCCTTTGTGAATTACGTACATATTTCTGCCTTGCTCTGGCTATATCTTTATTAGCTCACATGTATTGGTATTTGTGGAACGCATTTTTCGGATCAATCCGTCGGTCGTCTGACAAAGGCCGTCGGCTTGATGCCAGATTTGCTCTTGTCTCAACACTCTCATGCCAAAGGCACCTCCGACCTCGACATTCGCTGGCCAAGTTCCTCAACCACTAAAGCGAAATCAGGCACGCTCTCCAGAATTAGGTTTGTACTATGATGGTTAACCACAACTAGGCCTGCCACCAGTGCCGACGTCGTAAACTTGTGAGCTTTGTGTTTATTTGTTTTTACGCGTCCTTATCTCCTTAGAAATGGTGACAGCCCTCTTGCACAACAGTCTTCTTCCAGAGCTAATATTTTGCTCAGTGACGCAAAGCGTCCTGCCTGTTCAACTTGCATTCGATCTCATGCACACGCCCTCTCCCATGCCCCACCAGGTACTCAGTCCCAATTACCGCCGGAGCCAGAATGCACTTTCGACGATAGTACGCTCCTGAACCCAACCTCCTTCTTTACATAGTACTGAAAATTGGTTCTAGTTGTTGATCCTCCCATTCTGACGGAACTCTCCAAAACTCAGAAGCTTGAAAGCCGCATTCAAGAACTGGAATCCCTCTTATTAGAAAAAGAACTCAAAAGCTCAAGCATGTCACCTCCGTCCTCTATGAAGGAAACACTCGGTAATGATATTGATATCATGGCGAGCGCTTTATCCCAAACTCCACCATTCGAACTTCCTGTGCTAGCCAGCTCGTCAGACGGCTCACCCAAGTCGGGAACGGGGCTTGAGATGATATGGCCAAACTATCCTCCCGGTATTCCCAATCCTGAGCTACTTCGACATCTTGTCGAGGTCTTTTTCGTATTCCATCCCCATGCAAAACGGGTTGTTCACTATCCGAGCTTCATGGCAGCCCTTTCTCTGTCCCCAAGCCACCCCAAGTTCCCCATCGCCTCTATCTTACATGCTATCTGTGCCGTCGGTGCTTTATATACCGCGGCCGTCACATCTCCGCCCTTACCCGACTTCTCCGCCGAGTCTCCTGACGAAATCTTCTCCCAACGGCAAAGACTGAGAGAGGGACGGCCAGACTCGTTCGCTGAGCAGCAAGCCAAATACGCACGAGACACCTCCGATGAAATCGAGGCAGTCGGAGACAGACTGCTGGAAGTGATGCAAGGTAACAGCCTTCGTGTTCCGCTCTTCCAGAATTCACTCACTTGGCTTACTACAGCCCGTACCATCTTGACTTGGTTCTACTGGTCACATTCAAGGCTAGCCTCTGAGAAATATTATCTCATTCTTATCAACACGTCCTAGATGGCTAGAGGTTTTTATTCAATCTGCGCACTGTTTGCGAACAGCTGTTCCTCTAGGGTTGAACGTATGCCCCCCTTGTAGGTCATCCCGCAACTCAACTGCTCTGCGTCGTTGATATTCTCCCTCAGTTCACTCCATCACCCACTCGGTATGTTGCTCCATCTTTCTCGTGTCAGTTGTCATCGAACTTGGCCTTAGCATCGCCCGGCCTCCATTCTTTCACCCGCTCCCACGGTAAGGATCTCGTCTTCGACAATTCTCTGCTGACCTTGGCCCGCAGGTGATAGATGATGAAACTCGAAGAAATCTGTTCTGGTTGGCCTATTGCACGTGAGTTATATCACACTTGGATGGGTTTTCAAAAGCTGATAAAAATTCCAATAGAGAGAGGTTACATGGCTGTAGCAACGGATGGGCCATGTCGATGGACGATCAAGACGTGTCGCAACTCCTCCCTGTCCGTGGCGACCACTTTGAGAAAGGTGTGCTTGTGACTCCCCATCATCGACAATGGGCGCAGACTCGAGATGTGATTGTTGTTCACCCTGAAGACCAAACGGACTCGTACGCCAATCAGCTCTTTCCAAAGTGGAGCTTATCGATTACTAGGTTCGTACTATGGGTCAAAGGATCGATGATAATATGTGAGAGCTTGTTTCGCCCAACTTTGTTCCTGTCACTGAAGTAGCCTATCTAGCTCGAGCCAAAGTGTTCAATACCCGTTTCCGTTCCAAGTATCATTTTGGTGATACCTCAGTCATGTCCCCTCATAGCGAACCCAACAACCCTCACGAGCCCGTGGATCCAAGAGGGTCCCCCGCTTTTACCGAAATCGACAACATTGCCTCCACGTTCCGCTCATCCTTCCCCGCTCACCTGAGAAATCCAATATCTAATAACGTAGTTGACCAACATCTGTAAGCGGTCTCCTTAACGTTTTGTTTGCTCCCTCGCTGATGTTGTGTAGATATGTGGCTTGTTTGATGCCTTTAGTGTAAGACAACCAACTCCCTTGATCTCAGCCTTGTCTAAACGACTCCTAGCGCAACTATTGTACTACACGACCCCCATGCTGAAGTGCGACGATCTGGGTGTGTTTCCGCGCTCCGCATTGTTACCGCTGCCCGGTCTATCCTCGACCTGGCATACGAAGTTTGCAGCACGAGTTTTGATATCACACTTCTGGACCCATTCTGCTCGGTGTGTTCTTCTTTTCTCTACCATCCCTCTTTCTAATCCTAAACTTAGTTCTGCTGGTTCCTTGCTGGGCGAGTTCTAGTTCGGTTCTTACAGGCTGCCCTCGATGTCAACAACACGGACCAAATCTCAACGCTACGGGCAGAATTAGACTTCCTCCAGTAAGCCAACGTCTTGGCGCGATGGGCCAGAAGCTAAACTGTCTTATCAGGAATGCGATTCTGCGTATAGGCCAACGTGTTCCATTAGCGCTTCGATATGGTAGGATGTTGGGCGACCTTGTCACCAAGCGTTGCGGCGAATCATCACAAGCGATTACGTCACCACTCAGCTTCCCGAGAACGCAAGCTGAAGTCGACGAGGCAGATATTTGGTTTGAGCAGCCTGGTCGCTCTCTGCACGAGTCACTTGGTCTACAAGCAAACACAATGAGCTATATGACTGTTGGATAAAGTAGTTATTTCTCTTGTATTGTTCAGTCTGTACATTGCTGTAGCCTAATGAGGAAATTTTTTTGATCTGTCGAAAAAAATCATGGCTGCCCCGTCCATGGCTGCGGCCTTGGCCGCCTCGCTCCCCGCTCCGGCTGCCGCCCCAGCCCCAGCAGCGCCCGTATATGAAGCTATCCCACCTTCCATGGCCAAAGTTATCGATATCGAGGCTGAAATTGCGCTTCAAGTGGTTCAATTAGATGGCATGGTGTGTCCCCTCTCGCTCCATGTTTGGGTCGTCTCTCAATAAACCTCTAGGTTGTCTCCAAAATCTTGAAACATGCCCGCGAGGCCACGTCGGGGACGGTCCATGGCCTGTTGCTCGGATTGGACCTTGATGGCACGCTGGAAGTGTCCAACTCATTCGCCCTGCCCCACCATGTCAGCGACGAGGACGACAAGTCTGCAAAGTCAAGCGGTGTGTGTGTCGTTTCTTCTCCGGTCTAAATGCTCAAGTAGCGATTTTGCAGCGAAATATCAGGCCTCGATGCTGAGGTCTTTGCGGGAGGTCCAAGCGGACGACAGTGTGGTCGGCTTCTACCAGGCGACGAGTCTCGGTGCATTCTTCAACCAAAACCTTGTCGAGATTCAGGCCATCCACCAGGACAAACTGCGGCATGGCGGTGTTGTCATTGTTCACGGTCAGACCACCAACTCTGTCCCTCCCTCGCTCACTAAGAGACAACAGATGTCTCGCTGACAGCGCGGGGTAACGCGTCGTTTCGTGCATTCCGCCTCACACCCTCCTTCCTGGACGCGTACAAAAAGTCGAACTTCAGCACGACAAGCCTGATCAGCCATCGCCTCACATTCTCCGCCATCCTCGAGGAGATCCCGCTGCAAGTACGAGTCAACCCGTTATTGGGCTCGTTCCTGAGCAAGCTTACGCAATCGTCGCCGTCCCCACTCCCCGATCCCGCGCCAGACGCTACCCGCACCGCTGTCATTCCACCCACCTTCAGTGCGCTGGACCTCAGGACGAGTGGCTTGACAAGAAATCTCGAGCAGATAATCGAGACTGTAGACAACTACAAAAACGAGGAGGGCAACGTCGCCTTTTTGCAGCGCCAGATCGCAAGAGAACGGCTCAAGGCGGAGAACTACATCCAAAAGCGGAAAGAGGAGAATATGGCGCGTGCAGCGCAGGATCTTGCCCCGCTACCCGAGGAGGATGTCGCTCGGCTGTTCAAGATTCCCCCAGAGCCAAGTCGGCTGGAGAGTATGCTGTTGCTGGGCCAGATTGACGCGTATGCGAAGAATTTAGAAACTGCGGCTAGTAGTGGCTTGATAAAAATGTACAGTGTGCGTAACTAGTTGTATTTGTGCTTTTCTGCCTGTGAAGGGCATCAAGGTTGATAATTAGATATACTACTCCAGTAAGATGCCTCCTCTGATCCTGTAACAGCACTGTCTACTGCAGAGGACAACGCCGAATCGTCCTTACTCCTGATCAACACGATCAGGGAGAGGACAAGTCGGCGTAGCAGCCCTGAGGTAGGCAGCTTGGAATACGGGCCTGATATCTGCCCGCGAGAGGGATGTGTCATGGTGAAGTAAGGAACAAGTTGCGACCGTAGCAAGCGCGCAACCTGCAAATGGGGGTCAATTCCGGAAGAGCGAAAAGAAAAGTATCAGAGACCTCGTTATTAACGATTCGGGATCGGCGTTGTGAAACGGCGATCAAAAATCGGAGAATAACCTAATCATTGACCGTTACTGGCCTAACAAGAAGGAACGAACAGTATACCTCGCTTGCAACCAGGTTCGACGACCCAAGCTCCCAGAGACACTTGGGCAGATGGTTTATCCACTCAGATACTTCTTCTGCAGTCTTGATCTCTGCGCCGATGTGTCCGGTGAATTGAGTTTCGGTGTCGAGCTGACGAATGGCTCGTTCCAGTGTTCCACCTCGAAGCGGTAAAAGCTCACCAGCAGAACCCGAGAAATGAACTCAAGCGTATACTGTTTGACAGCCGATTTGGAGGAGACTCTTCGCCCATGGTCGATGACGGCCAAGAGCACGCCTCGGGAAAGATCGTGAGACTGAGGGTCCGGGTTGTTCATCAGGGCCCAAATTGTTGGAAGAAGTAGATTATAGGCATCTGCAGTCAGCGGTCGCCCGATTTGCGAGGGGGACATGTTCTCTCCCTTCAGTAGCCTCGTCACATATGTGCTGACCCGCTCCGTTTGTTGACGCAGATTCCCTTTAGATTGGCCTGCTTTCTTCGTTGGGCGATTGGTGGATGGTAACATCACCAATGAAGAGAGTTCGCAATATATTAGGTTCAATGCTTGGAATGTTTGTTCGGTCTACATGTTCCATTAAAGCCACAATGAATGCTTTAGAAAAACGTACTTGGATGTCCCGGGAATCAGTTGTGAATGGGAAGTATGGAGACATATACCCCAGGACAGATTTGAGATCTTCCGAGGCACGGGCGTTGCGCTCTGTGAGCTGAAAACCGCTTTAGCATAGTTTATATGGTTGACAAGTCTATTGTACCGTTGCGGACGAACTCCGTAAGAGAGGCCCATAGAGGTGGCGTGCGATCTCCACCACAGACAGAATGAGTTTACTCTGTGTCTCATCTGCACGTCCGTTTGGAGAGAAGACGGCCGGAGCGCAATCAAGGAATGTCGAAACGAGCGTTGAATGTAGTGTTCGGACTAAATGCTGGTCGAAATAATAAGTTGCATTCGCATCTCAGAATTCGACTGACCGCGAGAAATATCGAGCTTCCCTCTGTATCAATTTCCTCAGACTTCTCTGGGATATGAGAAAGCTCTTCAAGGCTCCAGATACTGCCGATGGGTTGGACCAGTGTGTGAACTCCCACATCGTCCTCCTCCTCGAAGTCCGCTTCTGGTCGCCAGCTCCTTATTGAAGGCTCTGTTGGTGTAGTTAACCGAGGGCGTAAGAGGTCGTCGAATGTCGTATAGGCAACATCAGTCGTGAACCAAGGTCTCAAGTACCACGTGTCCAGGGTCGAGGACACGCCAGTTGTTGAGTTAGATGTGGAGTGGCGGAGAAGAGTTGACAGAGACTGTAACACCACAAGTTTGGACTATAGCTAGTTAATATGCTGCTGAACAGAGTGAGAAAGGAATACGCGCAGCAGCCGTCAGAACAACGCTCGCAATGGACGTTGCTCTCATCGGACCTAGGAATATCAGAGAGAGGGTACCATATAAGTGGACGCACAACCTTCGACATCTCCGAAAGAAGTTCCAGCGTTTAACAAACCGAGATACCCCTGTAAAACCTGATGTCCAGTGGTCCCTTCGCGATCCCACCCAGCGACAATCGCACTCGGCATGTGCTCTAGGTATATGTCCAAAAATCGAATGGCATCCACTCGGATTTCTGGGAAAATGTGTGTTTGGGCAGAAGTGGTGAAAAGGAGCAGGGTCGGCGTATGGGGCATCAGGTCGTCCTGGAATCAGTATGAGAGACAATGCAGGGTGGGATGTCATTGACTTGCCGCTGGCACACGAGGAAATAACCAGGTGTAAAACTCTAGAAGAGATTTGCGGACTCCTGCATCCTTCAAAGAGCTCAACCAACGACAAAGCCTGTTACAGAAATATCATACCTCATCGCCAATAACCCGTGCTGTTGCGGCAATTAAGGTTGGAAGAGAGCCATGAAGAATATGTGGATGAGCATCTAATAGCTCACGAAGACCGGCAAGCGCATCTAGAACAACATGGACCCAAATTTAGCCGTCGACGCTGTTTTGCAGACCTTTACGAGTCGAGGCACTGTAGTGCTTTAAGTGAAGAATAAGATCTTCAAAAGACAAGCGCCGTTTAGTTGTCGGTACTTCGGTGTTTAGATGCTTGGCAATCGACTGAGAAGGAAGTGCAATTGCTATAAGCCAAATGAGAACTAGAAAATTGACACGATCTGGGGCAGGTACATCTTGCTTTAAACGAAGTATCAATTGCATTCGAGGGCTGTTGTTTTCCTTTGCCGAGCTTGAGCTTTGCTTTTGCGAAATCTGCAGCCTTGTCCTTCCGTTTTTTCGCGCTTTTGGGCATCAGGAAACGCGTGTGTCACGTCTGTCACACTCACACTTCTCAGGCTCAAATCTGTATTCAACGTCAACTTTTACAGGCCCGAGACCGCACCTTTGGCATGGGTGTTTTTCGCGGTGCCTAAGGCAGTCAGCTGACTATGTCTGCTCCAAGAGCAGCTTCCACTTCTCTGGCCGACATTCCTCCGGATTCTTTGCGACATTCTATCATATAAAATGCCACCTAGACAATATTCAGCGGCACCATGTTGCTCTCATATTTGCTCTCCGCTTTACTTGCGACCTCGGCAACGCTCGCGAAAGTCGTCCCAAAAGGCTTCGTCACCACCAAAAGCACTGAGTTCTATCTGGATGGTCATCCATTTGCTTTCGTGGGGGCCAACTCCTACGTGTGTAACCTTTCCCAGCTAATAATTGAGACGCTGAGAATCTTGTTTCTGAAAGTGGCTGCCTCTGCTGACCACGAACGCCGATGTGCGCTCTACCTTTAGTCAAATGCGGGATGCTGGCGTGAAAGTTCTGCGCACTTGGGGTCGGGTTAATCGTCACTTCAATGGTGCAGCTTGAACTAACCGCCTGCTTCTTCACTAGGCTTCAATGCCATTGTGAGCTCCATCCATTCGCAATTGTCGACTCTCATTCGTTCAGAATTCAACAGAACTGGCTGGGGCCCTGGAATCTAACTTGACTTATTACCAAGTCTGGCGCCAGGGAGACTGGACACTCAACGACGGACCACAGGGTCTCCAACGCCTCGATAATGTCCTCGAAGTCGCTGCAGAATTTGGTATCAAGATCATTTTGGCGTTCACGAACAATTGGTGCGTAACTTGATATTTCGTGTTGTGACTGTTCATCTTTAATCAGGGTGGGCTATGGGGTTTGTCGGGTTGTGTTGTTTAGTAAGCCATGCCCAACCATTCTCAGGGATTAGAGCTCTACATCGAGCACATAACACCCGGTGCAAGCAACCACGACGTCTTCTTCACAAACGCGAAGATGATAGCTTCATACCGTTAGCTTTCAATGATTCTACAGGTACTGAACTGACCGCCACTGCAGAACGCTACGTTCGAACCATTGTCAACCGCTACAAGAACTCTCCGACGATATTTGCTTGGGAACTTATGGTGGGTGCTTGCGAAATTAGCTAACTGCAAACGTAGACCATCATTAGAACGAAGCCCGATGTCTAGGCGACCTACCTGGAAGTGCTACATGCTCCGCTCAATCCAAAACGATACCAAACTGGTACCAACAACAGTCTGATTTCGTCCGCAGTCTGTAAGGAAAAACACGTCTCCCAACATGGACTTGAGCTCTCTCTTTCAGTGACCCATTCCATCTGATTACTACGGGCGGAGAAGGTTGCATTTACTGTTCAACCCTCAATGAGTCTAAAGACCCCATTCAGGTCATTTCAACTGGCAAAACACACCACTTTCCACGGACTATAACTTCAATGGGCAAGCTGGAGGTAACATATTATCTGATAACCGGAGATGGAATCCAAACTTTATCAGAGGACTTCGATTCTGACCTGCGACTGCAAAACATTGATTTCGGTACCTATGTGAGTGCGCACATCAGAGTCTACAAATAGTTGCTCATTGTTCCTAGCACATGTACCCAGACATGTGGTATCCCAGCGCCGTTGCGTCTTCCGCTTGACAATAACATTGTCCCGCTGACGGCACCAAAAGAATTTCCCGGTTGGAAATAACACAGAGGGATGGGGCCTGTTCTGGATTGACGCGCATGCCAATTGTACGGTCTTCTCTGTCGGAATGCAGCCAACTGAGCCATACTATAGCCGCCAAGAAAGCCGGAAAACCAGTCATCCTTGAAGAGTTTGGCGTCACTGGCGACGGTAAGTTTACGGTATCGACCATTGAACTTTTTTTTGAGACTCCAAAAGCGAATAAAACTGCCATCTATCCTAGTTGGGTCCAACGTTCACTCGACACAAAACATGGGTGAGTTTAATCGTATGTTGCTCCACCTTTGCTCATTTGCTTCAGGGGGTGAGCCAGAGTCTCTAAGCTGGTCTTGGTGCTTTAATACTCGACAGAATTATGCCCTGGCAATTTGGCGCGCTTGGTCTCAAGGAAAACGGCGGCAACCGACTAATCAAGTACGCCGACGCCCTCATTGACGGGGCTTCCCCCAACGACGGTGTGTACTTGGTCTTCTGGTGATGAACTCAGCTTAGTCTGTATAGGTTTCGCCATCTACAAGAACCAAACAGTGTGGAATGTGTTCAAGTGCGTTTCGCTGATCTCCTCCTTGGTTGTTCAATGCTGATTATAAATAATGCAGAAATGCCGCTAAAGTACAAGCTGCGCGATCACTATAGTATGCTGGATTCAAGCCTAGGAAGTTGTTTTTTCTGTGGTCTGGTCAACGCTGGATAAACCAAAATTGGATGAATTCAACTTGCCGTTATAGTCCTGATGAGTATGCCCCCGCGAATGCACTGGATGCTTTGCAGTGAAGGTCGTCCCATGCTCGAACACTATGGACTGGATCAATTGGCACTTAACATTGCCAGGCAGCCACGAACGATAATTGGGCTTTTCGTTGTGGGAAAAGCTGTTTGAGGGTGTACCGATATGTTTGGCCAGCGGTTAGCACCTTGCGATTGAGTTGGTAAGCCATTCTGGACCGTATGTTCAAACGGCGCGAACCAGAGCAACATCTTGAGTTGATTCGAGGAAGATGCTATTTCCAGAAGGCCCAGTTAACTGGACAGTGTCATATGTGTCGTTTTGAATTTTCAGAATAATTTCGTAGGGGACGGTGCTGGCAGGCATTGGAAGGAGAAGAATGACTGAAACCTGGGATACCGCGGCCCTTTAACGTGGACTTCAGTCTCCAAATGGTGAGAACGACACGCATCACGCTATTGTTCTCTCAATTGTTTCCGAGCAAGGATGTACGCAGAGATGTGCTTATATATGGCATTGACTCCTTCCGTTTGCGATCTTGCCGTGAAAGGAGTGGGAGAGGTAACTTGGGCGATCGCGCAAAGAGTCATCTCCGATCAAAGTACAACAGTAAATAATTTAGAAGGGGGCACGGAAAATAGAACCAGCAGAGCTCATAAAGTCAAGCTTAAGGTCTGAGTACCTGAGTTAGTAAAAGACGAACAGAACTTAGTCGAGTCGAGACACACCGAGACAAAGCATAGGCTCGTTCTTTGCGGTCGATCCTCTCACTTGAATATTGAACTTGGCTACAAATCGAGTTCAGTGGCTGCAAAGCGGCATGTGTCGATGCCCTACACTTAGGAATCTCTTTAGGAAGGGTGACTGTTTGCTGAATTGTGTGCCATTCCCTGTCTTCTACGGGGCAAGAGATACCAAGGCCAGGCAAACGGGCTACTTCAGCACAGACATCGAAACGCTTCTGAATGAGTTTGACGAGTCCCAGCTTGACGGTAACATCTGCCGTAGCTCCTTCCTACAGGCGGTATCAGCCCGCTCACAACATAGAGAAATTCACGCGCCTCGATCGTCTGAGTCGCTCTACCCTTGATCGTGACTGTGAGTTGCTCGCCGGCAATCGGGATCTCTGGTTGCAACACAATCGACTCGATGTCTATGAGTCCTGTCCCGCAGTTCACATACTCCCATGCGTGGACAAAATTGAGGAAACCGACAAGTAGCGCAAAAATACGGAGCAGCATGGTCGTAAAAGGAAAGAGTAGTATGGGCTTGGCAGTGCCCCGCAGCAGACGTCACACACACCTTTCTCTCTCTTTCACCACATGAAACCCCGTGAATACTGCTGCTGTCCGTTGCTTGTTTCTCCTTTTCCCCCTCATTGGCTCAACTACTTCAGGTGCTATCCCTCTCATCAATGCTGGCATTTATTTAGCATTAATTGAACAACTTATCGCTGGAGTCGCGGCCGGCATCCTTTCCGTGGCCACTCCCTCAAGTATGTCTTATATCTCTCTCCCTATCTAGGCTCTTATAGTGTCAGTCGTTGGTGCTGTTACTCCTTCTTTTGCCTCTGCGGTCTTCGGTGTCGTTTGCTTTGTCGGCGCGGCCATTCAGATTCTCGGCTTCATCGGTGTTGCTCAAGTTCGTTCTTCGTTTTCATTCTGCTCCAATTTCACACTCCTGTAGGAGAAGCCCATTCTCTTTAGGCGTTACCTTACTTTGCACTCGCTAGCTACGACCGGCGCCTTCTCCGTGGCGTTGGCCTGGATCATTCTCTCCTTAACCCGACACTCAACCGCCAAGAGCGATTGCGTCAAGAACTTCTTTTCCAATGCTACGCCGGAGCAAAAAAGCCAGGGCGATGTTCTGTGCGATGTGTTCCCTTGGGTCGAAGTTGGTGTGATGGGTGGGCTGTGGGTGGTGATGGCAATTATGCACGTACGTCTGCTGTTCTGCTGTTTGAGCAAGCATCTCACCCATATTAGATCTATCTCTATGTGGTCATGAGCGGCTACAGCTCTGGTCAGCAGAGAGATCATGCCAACTACGACTCTCTCGGTGACACGACTTTTGCCAACGACAACATTGCAATGAAAAACCGCAGTCAAGATCCATTTGCTGCTAACCCTCGACCATCTGGCGAAGCACTCTACTCACAGGAATACCATCAGCGACAGGAGTCTATTTCGAGTCTGTCAGATGTGATGGCCCAACCGATCCAGCAAAACAACCAGAACTATCGTCAAGCAACATACCCACCCACGATGCCTCCCGGTGCGCATACAGAAGATGAAACGCCAACACCGAGAGTTGGCGCTTCGTACTATGACGCACCATATGACAAATCCTCTTCCAACATCGAGAAACCACCCCAAACGCAATCTCACCCTGGTGAGTAGTCCACTCTTCCCATTTGAGCAGCATAACCGCGGTTCGAATGGGTGCGTCGGTACTTGACATTCGAATGCTGATATAATATTTTCTTAATCTGAACAGCCGAGGGATCGTTTGGTCGCAAGACACCGCGGTTAATTCAGAAGAATCGCCCCTTCGATAATGGCTACTACTGATAGATTCTCCCATGTAAACTGTAATCTACACTGGACTCTGCACGGACTGGGTAATGCAATGGCATATATTGATTACTAATGTCGCGAGTATAAAGATGGTTTTTTGAGTAATCTGGGTGATGAAGGCTTGCGGTCCCCCAAGGCACCTCTGGCCAGCTCCAAGGCACCGCGTGTCTCTCCAGGAAGGGCCTTTCCAGGGGAGAAACGTATTCTGCGACGAGAAGTGCTGGGTTGCTCCTCAAGAACCATTCTGTCTTGTTCGTTCTGAGGTTTCTTCAGCTCAGCTTGGACGCGTTCATGTCTCTCGGCCGACGCGTCTTTCTCCTCTTTCTCGATGTTGCGTGATACTACCGGCGTCGCAAGCAAATGGTCCTGGAAATTTGGAGTGAGTAACGTTCACACAATAGGGGCCACGACTGACGATGTAATCCTCCGCCTTCCTGCTCAGCTGTTCTGCTGCGTTTTCGCCGCGATACTTTAGCACTTTTTGGAGATTCCAGCGCGTCATGGGTCGGAGAAGACCAGAATCAGATGGACCAAGCTGTCTTTCGTTGGCGACGATCTGGAAAGTGCCTTGGCCGCCCTCATTAACGAGCGCGGCAGGCTTCTTGCCCTTCAGCCGTTGGCGCAGTACATCCCAGCCCACTGCGCGGGAAGTCATTTCCCAGCGAATGTCGCGCGGATTGTCGACGAGCTCCAGAATAGCTTGGGGGGCATTGTCCCCAGGCCGGTGGCCGTACTTGTGGATGCGAGTGTAACCTCCAGAGCGTTCGGAATATCTTTGGGCGAATGTTGTGAAGAGTTTGGGGAGTAAGTCGGGTTTGAGCAACAGCGCGGAAGCACGGGCGTAAGAGCCTCTGTCGCCCTTCTTGCCCATTGTAATTATCTGAGGAATGTTGAGCGAAGAGAGCAAATATACTGGCGACGTGCCTTTTCTGCATAGCGCGCAGCTTCCTGAGCTTTCGGGAGAGTGGTCTTGATTTGCTCATGTTCGAAAAGAGAAGTGACAAGATTCCTGCTACACTTTAGACCGTAAATAGCAAAAAATACGTATAACTGTACCGTAGCATTAGCATCCTGTGCGAGGTCGTCCTGGAGAGTTTCCGGAACGCGATTCCATGCTTCATGGCGGCGAACGGAAAAGTGACTACGCGTCACACTTCTCTTCCCAAATGTTCTTCCGTCTAGCAACACGAGCCCTCCCCCGTCAAGCCCTCGCGCTGCCACGGCGCCAGGCACTTTTACCTTTCCGTCAATACTCAGCTGGTGGTGCTCTGTCGGCAGAGGCCATCCAAACGCGTATCCTCGACGTATTGAAAGGTTTTGAGAAAGTAGATCCTTCAAAGGTCCGTTTTACACATTCATACGGCGCTGATTTGCCAACACTTCTGCAGCTCACCGCTACCGCCTCCTTCACAAATGACCTCGGGCTCGACAGCCTTGACGTTGTCGAGGTTCAAATGGCCATAGAAGAGGTATTACTATCCACCCTCCCACCGCTTTCATGGTCCTAACGCGTTTCCAGGAGTTCTCCATTGAAATCCCCGACGCCGAGGCAGACGAAATCCATACGGTTTCACAGGGTGCGTCGCGTCTAACCAAATTGCTGCCTGCTCTGAAATGTCATCACTAGCAATTGACTACATCAAAAACACCCCAGCTGGTACGTCTCCTGCTCATTTCCCTTCCTCTACCCTGATGCACTCTCAGCTCTGTAAAAACAATAGATATTTTTTCCCTTAGTATCTTGCCTGTCCAATGCCAAAAATGCCATCTCTTCATCCCATCACGGTCCAAGTGGTCACCTGTGTCGATTGACGCAATCCTTTATCGTCTACTCCTTTGTTTCCAACGACTATGGTTCGCCAAATAATTGTCGACAGTCCTCTGCTCAAGATTGGCTGCACTCTGGGGGAAGGTACGCCACGAAACAACCCAGCCAACGCTCCTATCGACTCCGAAAAGGACCGGTATATGAGCCGGAGACGTCCATCTTGCATTTTGTCGACATAGACGAGCACAAGGTGCGCCTTTGCGACACTGAGATACCTGTCCTCAACTGCCAAGATTATTCACTACAACACGGTGAGTCTGGAGGTGGAGGTTGAGCAATTCGACGAGAAGATTGGTTGTATCGCGTTACGATGCAACGGACCTGGAGTATAGCGTGATTTTCTCCCTCTGCCGAATCTCTGCTTAATGCCTACGTAGCTGGCTGGTGCTGCTGCTCAAGGCTTTGCTTTGTTTGAAGGACAGTCGAAGAAAGAATACTTGAGTCGGCCTATGCCAGCAGACTTTGTACCGTTTAGTCGGTTTAATGACGGAGCGTGCTCGAGGGAAGGGCATTTCTTTGCTGGGACTATGTATGACAAGGAGCGCGGGGTTCCGGGCCAGCTGTGGAGATATGATCCAGTAAGCGCTTGCTGCGCCATTGCAGATCCGGGTCCGTTCACGGTACGTCCGGGCCGGTCGAAATTAATCAGAAAGTTTACAAGCCTAAATTCCAGGACAGCAACGGCTTGGGCTGGAGTCCAGACAACAAGATTTTGTATGCGCTGTTTTTCTTTCTCTGTTCTCGATCTCATTGGCTAGCTACTTCACCGATTCGATCGAGAACTTGATTTATGCCTACGACTACAACGATGGTCAGCTATCCAATCGCCGCGTGTTTGTGGATGCTATGGCTCTTGGTCTCCCTAAGAAGACCTTCTGCGACGGACTGTGCGTCGACGAAGAAGGTTATGTCTGGGGAGCCCGGTTCGTATGATCCTTGCTTGGGTAAAAATTGATTAAGTGTCCGCCAGATGGGGAGGGTCAAACATTGTACGCTACAGTCCCGAAGGCACAATCGACCTGGAAGTTGTGTTTCCAACGGTCCTGAATGTCACCTCATGCGCATTCGGAGGGCCCAACAACGACATATTATATGTGACGACGGCACATTGCAGAGCGAGTGGGGAGGAGGATAGGCAGACGGAGTTTCCGGACTCTGGTCACCTGTTTAGTGTCAAGACGGATACGAGAGGTGCAGCTCGTCATCGATTTGGCGGGTAGTGATAGTATTAGTCATCATGCCGTTATGTCTCACGTGCAACTGCTTTGTGTTACTCGTCACGGCTTGCCTAAACACCCAATTCAAGCCACCACCACCTCAAGGTGCGCGATAGATTCCCAAGTGGTTGGAGTTGACCTCACCGACACGCAGACATGGCCACTTTCTCCTCGGCTCCTATCGTCATAGACGGGAAGGGCCACCTCCTCGGCCGGCTTGCCTCGATTATCTCGAAGCAGGTTCTGAATGGCCAGAAAATCGTTGTCGTACGCTGCGAGGAGATCAACATATCGGGCAGCTTTTTCCGCAACAAGGTGAGCAACTACTAGCTTACTTGGATTTGTCGCGAAACCGACGCGTTCTCGCAAGCTGCGGTACCACAACTTCCTTCATAAACGCCATATTGTCAACCCCAAAAAATCCGGACCCTTCCACCACCGCGCTCCTTCTAAGATCCTCTACCGGGCAATTCGCGGCATGACCCCCCACAAGACTCCCCGTGGGGCTGCTGCCCTCAAACGTCTTCAACTCTTTGAAGGAGTGCCCCCGCCCTTTGACCGCAAAAAGCGCATGGTTGTCCCGGAAGCCCTCCGTGTCCTGAGACTCAAGCCTGGCCGCAAGTACTGCACCGTCAAAGTTCGTTATACCAAGTGTTGTTACACATCCAGTTGATATTGACTCGACTTTTTAGCGTCTGTCTCACGAGGTTGGCTGGGGCTACAAGGATGTGGTGGACCGTCTCGAGGAGAAGCGGAAGATCAAGGCTCGTGCCTTCCACGAGCGCAAGGTACGAATTTTTAGCTTATCTGGCCAACTTTGTTTGCTTATCATCCTCGTTCAGCTTGCTGCAGTCAAGTTGCGCCAAAAGGCCGTGGCAGACAACGGGGCTTCGTTCGAAAAGTTGAAGGAACTTGGTTATTGATTGAAGCAGCAGTGCTACGCATAATATGACCCCCATGTACCTTACTGCTTACTGCGAACTTCCAATATGCCGTTGAGAGCCACGACATGACATGATTTGTGTGTGTGACAAGCTGTGATGCAATCACGCCCCCACCTCATTTTTCTCCTTCTCCGCCCATGTCCTCTCCCTCCGCTCCTCCGCGCGATTCCGGTAGCTTGTACCTCCTATCAAAATGTCTTTGTGTTTGAATTTTTTTGTGCAGTCTCTCCCCCACAATCGCGTAGCCCTTCGCCCCAAGCTGGCCAGGACAACAACACGCTGACTCTTCGCGCGCTTGTTAGCACCAAAGACGCCGGTGTTATCATCGGCAAGGCAGGCAAGAATGTCGCCGACCTCAGAGAACAAACTGGAGTCAAAGCTGGCGTCAGCAAGGTCATTCCTGGAGTCCACGAGCGCGTCTTGACCGTCACTGGCCCTGTCGAAGGTGTCGCAAAAGTAAGTAATAATAATAATCTTGCCTTTGTTTTGCCGAGTTGTGATTTTACTCACCCGTAATTTTTTTTTTCCAGGCGTACTCGCTCATTATCTCCCAGCTGGTGGCGACCACACCCTCTTCTCCCGTGTTGTCTGGCCCCGCGTCGATCCACACATCTATCCGCCTGCTCATCTCGCACAACCTCATGGGCACGGTTATTGGCCGAAACGGTCTCAAAATCAAGGCTATCCAGGACGCGTCTGGCACCAGAATGGTGGCGACTAAGGACATGCTTCCGCAGTCGACTGAACGTGTAGTCGAAGTACAAGGTTCCCCCGAGTCGATTGGCCATGCAATCGAGGAAATTGGAAAATGTCTTCTTGAGGACTGGGAGCGCGGGCTGGGTACTGTCCTTTTCCACCCTGGAACTGGCGATGAGCGATCAAACACCCGCCGCCAGACTAACGGGCGGACTCCCTCTATTTCAGCCCCCCTCCCGCAGTCACCCGTCCTTTCTTCGCCGCCCGCTTACACCCTCCGCACCCAGAACATCTCCATCCCGTCTGACATGGTCGGCTGCATCATCGGTCGTAGTGGTACAAAAATCACTGAGATCCGTCGTCTTTCCGGTTCAAAAATTTCCATCGCCAAGGCTCCCCACGACGACACTGGCGAGCGGATGTTCACCATCGTTGGCACGCCTGAAGCGAACGAAAAGGCCCTGTTCCTGTGAGCTCTCTCCCATTTCGGTTCCGTCCGCCATGACTCATCGCTTTTTTTTTTCTCAGCCTTTACAACCAACTTGAGAGCGAAAAGGAACGACGCGTCAACAAAGAGTCCCACGACTTGCAGGACTAGAGCCCGCTTCTCCCCATCACCCATCTACATATAGCTACATTCGCCCTTGCCTCCCCACCCGTCCACATGTATTCTTCTGCTGCAACCCGCTCGCAGACTAACGCTGACTGACTGACCTAGTAGTAGCTAATGGATGCTGATAATTTGTCATCGTGCAGCTGTTGTTGTTTTCTTTTTGCAAAAGACAGGCATGTAATCTTGTGTAACTATCAAAAGAAAAGAAAGCGAACAATTTGTGTCATCATCACCGTGTAAGCTTGGTTAGTTTAATTTTCATGCAACAACCACCATGGCCGTTCCAAACGTATTACTCGGCGCACTATGCGGCTGCCTATCAACAACAACAACAACAGCAAACTCGAGTTAATCTGCCTAATCTACCCGTAGCGGGCCCTTCAAAGCGGCCGCCAGGCCAGCCCTCCTCTGCTTGGTACCAGCCAGGAAACGTCCGCTGCACCTACAAGACATGCACTTTCTCTGGCTCCAAACAGTCTGTCGAGACACACATGATGGACCGCCACCTCATCTTCCCCGCGGGCTGGGACAAGCGCAAGAAGGAGCCGCAGTGGGACGCCGATCCGAGTCTCAAAGGGCACGTTTTTGGCGTTTTCCTTTTTTTCGCCCATTAACCGAGCTGTTTGAGCAGGAAACAGGTCCCGATCCAGGGGACGGGCATCATGCTCAACACGCCAGAGAAGCTCGCGGAGTGGCTGGCGGAGCGGAAACGGCGGTGGCCCAGTGCGCAGTTGGTTGCAGAGAAGAAACGGAAGCTGGAGGAGGCTGCTGCCCGGGGAGAGTTGGCGGCGTTGGATATGGGCAGGAAACGACAGCGGACGGAAAATAATGAATCAAGGGGACGAGGCAGGGGGAAAGGGAGGGGGAGGGGGACTTTGCGGGGGAGAGGAAAGGGAAGGGGTAATGCACCGATGCCAACAACATCGCGAGAGTCGTCTGGCTCAAGTAGTGAAGACGATTCACCTCCAGAAGCACTTTCTTCAAAAAAGGATGATCCACCTCCGATCCCAGCTCAACCCGTCTCCCGGCCACGCGTCCAACAACCAAAAAATCCAGTGCACAATGTCTTCGCCTCGCGCCCGACTCTTCTGCGCAATGTGAGGCTTTGTGGCTTTACTAGGTGATATACCAACTAACCATGCCCTAGCTATTACTTCCCGAGATCCGCATCACTGTCTCCAACCTTTCCCAGGCGATCCACTTCCTAGTGGACAACGATTTCTTGCAAGACGTCGAACTGAAGCCGGGACAAGCTAATCAAAGACTCGTCCAAGTTTTAGAAGCAGGTGGAAATGACAATAATATTAGTGGGCAATAATAGACTATCTCGAATCACCATCTGAATCGCTCTCGCTCTCGCTCCCACTCTCGTCGACCTCCATGTCAGACGGGTCAACTACTAGCGTCCGTTTCTCAACAGTGAACCCGGTCTCCGTCAGCCCCTCGACAATGCTTTCCACCTTGCCCGGTGATGTCACAACCATCGCGACAGACGAGCTCGCGTCGAACAGCGCAAGGAAGTATTTGCGGAAAATCGCCAACACGTCCGCCGTCGTTACGTCCTGGTACTTCTCCAGCAAATCAACTTGGTGGTTCTGCCCAACCCCACGCAGAGCTTGGTTGATGAACGATTGGCCCGCCTGATGTGCTGGTGAGTGGACTGGGTATAAAAAAAAGAACGTGTAAAACCAACCGCGCGTCCTGCAGTTGAGACATTCTTCGCAACTCCGTAAACCACAGTGCTCTTGGCCGCGTCTAGAGTCAGCGCATCCAATGCGATCTAAAGAGAGTTGTAAAGGAGTTAGCCGTCTGGTAGATCACGTACAGAACCATCTACGAGTCCCTTCAACACCTTTGCTGCCTCTTTGAAGCCATCCATGCTATTTGAGCTCTGACATACCGTCAAACAAAACCAAGGAATCTGACAACACTCACCCGATACAGTGAGAAGCTCAGCAGCCCAGACTCCACATCCAACGAGACATAAGCACCATACGCTAGTCCCGAGCCCCGGATGTACCTCTATCAAGTCGTTGAGATGCTGCAAATGAAGATAGGAAAGGACTGACCCATAGGTAACTTTCCGTCGCATTCAATACCTCAAGCGCGATGCGGAAGGCAGGATATTCGGGGTGGTTGAAGCCTCGGATGGCTTTGGTGGAGTGGGTCACATACGAGCTCTCGATCGTGGGTAGACTCATCACAACAGCCTTGGTGACGGGCTCCTTGCCGAGCGCACTCAGTGTCGCAGACGAAAGAGGCACAGCGGCCAAGGGTGTTTCCTGCAAAAGTTGTTAGAATAGACCAGAACAATATGATGTATTCCTCACTGGAAGTGTGCTGCTGAAGTACTTGCCCCAGGTAGACCGAGGGTTCTGCAAAGCTAGAACATTCCCGGTGACCGAGAACCGAATTCCCGCGGGATCGACAACTGCCGCCATGGTCAGGGCACACATCTGTAGAAAATAGAATGTCACCCACCGCATCGACGTATTTCGAGCAAGTCGGCGATAACCTGTTCTGGGTTCTCCTGGAGCTCCTTCGCAAGTTTCGGTATAAATTCGAGCTGCGGTAATGTTGCAGTGGCACGGGAAGTTGAGTTTTCGTCGTAAAGCTCATTTGCCCACAGCGACCCAAGCACTGTGCTTCCATCACGCTTCATTTCCGGAAGCGACTGCTGGATTTTCGCAATCGTGACCTGTAGCCTGTACCTGTGTCAGCAATTGAAGGCGCGTGGGGTTAATTAATTACCGCTCTTTATCGAACTCGGCGCCATAGAGCAGGTCTCTTAGCCAAGCGATCGCTTTCTCGTAGTGCGCCGTCTCGACCTTGATGCTGACATAGAAGTTCTCCGCGAAAGCAGTGCCAAGTCCCAATGTAGCTTCGTATGAAACAGTCTCATCGTCGAGCCTGTTAACAACATCTTCGTGTGACAGGCGCTCCCCGTTTTGCCTTACGACTGGTAGCGCGAAGAAAGCGGAGAGGTAGGTGGATACGAGACTGGCAAAAAAAAGTCAGACACAGATATTTGCTAGACGAAACTGGCCCACGGTCGCAGTCGGTTCGGGAGTTTCTCCAGCGAGAAAAATCCTTGCACGGTGACAAAATCAGACTATTTTGCTCTCATCAAAAAGAATGTTGAGCGAACGAAAAGGCAAACCTCAACATGATCGTACTGGACGAAGAACGGTAGTGGTGTGCCGTCAGCTTGTATGTGCTTGGAAAGAGTCGGAGATGCTATCGGGTTGGTAGACGGAGCTCTTCTGGTTCCAGGCTCCTGTGTGCTTTGAACGGGAATGAACGCGATGCTCTTCACGTTCGGCACCGCAAAGTCCAAGAGCATCTGGGGCGGTATTGGTCTGTCGTGTTCTGCTTTCGCATCAGCAAGCTCCTTCGCAGCCTTCTTCAGGCCGGAATCGCCCAGTTTTTCGACTTGCGCAGCGATGCGCGCTTTCTCGTCCTTTTCTAGTTTATCAGCTAGACTGGCGGAGGGTATGCCTCGAACAACGACGGAATTTGGGGTAATAAAGTATCTGACGGTGGTTCGTCGTGAGCTAGGTTGGCAGTTCCACAACAACAACATACTTTTCGAGTAATTTCGTCCATTCCTCGCTTTTCCATTCCCGTAATGTGCCGTAGTAACGGATTTCGTCTAAAGCGGGTCCTAGTTCAGATCCATCCTCAGCTCCGTAGAGAAAATCGGTGATGATCGTTCCAGAAAATATATCGTCTTTGGCCGATTCGAGCCTGCTTCGCAGCTGGAAGACACGGTGAGCAGCAGCAACTCAACGAAGAATGACGAAACACCCACCTGTCTCTCATCACGATTGATGACCATGGCCATTCGGTCCATGTCAATGCCCTCCGATGCGATCCGTTGCAGGCTGGCTTTTAGTCTGTCTTCGAAGCCGTCTACATGTTCCGTCGGGATAGAGCTTATATAAACGGGTAGCACTATATTTGTTGACCGAGTGTCTTCACCAAAGTAGATGTAGGTGCTGAGTTGCGTCACGGAAGAGATACCCGATTAGTTGGAATGGACGAACCAAAGAGGCGAGTCAATTTCGATATACTCTTTGTTTAATGGTGCAACGGGGGAAGATGTCAGATATGTGCCCAGAATTTCCAACGCCTGCAAACATATGACTAACGCGAGAAGAACAAGTAAAAAGGCAGTACCTTTTGTTCGAGGAATGCATTTGGTGGGGGTCCCAAGAAATGTATGAGAAGTTCACCGACACCTTCATGCATTGAGTTGGTGTGGTTCGGAGAACACAATACTCACTCTCATCCTTTTCGGGGAATTCTACTGTGTCCTTGATGGTTGTGGGGATCGGAGGTCGATTTGCACTTGGTGTTTCTACAAATGGCCGTTTCCATCCTGGGGGACGGGCACCGAGGTTTTGACCATGAGCGATCAAACTAGGCTCAACCTGCTCCTGGATAACGGACAAGAGGGTGGATGTTCCGCTTGACAACTTGCCAGACACGATGAGCGACAGGTTGTGTGGGACGTAATATGTGCCATGATATTGGCGAACTGGAATATTTCAGAGTCACAAATGTGGAATTCGGGTATTCCCGTACTCTGTTCCACGTTCAAAACCCGTAGAGCTTCCATCAGCCCTCCCGTTTCGCTGCGGTAAGCATTTCCCGGTGGATCCAAAAGCCGTTGAGCTCTACAAACAGTATTAAACTCTATTTCATGATTCGAAGAAACGAACTAACTGGAGAGCCATCAGGTCGCCGGAGGTGTTCTCTCGACCTTGCATTTCACTGTAGACAACACCAGAGTCTTGTCCTTTGGGATCAATGTGATGGACCTTGACCAATGAGTCTATGAGCTTAGCCAGAGAGACAAAAAGATACCTCTGTTACGTATCTAAGGCAGAGTCAGTGACAAATAAGAGATGGGATGAACAGAGAACTCACCCTGCCTTGGTCAACGTAGGGTAGAGGATGTGGTCCACGTATATTGGTAGCAATTGAAGCAGTCCTGTCGTGTTATTGGAATCGACGCTCGTTCGAAGGAATGCAACCGCCCGCACCTTGCTCTCCCGCCGTCGAAACGGTGTAAGCAGTATGATCAGTATCCGTCCAAGCGTTGGTGCCATTGGAGAACCCTCGGTTGGCCAGATGGTCAAGAATTCCCTTGTAGGGATACTGTTGGCAGTTGTTAGCCTGATGAAGGGCAGGACAAAGAAACAAACAGACCTTCTCTGAGCCCATGAACACCAAACTACACAGCTATCAGCTTCAGAACATTGCTTGGAAGACGCAATCCGACTGTTCCAGTGTGTGGGGACGACCACTATCATCAAAGACTATGAAGCATAAGCGAGGCATAATGCCGCATCGATATTACCAACTTTCGGTGGCGACAACAAAGTAACCGTTAACCAGGGGAGCTATGGCCGGAGGTTAGGAAAATCAAGTGGGGGTAAGTCCGTGAGAAGACCTTCGTAATCGAGGTGGACGACGCTGAGCCCGGTCACTCGACTCTTCCACTTTGAGACGCGAACATCGGTAAAATCGAGTTTTATGTCTTTGACGAGGTCAAAGTTGCCAAACTTCTCTTGTGCGATCGATGCCATGGTGCGATTCGTGGAAAAAGGTCTAGAACCCAATCGAAAACGAGCGTGTCGAATAGGGATTTGCGGTCCGAGTCTAAGCCCTGCAGCGCGGAACATTGACCCAGCGGTCAGCTGACCTGTGACATCCTTTGACTCTGGCTTTACGCGTCTCTCGGTGGATGTCTAAGCGATTCCAGCTCACTCCCGAGCAACTTGCTCTTTCTCAAGAGCGTAAAGCGAAAAAACAAAAACTAGCGCATACTGAGACACCACCTACGGTGGACCCGAAATTAATCTTACCTCGACCTTGGATTCACCTTCACAGTTCTGAACCGCCTAAAGCTCAGCATCAACCCAGTCCCGATCGTCTGCGCGTCCTCACATGGAATATTTTAGCCCAAACTCTCGTTCGTATGTCTAAATCAATATTTTTGTGACTTCCTAGGCCATAATCATCTCGCCAGGACGCGAGCTATTCCCAACGAGTGACTGTCTTAAGGCTAGCCAAAGACAACCCATGCTTCATGCGGAGATTCTTGCACAAGATGCCGAAATCATATGTCTCCAGGAGGTCGATACTCTGGAGAAGCTTTTGCCTGCATTAGAACCGTGTTATACCACGCACTACGCTGCTGGGCCAGGTATTTAGCCAAACTACTACTTCTACTCGCCCTCATAGCACACTGTAGGGAAAAAGCATGGATGCTTGATCGCATTCAAGAAGGATCGTTATGATAAACACGTCGAGAAACTCGTCCATTATGATGACGAGGTAGTGAGGGACGGAGAGACTGAGCAGGCTCGCCGCGGATCCAGTTTTAAAACACGAAATATTGCCTCCCTTCTAGCGGTCAAGCACAAGTCCAAACCTGGCCAGGGAGTGGTAGTGGGCACTTCCCATCTTTTCTGGCATCCACGGTCATCCACCTCCCGTTTTCAATACGACCGTGGCTGACTACGCCCAGCTACACGTACGAACGAGCCCGGCAAGCCGGCATTTTCCTTCGAGAAATCACCAAATTCCAATCTGAGCATGATCTCGAAGACTGGCCATGTGTCGTCGCAGGAGGTAGGACCACCCTTTCCCCGGAATGCAAAGCGCCAATTTTTCTCTGCAGATTTCAATTTCAGTCCAGACGACCCAGCGTATAGCTTGCTTGTCGGCGACCCTCTGAGTGTTGAACAACGAGAGCGATTAGAAACTTCACGTGTCGTGTGAGTAAATCTTTCACACATCAATCCATTTCTCAAAATGAAACGAGATAGACATGCCTCCATTGACCCCAACGTCCAAAGCGCAGCCGCACCCTTAGTGAAGGAGGACGAAGATCAAGCCGTTGACCCGGATCGAGTAATCACAAATGCGCGGCGGGCAAAGCCATCCGACGGCCTACTTACCGATGATGAACTTGTTGCCCTATTTTCCACAAGTAAGACGTTTAGGAGCGCATATGACGAGGGTTTGAGGCAGCATCGATTATCCTCATCGAGCATACCAACTTTTGGTGATCGAACAAAACTCGATGCAAGCAAAAAGGGCTTCTATGAGCCAGAATATACCAGGTACAGAATTTCCACGGCAACAAAACTACGTTAACCTAATACCTAAGCTACACCGTGTTTTGGAAGACAGTATTAGGTTAGTTGCTGGCCTTTCCCTCGCGTTTTGGTGTTGATTGAGGATTGAACAGACTACATATTCTTCTTGCCTGGACGTCTTCCAACAGTCGTGACTGGAATTCTTGCACCACACAAGGTGGAGGACCTTGGGGCAGGTCTCCCGTTGAAGACGATATGTGGCAGTGACCATGTCTCGCTTTCAGCCGATTTGGATGAAGGGCAACCGCGTTAGACTAAAATGCGAACAGAAAGCATTGCAAGTATTACGAAATAGATGTGGGGTATGCAGTATAAGGAGTGGCGCGTCCATGAAAAGACTCTATCCCAGAGGTAAAATATCAAGACCGGTCACTGCCTGCGATCAGATCATCAAACAGTCCACCAGCAGCTTTCTCGTCGCGAAGCTGTAGCATATAAACAATCCCCGTTCGCGCACCTTTGTCGCTCAGTTCAATGGCAACACCCGTCCTACCCACACGCTCAACACCATCTGTGAGGACGATGGTCGATATAATGATCGACCCCTTGCCTTTCTCGACGACAAGCTGCTTGACATTGGTGGGGCTTTGCTTGTACAATTTGAGTTTTGCTGCTCCCAACGACTTCCACTGTGCATGCTGTTGCTTCAGGAAGACTTTGCATTTCATCTCCGCGGAAATTGTGGATGTCAACGGGCCTGTGAAACGAGGAGTCTCTTCCACCGGCGAGTTGGGAGGGCTGGGTTCGTGAAATGATGGGACATTATTTCGGAAACCGTTGACACCAAGCTGGCCAGACGGGGCCCAATTACGTGGCTGAGGTGCATGCATCTGGGTGGGATAACCTCCCGGAGGTAAAGCGGGTAGTGGAGGTGGTGGGTACTGCTCTTGTTGTGAATACTGTGATTGCAAAGAGCGCGCTGACGATGATTTGCGTAGCCCTGGACCAGGAAGGTATTGAGGCTCAGAAGGTGGTCGTGGAGGGGCCATAGGAGCTGATGGGGCTCGTTGCGGATAGGGCGGTTGAGGAGAACCAGACATGCCTGGCATTGGCGCAGAAGGGGCTCGCTGGGGAGGTTGAGGGAGTGGATACGAAGAACGAGGTTGCATCTCGGAAACATCAGAACCCGCTCGTGAAAGACCGGAGCCAGAACTGGCACTTCGCGTTGGGGGCATAACTTGGCCTGGGGACGCAAAAAATGGTTGTGACATCGAGGATGTTGGCATGTTGCCTTGATTGTCGAAGTTCGGGGGATAGTTGTGGGCAGGCGGAGGCGGACCACGCTCTGGTACGGGTGGAAGACTTTGCTGCGAAAGATGCGGCGCTATGGGAGGAACGGGTGGAACAGGCTGATTGGAAGGCGGGGGTACTGGAAAAGCAATCAGCAAGACTTGAACCACAGAAGAACAACATAAACAGACAAGAACTGGCAAAAGCGATGCATTCTCTGAATTCCGCAAGCATGAAATTGCGAACATGCACCGACTCGGCTTGGATGATCAGAGTTTCTTTACGCATGATCGCGATCTCCAAAGCGTTGTCTACACACAATATTAGTCACCCGATGAACAACCACAAAGGGAATGGAATCCCACCTTCTCCTTCGACTTCAGCGACACGCAGAACTTTACCAGCGAGTGGGGGATAACACAGCCACATATCCGCACCATCCGAGCTATTTTGCTGACTTCGTTCTTCAGGCGTCATTCGCTCACAAATGAGGAATAGGTCGGATAGAAGGAAAAGGTGACCCATGCGGTGAACAACCTCGACACCCGTAGACCGTGGAGTGAAACGGACAACAACATCCATCGAGAAGCGAAATTCTCGAGTGAAGTGGAGGCTCGGCGGCGACATTTGTAGACGAACCACTTTGGGGCGCATGGTGAAAATGTCCAGGGTCCGTTGGGTCGACAACCGACGCTCTAAGTCGGAAATTGGTGCTGTCATGGTGGTAGAAGACACGCGACTGATCGAGGTCGACGCAGTGTCTCGAGAAAGTCTTTCCCTATCAGCAAAATGAAATTTAATTCTCGACGAAGAAGATGACACACCCTGAGGATAAGCTACTCCCCCGAGCCGAACTGGTTTCGCTTCCGCCTTGTCCATCGATATCACTTGAGCGAGTGAGTCCGTTCATTGTTGACCTTGGAGAGACAGAAGAACTCCTTTCTGTTGGCAGCGGAGGATTGTCAAGTTTGAGGGAGTGTGACAGTTCTGGCGGGCTCTGCGCGACTCCGACTCTGATTTGCTCTCGGGCTTCAAGCGTATCAAGGAGTTTGTCTAATTTGTCCAAGGCTCCGACTAGCAATCGGTGATCACTCCGCCCTGGTGTGGTGCTTTTGAGTAGTCGGGCATAGAGTTTGCGGTAATATTTCAGTCGGGCCTTGGGCAGGAGAAAGAGGCCATCCAAAGTCCATGTAGGAGGATCGATATCGGGAGCCATTGCCCAGGCGGGAGGCGGATTTGCCGCCGAGAAGCCAGAGATGATGGAAGGTAACCGGGAGTTGGATTGAACTGGCTCCCATTCGTCGAAGCCACCACAAAATCGTGTGCAGTAGGTCGTATATGGGACTTCGAGGTCATCGATCTGGCAGGGCCAAAGGTCAGTAAAGATGCTGAAACAATTCGTAGGCAACTCACCCATCGCATCAGTAAGTCTCCTAAGGCCTTCGGTGACGAAGGGTTGGTGCCAATGTCCTTGAGTTTCTGGGCAATGATTAGTGGGTGAAATTCAAGCTGGAGGGGGGGGGGTATGGTACTGTTAGAAGTGTACGGTTGGCTTTGTAGACACCCTCAATACTACGAAAGATGGTATCAAGTTCCTGAGGTGGGAGATTCGACCTGGACCACGCAGCGGCAACTTTCTGCAAAGCGTAAATGGATGCAGGTTAGTGAACGTTCGTGAAGACACACCCGTATAATGCCTGTCAACTGGTCGACATAGGACTTTTCGGTGTCAATGAGGTCCGTCAGTGGATTTGCCCGCCTCTGTTTTGCTTCCAACGAGGTTTCAACGCCAGTTGGGGACATTGGCGATGCAGGGAGGCTGGAAGCTATTCAAAAAGTAAAGCAGGGACCAGTGGGTTATGGACAAGGCTGACCATCGTAGGTTCCCATACTCGGTCGTATATCGAGATGAGAGCCATTGAATCCCTTGGGCGGAAGAGAGGGAGGAGACGAAGAAGAAGGAGGGGCAGGTAGCGGCGCGTTCATCTAGTAAGCTTGGACAAGAAGAAGAGGCATTAGACATGTGACACCCTATCATCGAACAAATCGTGATTCTATCCTACTCCTACAAAACATTACTACATCTTTAAGCTGAGGTATCCATTGACCACGATGTTGTTTTCTTATGGGAGACAGTCGGTGGAGACAACGCTGGACTGACAGGCAAAGGTAGAGCGCCAGTCGATGATGGCACTTTTGGTGAACGTGTTTGGTTCACACCTGTTGCTGTGACGTCGTCTTTTCTCCACAATGTTGTTCGCGAAAATGGATATAAAGGAACTCCAACCTCAAGAGGCTGCTTTTGAGCTGTTGTGCGCACGATTTCCCGCATGACTCCCTGAAGGAGACTTTCTTGTCGTGCTAAAATTAATTCAGTGACTGCGGGTCACTCAAATCTGTCCACTCACTACCGATGGGAGAGCGCTGGCCGTATGCCAACATCGCGAATCTGATCAAAAATGTCAAACTCGGAAGGCGTCCCTCTCGACATGCAGCGAACCTCAAAACATTGATCTCGCCCCAAACTGTAGACTCTCGGTCACCATCTCCGATTTCGATGAAATATTTGCACAGTTGGACTTGGACGACGGCAGCTAGATACCAGCAAATCTTGGGCGGACTTAGCGGCATTAGAACGAAGCGGGAGAATGTCTTACCACAGCGAATGGATGTAGACGGGTGATATCGAGTGAGGTCGCGGACAACATATAGTAAGCGGCGAGAATGCTGCGTGCTGAGTTGACGCAACGCGAGGTAGAGGTACATTGAGGGTCAGTGAAGTCAAGGTACGGATTGTGAAGAGTGATAGTTGCTCTGCCGTCAAAGATCATAAGAGTTGTCTCATTTCCAGGGTCGCGAAAACAAAACTCACGCGTGCGGAATTACATGGACCATATAAAGGTCCGTGTCCAGTGCGCAGCCATCATCAGTGACACCAGTGTTATTCTTGAAAATCTGCGGGAGGTTTTCGAGAAAGTCGGTGCAAACCAACTGATCCAATGCTTTGAATCCTTCTAGGAAGAAGGGATTTTGATTCTTGCTGGGCGCTGTCGGAGCTCGTAGATTGCCGCGTACGTTGTAGTCGGTAACACGACCGAACAACATTACAGCTTTAATCAGCAGAATGTAGGAGTCCGTATATTGGGGAGGATGTCGACTTGAATAAGTCAGGACACACAAAATCAGAACAAACGGAAGGGAGTTACACGAAAACATCTGGCGTTGCAATATCTTGAGGGTTACTGGGTATAGCAATTTCTGACTCAAAATCGTGGTTCCTTAATGGTAGTTCGGTTCCAAGGTCGCGTTCGTCCACTATATGTCTGATTGTTAGGATAAGGTCAGTAAGCGGAAGAGATATTACCAGCATGGATCCATCCACCCACAGACACTAAAGAGGTGAAAATTTGTCAGAAAGAGAACAAGGAACTCAAATACCTATGCGGTCGAAAACGATGGTCATCCACCAAGTACGACGTCGAGATTCAAGATCAAGAAAGTCGCGCGGCGGGGCAAGATATGCCCCTGGAGAGTTGTTGCCGTGAGTCGTGAAGGTTCCAGGATAATTCAGGCGGAGAGGGACAGCTACTCTGGTCAAAAACCCTGCAAAAATTTAAGGGTCACGTATGTTCGCGGATCACATCACATGCCGGCAAAGATCCACACTTCGACCCATCGACCCTCTTGATAAAAATACCAACAGAGGAGAATACAGGCCTGATTAGCTGTCATCACTGATAGCCTGTGCTGAGAGGTGCTGCTTACCTGTAGTACAGGGAATATATCTTCTCCGCTAGCCATGGTGCGATCCATGTAGTAACCTTGCGACAGTGTTGGTCAGCTCGAGAAAAAGCGCAGTTCCAACATGACACACGCGTCTTTCCAGCATGAAATTCGGCAAATTGATCGCGTCTTGTCCCATCAGGTAAGGTAATGACATTATGCGGAGACCAACGAGAGGCAGAAGTACACTGCAGAAAACTTGTCAGCTCGAATTTGCTGGGAGATGAATCGGTTCAACTATTGCATGGAGGAGGGCTGAGTGTGGGAAGCCACGATCTCGTGGTGGGAGGTGGAGGGAGGCAAGGAATGAAGGTCGATGTAGTACCCTCGAGCCACATGGATCACACTTGAAAAATATGTCTATGCTGAGGAGCGTCAGCAAATTTTAATTGATTATGATGTGAAAAGACGGACTAGTGATTCAAGGTGGCCGGGTCTGGTAGATCTGGGTTCCAGCCCAAAAACAACAGATCCATCAGCGGGTCGGGACTACTCTGCAAAGGCACATTCGCTAATTCGGGGCTGTCTTTTTCGTTTCCGAATCGAGGTTCCGGTGTCTCGGTGGAAACGAGGTTCATCATAGGCAAGGATACATGGGGTAAGGAGATGCCGCCGGAGTCAGAACCAACGGAGCCAGGGCGGCGTGGGGAGGAGGAGCGTGAAGAGGGGCGTTGTTCTTGCAGCTGATTCTTGAGTTGCGCTGCAAAAAAGGGTAAGAATATGTAAAACCGTCAACCAATTCTGCTCGCACATATTTGCCGTTCTAACTGCCTGATCTTTTCAACCGGATCGGTGTCTGGCGCAAGGGTCAACCCATCAACGGGGTCGTAAACGCATTGAGGTTCGGTCGGATGTCTTGACTGAAAGTCAGCTCCGACAAACAAACAGATAAATGAGCGAACGCATAGCCGATGGGGGCTGGGACACTAATTAATGTTTCGTGTTGCCTGCGGTGGTTAAGAGAAAGTTTGTGTACTGAAGAGGCCATACTTGACGCAAGTACTACAATGAGGGCGCATGGCATCACATTTCTAGAGATATGACTTCAGTTGAGGTGCTACTTCGACGAGCTAACTCACCAGCTTCTTCCTCCGGCATGACCGGCAAGCCTGATTTCTTCTAAGCGCTGGTCGACTTGAGCCGCTCGTGGGTGCTTTTGGCATTGAGTGACCAGGACAAGAGGGATCGACCGCAGTTCAGTTAAAGAGTTGTGTTGTGACAATGTGACCAATGAGTGTTGTGATGGCATCGCAACAAACGCGTTGTTGACCACAACAAGTATTGACGTTCTGACGACGCGTTTTTCGCTCAAACATGACCTTGGTCGCTTTCGAACAGCCATAACATAGCGAAATATTTTCTACGTGCAGGGACAGTATCATGGCATTGAGACAGATTCAGGACAGACGCGTTCATACATATGCTGACTCATCCGTTGCAACTTGAGTAATCCTCTACATGTAGACTACAACGGCTATTGGCTCCTGGCCAAGTGACAACTCATCCTCACATTTATGCCTCTCAGCGGAATATTCAGCTCATTATTGTTGCCACAACTTGGCGGGAGTGAGGCAGATGACGGAACTCGTTAAGATAGATTCCTGTATGATCAGTGTGATGCTAAGTTCAGTGGGTTACGCATAAGGACAGGCCGCACCTTGCCACGTCCCCAAATTCAAGCGTCCATTAGTGATAGGAAGGCTGATCGAGGAACCGACTGCATTATATCAACAGCCTTGACAAAAGCATTGTCGATTCTACTTACTGAGGCTGGCCTTGGTGTGAGAGACGGAGTCACTGAATATGGTCAGGAGGGTAAACCTATACGGCGGTGAATTTCACTCTAAGCCCTCGTCTGTGTGTCGCCAGGGAAGGGTCTGTTCAGGGACTATCGAGTCCAGTGCCATGTCCATGTCGGCGCGAACATCTGGATCGTAGTTCTCATTGACAGTCAAGCTTGCGCTCGTATGTTTTCTGAGACCTATCAAAAGTTGCCCAGCACATCGAGGAATTCGACATCACATAAACAGAAACAGCATCCCGATCTGCTGGAAGAATTTAGTCCAGTTTGCAGCAATAACGCAGCAGTACTGGCTTGAACATCCTTCATACCAGGCTGGATCTCCCTTATAACTTCCTGTGTAACGAGATGACAGCCCTTGCCACGTCTTGAAAGTGTAAACTCTTTCTGCCACATCAGGGGAATTGGAGAGAGGACGATCGCGTGACCGTGACCGTGACAGTATCATATTACCCCTTTCTCGATTTCCGCGGAAATAAACGAATAAAAATGTCGGGAGTTCCTCTCCGTTGATATGCACATTTGCGTGGAACGTGGAAAGGTCGAGGTCCTCAAAACGTATTTTTAATGTTCCTGGGCACGTTCTGGAGCTAACGATTGCCACGCGCGAAGGCAAAGAATCCTCCCTTTCGCTGGTGTCAAAGTGCGGAAGTAGTCGTGAGAAGCTGTCACCTGTTTTAATGTTGCTCTTGCTCCGAAAGGGAATGAAAGCCAAGCTCTGTGTTTTGTCCCACACTCAAAACTGGCCGCTTCCCGATAAGTTTCGAATTCACGACCCCACCACTCCTGCCTACGTGGCCATTATTGCAGTCTTTCGCATAGATTGTGGAGGCCACTCTCTGCCATGCGAGATCTGGAGTTAGCCTTGGTCGCCTCTTTACTCTGTTGCGCCCTTTTCATTTGGAGACGATCTTCGCCGAGTGCCCTCCCTTTGCCGCCAGGGCCAAAAATTAACTGGTTTGGGAGTGTTAGCAACATCCCAAAGGTCAGGCCCTGGCTAATATATGGTGGACCATGGAAGGAAACGTTCGGCGACCTCATTTACATCCAAATCTTCGGCAACCCCATTCTGGTGGTCAATTCAGCGACTGCCGCAGCTGACTTGCTTGAAAAACGCGGCGCGAAGTATTCGAGCAGGCCCGTAAGGACTATGGTTGTTGATTTGTTCGTGCCCCTTCTCTCCAACCCGTTCCTGTGCTCAGTCAAAGAAGAATAGGTTGGGACTGGCTAGCCTCGTGTAGGTTTTCTGTCTTCGCTACTTTGTCAAGAAAACTGAATACCTCCACAGCATTCCCCTACGGCAGCAAATGGCAAAAACACAGGTACGAAATCCCCACCTTTTGTTTGCAAAACCGACTGTGGCTAGGATCATGTTCCATCGTCATCTACCGGCAAACGAGTCTTCCACCAAATACCATCCACTGCAGATTCAGGAAGCCCGTATTCTATGTCGCCGTTTATTAGACTCACCCGTCGATTTCCGACATCACGTCCGCAACGCTGCAGCGACCATAGTCTTAAGAATGGCATATGGTCAAAGCGTTGATACCAGTGGGCAAACTTGCATCTCGAAAGCTTTCCTGATTCCCTTTAGACGACTACGTTCCTCTAGCGGACAAGGCACTGTCGTCACTTGCACAAGCCGGAATATTTGGAACTTTTCTCGTGGTTTGTAATCTACACGTGGGTTGCTACCTCAGCCTTACTCGTTGCAGGATTATATTCCGATACTGAAATATGCGCCGTCATGGTTTACCTTCAAGCGCAAAGCTCTCGAGTGGCGAATACCCACCCGGGCTATGCGCGACCTCCCATTTGCCAAAGTCAAAGAACATATTGTGTGTTCCTCCTTGGCTAATGAATTGTTCTAACTCTGAGCTAGGCGCAGGGGAAAGGGTCCGACTGCATAGTGTCCCAAGAATTAGAAAAACTTTCTTGTGACTCGGGCTCCAAAGAGGGCGAAAATACTGTTGCCAATGTCTCGGCTACTATGTTTGCTGCGGGAGCCGATACTGTCGTCTCGACGTTGTCTGCCTGCTTTCTCGTGATGTCTCTGTATCCAGACATCCAGGCCAAAGCGCAAGCTGATCTCGACGCTGTTTTGGCTCAACGACGGCTTCCAAACTTTAACGACAGATCTCAACTCCCTTTCATTGTAAGTCACTACTAGTGTTTGGGTGAAGTATGCATTCTAACCCGGCGCCTAGGACTATATTTGTTATGAGGTAAAGTCATTGTGTCTTTGTGGCTTTTTCTTACCGTTGTTTAGTTATTGTGCGCCAAGATTGCTTATTGCTCAGCCTCTTTCTCGCTTAATTTTGTTCAGACGATGGCAACCAGTGACGCCCCTTGGGTACTAGACCAGCATTTCCCCGATCCAATTTCGCTGACCTTGATTGATAGGCTTGCACATTATACCTCCGGTCTGGTGCTTTGGTGCAAGCAATTTTTCATGAAACTGACGACATGCAGAGGAAGACGAATACCGTGGATTTCGGATACCCAAGGGCACGACAGGTAGCACATTTCATTTTCGAGTTGCTTACGTTTATTCAGCCAACCAAGTTTTACCAAATGTGTGGTCCATCTTACACGACCCTGAGACGTATCCAGATCCTTTGACTTTCAATCCGTGGAGGTTTGAAAACACAAGCAATGGTTTGAACCCGTTTCCAGGTAAGCACGCCGCCGCTTAAACGCTAAGCCCTAATGCCGAAGATTTCTAGATCCCGCTTTTGGTTTCGGACGTCGGTTTTGTCCGGGCAAGCATCTGGCTTTTGACACGCTGTGGATCGTTGTTGCATCCACACTAGCCGTCTTTTCGATCACGAAAGAGACCGATGCAAATGGGCAAATCAAAGAGCCTACCACTGAATTCACACCGCACCTACTGAGGTTGGTCTTGATTCTTTTTCTCAGACTTCCGCTGGAGTTTTCATAGCCATCCACTTCCGTTTGGTTGTACGATTACGCCACGATCGAGTAACGCACGCGAACTGATTTTAGAGTCGGATTTGTAGCCCACCTCATTGTATTTACTGTCAGCATTTGTCTTTTTACATGGTTATGCAGTAGGCTTGAATATCGGAAAATTGTTCACTATTGATTGTGACGAACCAAGACGTTGGAGGATTATCCGGCTGACATTGCTCTGTCGTTGGGCTTTGAACCGCAAATCCGCTGCCAGTCTTCGAGCAACAACAGCACTTGGTTGACCAAGTATAGGTCGTGGTAACTCGTTGAAGGCAACGTCGAGGTGGAGAGAGGCAGTAAGTATTGAGGAAATGATAGCCCCGAGAAGGTCACCCGGAACCTGCTGGTCTCCTAGAAAACGTTTTGAGCAGTTACGATGGCAAGGGAGGCAAAACTACACATACCAACTTGCCGTGTGTCGATGTTGGATATGAGGTTGGGCAACACCGTGTGGAAGAATGTCGGCATCAACGGCGGGAAACCAGGCAGTCGGGGAATTGTTATAGCAAAAGTTGCGAGACGGACGCAAACATCCATGTCTCCTGGCGCGAGCAGCTCTGACCACAACGTTCGCAAAAACTTTTCGGGTCCACAGATGTTAATGCACCGGTCAATATCGAGGGTGGGAGCTTTGGAGGCCCGCGCTTTCCCAATCGCCTCTCTGATTGCTCGCCGAGGGTAGCCAAGAATTTGAGCAGGCGTGGAAACTTGTTGAGGCGAAACTATTGACGTTAGGGCCGTTCAGCAAAGCATGACTAAACCGTGCACCACTTGTATTATGATTCCACGCTTGTGAGATGGTATTGAGCATCGCTGTCGCGTCTGCAGGGGGCATCCCATTTTGACTACGCTTGTCGTTCAGCAGGCTGGTTAGACCTTGCCCGCATAGACACTTGACGGCTCGTGGGCAATCCTGAGAAAGCAAGAGTGTGCGTAGAACGTGGAAATGTTTTGTCGTTGACGCAGAAAACCTAGTAAGTATTTGAGCCACGAATTAGTTTGCAGATGTCGCTGTACCCTCCAACCCGAATTTCTTGCATTAGATTGGCCACGACTCCAACCAGGGTCCATTTCAGGAGAGGACCACCAGTAAAATACGATATTCCATTGTTGAGGACCTCGCTGTCAATGTTGGGGTCTTTGAGTGCGAAGGAGAACAAAGTCGCTGAGATTTTCAGGAGTGTTTTAGGCTTCACAGAACTACAGCGCAGTTGAGCAGATCACTACAAGCGAGTGTGCAACTGACCGAAGTATTGTGTCTTCGATGCCCTCGCTGTTACGATCAAACAGCGCTTTGTACCATATGTTAAATGCCGCCAAGTCTGGGCCCTCTAGCTCGTTGACATTGTAGACGACAGCAGTAGCCCTGATGAAACGCGACGAAATTTGTCGCCCAGTACACCAGAAGACATCACTGGAGAGCTAGCGAGTGATTAATGGTGACTTTGTCGATGCCTAGCGAGGGTGCTACTCACATGAAAACGAACTAATAGTAGTTGTAAGAAGAGAACGACATCGCCAAGATAGCTGACTGCGGTTTGCGGATCGCCTTCGAAACATTAATACTACTCACGAGTGGAGCAAAGAACTCGCCTACTGTTTCACAGTCAAACTCCTGCAGACAATGGAGGGCGTGGAAGATGAGTTCAGAAAGATTCTGATGCATTGCAACCATATCAAGTGCAGAATCGATTTCGAGTGTTCGTGACCAGAAACTCGAGGCCTCAGTATCCAATGAAGCTGCAGCACTTGCGAAGCGCTATCAATGAGCGTGATTAGCGTTTATGGGATTCGAAGGAAGACATACGCTGAATGCATAGTCGGCGAAAGCTTTATGCATTTGGGGCTCTTGCCAGATTCGATCAATGAACACTGTGACATCTTCAAAGTCAATTTCTGGAGACAGTTTCGACGAGAAAAAGGCCTGTTGTGGAGGTCAATGGAAGCAATTGAGTACGGAGGCGGCGTGCATCGGGTTCATTTGTCTCTGATTGCGGTTCTGTTTGCATATGAGTCGGGTCGATAGCCAGAATGAACTGTAGATCTAGAAGGCTGGAGGACTGAAGTTGGCGTAACAGGTCACGGAATATAGACCGAGTCCTAATCTTGATCAAACACTATGACTGGGACATTGGGGTCGGCTCACTGGGTTAAACCTTCTTGAGCTAGATGTGTAGCAGAAAACTGATTGACTAGACGGTCGCAGCGCTCCAGAAGTTCTGTTCGTCTCATGAGTGCTGTGACAGCAACTTGGAGGGCACCCCTCTGAGAACTGGTCAGCATCGATGGACTAGACAATCAGGGCCTTACCCAATTCTCGGGTGCCCCATCAACATGTACCAGCTTTTCGAAAATGCTGAGGATTGACGGCAGCTGGAGTGAGCTTAGAGCAGTGAACAAAAAATCAGCAGAAGCCATACCCGGCTTACGATGAAAGATCTCCATAGTAAAGGCGACACAGTTGTGGTTTCCGTGAGGCATATGAAGGCGGAGAGAATGAGTTGAGTGTAGAATACCGGAGGTGCCCATGAGCTCCACCTAAACATGCTCACAAATAACTTGGCAGGATCTAATCCACTGCCAATACCGAGCTCATCTGCCCGGTGCATCATCTAACCGGTATCTTCATTAGTAGATAGAGAAAGACAAAAAAAAATTCAATGCTGACAAGGTAATTCAGGGTGAGACTGAAGCTGACAGTGTCATTGTTGGATGATATCGTATCGTTCTTACCAAGAACGAGGTGAGCGGCGTGCGACTCAGAGCTCTTGGACGCCTTGACATCAGAATCACCCACAAACAGACCGAGAGAGAGGGTGAATGCCTCCAAGGATTGTCTCACGTTCTGCGAGATGGAGTTTTGCGAGAGCATAGCATTGGCCTCACTTAGCAAGGCGATGCATTGTGCCGGAGGGCCCTGGGAGATTTCAACAACTGAAAACAGGAGGGCAACCAGTTCAGACGCAGATGTTGTTAATTGATGGAAATGGGATATACGGAGTCGCTGGACTACTGTCAACAGCGCAAGCGCGTCTTGAAGCGTGTTAAGCACGGTAATTGGGCTGTCGTAATCCGCCAGGTCTGTCGATGACTTTCCAGAAGAATAATGACTATCCAGAGCGACTCGACACAGCATGTCTAGCGTCGCCGGCGAGTGTAGCTCGGTGGAGCGAGCAGCTGAGAGAAGAGTCGACACGTAGATTGAAATGGGTAGTAATTCGCTCTGAAGGGCGATTTTCAGGTATTCCTGTAGGACCGCATCGCCAGGAAACGAACGATAGAGGACAAGGACAGAGTCTCCAATATCATCAGTAACAACGCCAACGCTATAACAAGAATACGACGCACTACTCAGAGCGCGCTGTGAGGCTTGGGGACTTTCGTCGTTCTGCTTGCTCAAGAATAACTTGCAGAATGAAAGCCATTTGGATGGACTAATGCCACCTTGGAAGCTGTTGCGTGTCAAGTCGTCGAGAGACATGAGAGTCACAAGTGGACTATTCCTCTCAAGCTTCAGGCTGAAATTGTCTTGTGCTGGTCAGAAGCAATTTGTGAACGAAGCGCGAAGACAACATCCGTCACCAATGTACGTAATCAACATTATCATACAGACGCTACACTTTCGCTATCAACCTGCGCGTTTCCTGCGGTGTAAAATGGAGGATAATTGACAAAACTTTGACCAAGTTAGGCTGTAAGTGCCCATTAGCACCAAAGTACAAATGATAAACTTCAGCTTACCCTCATTTCCTTGTGTTCTAGGAATTGCAGGATGACATTCCGCAGATATTCAAGGTTAACTTCCTCTTCTTGTTTCACTGGCGAAGGAGATGCGACTCGGGAGTCGGAAGAGTTGGAAGATGTCGATGTCCGCGTTTCGGGCTGATCTGTTGGCCGTTGCGTCCAGTACCCAACACCGGGATTGCCTGAAATTGACATGATGATTTGAATAATCCTAATAAAAACCCTTACGCTGTCGCTCCAAAAGGGCAGCAGATGACTGTACTTTGCGTAATTCTTCTCGGAGAGTCTAAATCATTTCAGTGGTCACACTCTGGATTGTTAACGGATGCGCACCTTACTGTTGGCTCGTAGTTGAGCTTCTCGGGATTTTGCTTCTTCCAGTAGTTGCTCCAATGCACTGATCTTGGCGTTCGTCTCTGTTTCTTGTGCCTTGTTGGACATCTGAAACTAATGAGCACAGATAATCATATAGTATGGCCTAATAGTCAACCTCGACATCCGCCAGTGATGCAGAATCTTCTTTCAGCTGCAACAATTCAGCTTGGCTGACGTGTAGTTCCTCTTTTAAACGCAAAATCTCGTTTTGAAGCGCCTCAACCTGCCCTTCGTCGATGCGTAAGCTTTGGGCTGTCGATCCCAGTGCCTGCTTGAGCTCCTCGTTCTCCCGAACCTTCTCCCGCAACTTGCGGCTCCATTGTGCCTCGCTTTCATTGCGTTCCTTCTCAGCAACACTAAGGTTCTTTCTTGCATCCGCGAGCTTGACCTCATATTTAGCCTGAGTGGCAGCAACCAATTGAGCAATGTCCTCTGCAGAACTGCTGGGTTCCCTTGCACGAATATCCTGTTCTTGGCGACGTTCGGAAATATCTTGGTCCAAGAGGGCGAATCGCTCTTGAGATTCTCGCAACTGATATTCGAGTTCAGTAATTTGACTCTGTAGAAGTTCGATATGTGACTGGGCAGACTCGACCTCAGCTTGTCGAAGTTGAAGTTGGTCGAATAGAGCGTTTTTATCGTTGGTGAGAGTAATGATGCTCGTGTCCAGCGACGAAACTCGAGATGTTAATGTTGCTACTTCTTTTGTGTGTGCACTCTGCGCGGAAAAATGAGAGGGTGGCGGCGAATGAGCATGGGAATAACCTTTGTTGTCAGAGCCTCGAGCTCGAACTGCCCACGAAGAGTAGCAATTTCTTTCTCGTGTCTCTCCCTTATTCCGGAGATCTCTTTATCAAACTGCGTCTTTAGACCAGTGACGGCCTTCTCCCGCTCTGCATTCACGGCCTCAATCTCGGCTTGCATCTTCGCCTTTTCTGCCTGTGATGCAGTCCCTTCAGCCTTTTCTTTTTCCTTCAAAGCTGTAGCTTCGCGTTGAGCATCGTCTTTGTCCTTCTCAGCTTTGACGAGTTTTTGCCGAACAGTCTTGAGCAGACTGATTGCCTTGACACGTTTCTCCTCCTCCTCTTTCGCGACTCGCTTTGACTGCTCAATGTCGGTCTGAAGCCGTTCTATTTCCGCTGTTTGGGCGGCTGCACTCTCCGTGCTTTGGGCAACAGAGCCTTGAGATGCAGAGATGAGCGTTTCAGCTTCTGAGAGTTGTTTCTTCAAGTGTTCTATCTGAGCCGATTGCGAGGAGGACTCCAAACGATGGGTATCGCGCAACTCTTCAATACGACTTTCCTGTGCTGTTGAATTCTTCATTAATGGAAGCGAACAATATAAAGCAGACACACTCTCAAGTCGTCCGTTCAAACGCGTGATCTCTCCCGTCGACATCTACATCGCATGAAGAGCGTTGTGGTTTCATAGGATCTATACGCACCTCTGCCTTCATGATAATATTTTGCACGTAGTCTCGGAGAGCATGCGAGTCACTGACACTTTCTAGAGGAGTAAGTTCCCGAAGGATTGCGTCGGCCGCAGCCTTCTCTGCTCGCAACCTCTTGAACGAGGTAGAGACATCTAGCAGGCCCAATAAGGCCGGGATTAGGGTCAAATAATTACTCACCAGAGAAGCGCTGTTCCACAAGCTTCAATCGCTCTTGTAACGCGTCGACATTGGTTAACTGTGGGATATCGGGCAACGCGTCCGCGACAGGGTCTGGGTCATCGTTGGGTATTTCTAAGGGTAGTGCATTCGGTGGTGGTTCAAGTTGGATTGGAGAAGCAACCGGCGAGTCTGGGAGTGGCGTAGATGAAGGTGAGAGTGGGAGAACAGTTGTGGGTTGTGGCGTGGTGGGTTGCTCTTCAGTTATAGCATCTTTTGGTGGCGAGGGGGAGGCTCTTGTGGATGCTACGGGTGTCGGTTCTGAGCTGGACGCATCGCCAATGGTGAATGAAGCGCGTAGTCGGTCTTCAAGCGTTGTTCGTTTATGGGGAGACGGGCTGGCTGGTCGGTGTTGTTGAAGGTGCTTAGCCGGACTTGTTGGTCGGGCTGGATTAGAGTCTGAAGAAGGGCGTGGGTGGGCGATGTTTTGAACAAACGTCGAAAACATGTTGGTGCCGAAAGCAAGGCGAGTAAATATTTTTACGTGACCACATCCGAGTTTGTACTACTCTCGACCTCCTTCCCCTTCCCATTTGCCATTGGAGGGCTCTCTGCTAGCTGCCAGGCGGGTATGGAAGGCCTCCCTAATGCTGGCATTGGCGAAGCAGGGAGACTGCTGCTGGTTGGACCACGACTTAATAATAACGCTTTAAGCGACTTGAGTTCCTGCTGTAACTCTCCAAGGGACTGTGCTTGGCTCTCTTTATTCCGCTCAATCATCTAGAGACTATTAGTATTGTTTGCTGAGTACCAGTCAAACGCACTTTAGGCAACATTTCGCGAATAGAGTTGACTTCATCTCTGATTTCTCGCATCTCGTCGCGTGTTTTGGCCTCTCCATCCCTCATTTCTTGAACCATGATATCCACATTCTTCGTTGTCTCGTCAATTCGCTCCTTTTGAGTCTCCACTGCAATCCGAACTGCAGCTGACTCGGCTTGAATTTCCTTTAGCAACGCTTCGGCGGCATCGAATTGGGCGGTTAAGGCGTCTCGATCGTGTTCATACGCGGTAGAGGTTGGGGGTTGAAGATGTGGTAGCAGATATTTCTGGTCTACGTTGAGTTCGAGTCAGGCTAGGGCTCATCCCGAACCTTGAAGAGAGCGACGGCACCATAAGTAACCGTACCGGAAACCACAGCGGTTATCTAGTTGCGTTAATTATCGAGAGTAAAACGAACAGCCAGCCCACGAAGTAGTCTCGCCAGTCCCATTTATATGCCGGAGGCGATATTGGGTAGGCGGCATAGCTTCCCGTTTGGGCCGCTTGTCGAATAGCAAGGTCGATTTCAGACGGAGTGAGGCCTTTGGCCTCTAAGAATTGGACCCTTTGAGCATATGGAGATGTCTGAGTCTATGCCAGATGAGATTGAGAGGGTTGAGAGACATAAATATACATTGGGGTCGTTGAGGAAGACAACGGCGTTGCGTATGAGTTCGTTCCGGTCAGACATAATTTGGCACGTGAGCTTTTTCAAAGTTTCTGCTTTCCATGTTCGCGTCGAAATTTGCAGTTGCCTCGCTCTCGCGAGGTATTGGGCAAACTCAGTCTGTTGGCCACCTACTGAACCTTTTTAGGTGCTCTTTTCCCTACATGCCGTCGGTCATGGCTTCCCTCTGCGCTGAGTTTGTCGACTCTTTCTCCTTGAAGCATGCATGGTTGACGGTCATACAGTCTCCAGGAGAGGATACGCAGAGGTTTATAACCGTGCGAAGCCCCACATGAACATTGGCACAATTGGTGAGTATCGTTCCCTCTCAACCTCATTCTCTGACGCGCCGTAGGCCATGTCGACCACGGAAAAACAACCCTCACCGCCGCCATCACCAAGATTTTGTCTGAACAAGGCGGTGCGAAGTTCACAGACTACGCTCAAATCGACCGGGCTCCAGAAGAAAAGGCGCGAGGAATTACAATTAATTCGTCTCACGTCGAATACGAGACGGAGACCCGTCACTACGGCCACATTGACTGTCCAGGCCATGCTGACTGTTTGTTACAACACAAGCTTTTCTGCGAAGAGTTTTTAACAAAATTGCAGACATTAAAAACATGATTACCGGTGCGGCACAAATGGACGGTGCTATCATCGTTGTTTCTGCGACTGATGGCCAAATGCCTCAGACGCGAGAACATCTCCTGCTCGCTCGCCAAGTCGGGATCAAGCGACTCGTCGTCTTCATTAACAAAGTGGACATGATTTCGGACCCGGAAATGCTCGAACTGGTGGACATGGAAATGCGCGACTTGCTGACTCAATACAACTTTGACGGTGAAAATACGCCCATTGTCATGGGCTCTGCTCTTGCTGCTCTTGAGGGCCGTGACGATGCTACTGGCGCCAGCAAAATCAAGGAGCTCGTTGCAGCTTGCGATGCTTGGCTTGAACTACCTCCCCGTATGAGGACCATTGTCTCTTTTTTGTGTGCCTAATCTCGTTGCAGGTGATCTCGAGAAACCCTTCTGTCTACCAGTCGAAGGTTTGTTATAATTCAGGCAAAGCAGATACTTTTCTCATGCCACGATAGATGTTTTCTCTATCTCTGGCCGTGGCACTGTCGCCACTGGACGGGTATGCATTCACTTGGTTCATCAGTCTTGACTCAACAAAATCTAGGTTGAACGAGGAGTTGCTAGCAAAGGCACTGAAGTTGAAATTATCGGGCTTGGTGACAAAATCAAGACTACTCTTACTGGCATCGGTGCGTCTATCCATTATTACTTCAGAAGACCATCTCACATTCTTCAAGAGATGTTCCACAAAGAGCTCGACCGGGTATGTTGTGGGTTCTGTGTGAGCGGACTTTTTTTTGATGGACTTGACCAGGCAGAGGCTGGAGACAATCTTGGTGTACTCCTTCGTGGTCTCAAACGTGAACAACTCTCCCGAGGACACCTCATCATTGCCCCGGGCTCTATGAAAGCAGTCAAGAAGTTCCAGGCCCAAGTCTACGTATGCATTTTCTTGGAGGGTTATCATTATACTAAGCAAGGTCGCAGGTTCTGACCAAGGATGAAGGTTTGTTGTACATCTTCGCCCACGACCAAACTGATGGATTTCAGGTGGCCGATACACTCCTTTCATGGCCAACTACCGTCCCCAGCTGTTCATGCGGACCGCCGATGTGACTGTTGGTCTCACCTTCCCCCCAGGAACTGAGAACGCCGAAGAGAAAATGGTATGCACTTCCTTTGCGGGTTCTTCATTTTGGCTTATCCATTAGGTTATGCCTGGCGACAATGTCGAGCTCATTTGCGATCTCGGCTTTGATCTTGGATGTGAAGTTGGCACCCGGTACGCTATCCTGCCTCTAGTTTAGTGAGGACGCTGCTCATCATAAGCCAGGTTTACCCTCCGCGAAGGAGGCAAGACGAGTGAGTTGCTATTTTCTTATGCTTTTGTTGAATGAACTAACTGGGCGATAGTTGGCACGGGAATCGTTACCAAAATTTTAGAAACTGTCTGAACGCTTGCTCTAAAAAATACACACATAAACTTGTAGCATAGACTTAACCTAACCCCAACTCTTTTCTCTAACGTCGGGGTGGAATAATAATAATAATGATTGTCGAGCGAGACGCTGCCGTTTATAGTAGGCGCACTTTCACCATGCACTCCATCCTCCGTTCCGCCCGATCCACAAGCCTCTTGCGCGCTCGCCCACGCGTATTCCAACCAACTCAGCTTGCTCGAAGCCTCGTCAGTGCGTCATAGAAGAAATCTGTCCAGCACTGTGATTTTGACCCACCGTAGCAAAACGATTCACCGTTGAACATGAGGCGGTAGAATTCGACGATGCGACTGGACTGGGGGTTGTCCGCATCACCGACCATGCTCAGCAGTCATTAGGAGATGTCGTTTTCGTGGAACTGCCCGTGGTGGGTACCAAGGTTGCGCAAGGCGGTATGTTGGACTTCTTTTTTTTTATTGATCCATTTTATCACGATACCCTCAGACCAAATTGGGGCCGTAGAGAGCGTAAAAGCCGCGTCTGACATTGTGAGTGTCTCCCCCAAATGCACGTTAACCCAAATTTCGACAAATATGGACAGTATGCGCCAGTTTCGGGAACGATAACGGAGGTCAACGACGCTCTCTCCACACAACCTGGACTCCTCAACAAGTCTCCCGATGACAAAGGTGCGCCAAGCGGACCTCTCCATGCTGTTCTTCATTTGCTGCAGGCTGGTTGTGCAAAATCAATCTGACCTCTCCAGATGAGGTGAGTTCTGACTTGTAGACCTAGCGGAAACTGAGTGGGTGTAGATGGAGAAGCTTTTGACGGAGGAGGCGTATAACGAATCGTTGTGAACGAGTTATATTACAATCCATAGACTTTCTAAGCTTGCGAAGAAGAGGGCTCATATTTGTATTTCTCGCCGCGCTCCTCCATACGTTGCTTTGCCTCTTTGAGTGCCCATGTCTGGATGCTGCAAGAAACTTTAAGGCTGAATCTGTGGCTGATTGGATAACCACGCACCTAGTGTCGGGTTTGAAGTACAATAGAACAGCTCCAACACCCATCGACCCGTACATTCCCCAATACCACAGGTTCTCCCAGGGCTCTTTTATCCTACGATGTCCAGGTGGAGGAGGCTATGGCATGTTACTTCGTGAAAGAGTTCTAAAGGTCACCCACCTTTTCGCCGAAGAGCAAGCCAGTGGGTTCGTTGTATTGTGGGGCACCATGCGACGCGCTCCGCACGTTTCGTAGTCGGCTTAGGCAAGCTCGCCGCGAAAGGATTGCGGCTGACATCAAAGTCGGAGACCAAGTTAGATGGACGTGACAGGACGACAGTACTACAGTACAAAGTCTATGGCTTATTGTATTCTCTTGGATAGAATCTTGTAGTCCTCCTCGTCTTCGTCATTTGGAGATTGCCAATCCATTCGAAACCTGGAGAAACGTATGTAAGCTCAAGAATTTATGCGTGTGTCAATATACCCAGCCGTTTCGTAGAACCGGAGCGCGGCAATGTTGGCTGTGTCTTCTGGTCAGGAGAGAATGGGAAAATGAACAATGCTTGCCTTTGAACACGGTCAACATGATTTTCTGCATCTTCATGTCCTTCGCGATGTTCGCTAAATACTCCATCAAGACACGTCCGAGACCTCGCCTGCGAGCAGCTTCAGAGACTTGTAAGTCGTAGCTGCATCTGATATGAGCCCATTTAAATGTCTGAACAGACAACCATTACCAGTATAAGATATCATTTCCGTCTTCAAACTCGAACCTAAACGTGACAAACGCGACAAGCGCAGCACCGGTTTTCACAAGGAGAAAGCGACTAAGAGGGTCAAATAGTTCCGCTTTCTTGGCCGGCGGATCCCAACCAAATGATGAATTGGTATACCTATCGTCCTCAATTGAAGTCAAGTTGAACGAGATGCAAAGCGGTTACATTGCGCGCATATTGGCTGCGAAAATAGCCCATATCGACTCTCGAGACGTGTCATCGAGTTCATCGGCTAGTTTTACGACGAATCCATGCCTTTTGGCGATGGTTGAGCAGTGAGACTCGCAGTGACGAAGGATTTGTACGTGGTTTCGGCAGGGGTACCGATGCTTTTTGCAATCTGAGAAGCAGGAGCCTCTTCGACATAAGCCAGAGTCGATGTTGTCTTGAGCTCAAAGTACCTTGTTGGCTGCTGCGACGTGTTTAGAGCCAAAAGCAATGTCGCTCATGATGGTCTGGCAGATCAAATTCCTGATTAGGGTTTACTCACCACCACCATGAAGCTCGATGCAACTGATTTACGCTATGTTACGCCCGACGAATTTCGTGTTCTGACTGCTGTATGGTCGCTTATACCGTCTGGGATTTTTTTCCAAAGTCATCGTAGGTCGAAATGGGCTCAAAAAACCACGAAGTTGTCCCGACCGTGCTAATTGCTCAAATCTCGGGTCTACGGAATGGAGGGGTCAACAAACTTATCGGCTCTCTCGCAAAGCGCAACCTAGTCTCCAAAGTCCAAAACTCCAAATGTAAAAATCCCTGCAACACTAGTCACATTATTCTAAATATGGTTTGGGTAGACGACGGCTACAGACTGACCTATGGCGGCTACGATTATCTGGCCATGAGAGCACTCTCGAAAAGAGACTCGATGTATTCTGTCGGAAACCAAATCGGGGTTGGAAAAGAATCTGGTCAGTTTACTATGGGTCGTTGTCTATCATCACTCATTGTCACCCAGATATCTACATCGTTGCTGATGCTGAAGGTTCAGAAATGGTTCTCAAGATGCATAGGCTAGTTTTCATAGCTCCTCCGTCCTTTTTTTCCCCTGATGCACTTCAGATTGGGTCGTATATCGTTTCGGGCCATCAAGGAAAAGCGAGACTATCTAGGAAAGCGCAAATCGGCGTCTTGGATGTACATGTCACGATTAGCGGCACAAAAGGAATGGGCCTTCATGAAAGTAATTGCAACACGTGCGCTTCTAATCCCCGTCGACCCCCCTTATAGGTCCTTCATGAACATGGGTTTCCTGTGCCGCGACCCATTGACCAGGCAAGGCATTGCATTCTGATGGAACTCATTGACGCATATCCAATGTAAAGTACCTTTGACAATCACGATCAACCACTCACAAATAACTGAAAGGCGCCAAATAGCAGAGGTTCCCTCACCTGGAAAATTATATTCCACTCTGATGGATCTAATCGTCCGATTTGCACACGCTGGTCTCATTCATGGGGACTTCAACGAGTTTAACATTCTCATTCGGCGAGAGACCGGGGAGCCTGTTGTCATTGACTTTCCCCAGATGGTCAGCACCTCGCATGAAAATGCCGAATGGCAAGTGCTTTTCACCCGCTTGACACTACGTTCATATGTCCAGGTATTTCAATCGAGACGTAGAATGCATTCGCACATTTTTCAGGCGACGATTTCGTTACGAAAGCGCGCTGTATCCGCGGTTCAAGACCATCATGACTGAGGATGGTCTTGCGACTGGGGAGTTCCGTCTAGATGTGATGGTTGCGGCCAGCGGCTTCAAACAAAAAGATATGAAAGCCCTTGAAGAGGTTCAGCCCGTTTTGCTCAGCAAATGCATCACCATCTGACCAATAAAACCAGTACATGGAGGCGGTGAAAGACGATGATCCTCCACAAGAAGAAGAAGAAGAAGAAAGCGACAGTGAAGAGAGTGAAGCCTCCAATGCAGAAGAGACTGCCAGTCTTAGCCCACCTGAACAAGCCAGAGGCGAACCTATCGAGGAGGCCCCAAGTAGCGAGGACGATGGCTTGTCAGAACCTTCCCGCTCTCTTTCTCGATCCCCTCCGCGCTCGCGGACAACTTCACCTACGGAACCTCGGAAAGATCCGGAAACCGACATCAAAGAAATCGTTTCGGGAGATTTGAGTAAAAAACGGGCACACCAACAGAGGAAATTCCACTCCAAGAGGAATACGCGGCGCGCCGGCAGGTCCCAGGGTAGTAAAGCTAAACAAGATACCCGTATCAAACTAGATAGTGGTGGATTTTGGGATTGAACCGCATTTGAATCATTCGTGACGTGACACTGTGTGACACATTCTCAGCCAGACTGTGAGCATTCGCGCCGTTCGTCCTCGATCTCCGTCTTCTCACCCTAATTCTCACACCGATACACAATGGACAAAGCTGATCTTGAGACTTACGAAGTTCAATTATCCCAAGTCGAGCTGGCCATATCATCAGACCCAGACAACGCCGAACTTCAGTCTCTCCGTTCAGAGCTTCAAGAGCTCATACAGCTCACCAAATCGGCCCTCGTTGCTCAAGCTGTTGCTACATCTTCGGCCAAAGCAGAGTCATCGAAGAAGGCCAATCCATCGACCCCGGCTGCCCAGAAATGGGCTGCGGGCCAAGAGTGTCTGGCCAAATACGCTGGAGATGGCAGCTACTACCCGGCGCGGATTACTTCTGTTATCGGCTCAACGGACAACCCATTGTACATCATCATGTTCAAAGGTTACAACACCACCGAGCAGGCCAAACCATCCGAGCTAAAGCCGCTGCCACCCCATTACAACTTCATTGCGCCGACATCCACCAAACGGAAGCTCACACCAGCTGAGGAGGAGGAGAGAGAACGGAAAAAGAAGAAGAACGAGAAGAAACTAGAGGTCAAGGCGGCAAAGGCCAAAGAGCAGACAGAAAAGCAGGCTACTTGGCAGAAATTCACAAAGAAAGCGGAGAAAAAGAATGTCCATATAGCAGGTATAGCGGGTACAAGGTGCGTGTCATTGTCTTCGCTTAGCATTCACATCCTGAGCCATTTTTTTCCAGTATATTCAAGACACCAGATAATCCATTAGGACGTGTTGGCGTAACGGGGAGTGGGAAAGGGATGACAGAAGTAGCCATGCAAGCGAAGCACAAGTTTGCGGCACAAGCAGACGATGGGTATTAGAGGTTCGTGTCTTGATCGTCGTCTTTCGCTGCCTGACCTGTTTGAAAGTGCCAGTTTTTTCCTTTCATTTGTATGATCGAATTGTAATAACGATTCCCGTGCTACCAGGTACCACTGGCTAAACGCGTTCACGCAAACGCGACGCGAAAAAGACAAGTGCTCTCCACGTCTTTGGCTTGGCATTCTGAGTAAAAAAGCCCTCTTCACAGGCCTTGGTCTTGTGCAGCAATTCTCTGATAAATTGGGTGCAGTGTTTAATGCCCCATTTACCCTGTTCACTTCTTTTTACCAGCAGGCATGCCATTATCCGGTCGCTGGAAGGAGAAGCCGGATGACTGTGATAATTGATTTGGACTTGGAGACTCGTCCAACTAGATAAGTACAACAAGAAGTAACTATTAATTCATGTCCGACTTCAATGAGATTTACTAGCCCTCACGGCTTCCTCTTTCTTTTCGTTCTGTGGCCAGCTTTAGTGAACAAAAATGTAGTGCTCGCAGCTTCGACAAACCATTTCACGCATTTCAGCCAGTTTCCGTTGATAAAGCGAGATTTGTTTTTCGAGTTTTGCGATCTTGACCTGTAACAGCGTGAGAGATTCTCCGTCGTTTGAACAAACGTCCACTTACTTGCGCAATCTTGGGAGCGGGGAGGAGCATGCTGGGCTCCAACTGGACCTTATAATGCCCCGAACTGACATCAACTTAGCTGGTCGACAAGGCAGAGGTATAAGAAAGCCACTTCTTCAGCTGGTTGTGAAGATCGTCGATGTACTTTTTGACTACGAACACTCTGGTCAGCGAGTGCCCCAAGCAGCCAACGAGAAAAGACCCAACTACTCGACGAATAGATCGGACGACGGTCGGTTATATTCATCGTGCTCAACTCTTGGGCACTGAAGATGCCGAGGGTAGCTTCGAAGTCATGATGCCATGTCCTGCGAGGTTTGCGCTCAGTGTTGGCTTTACGAATGACTTTCGTTGCGCCCTCTTTCTTTGTGCGCTGACCAGGCATGGGAAGCGAATGAGAAGCCAAAGCACGCTTCTGAGTTGCTTTATTGAGGCTAAAACCTTGACGGTGATGGCCGGCTCGAGAAGTACCGAGCGTTTCTTACTTCCTGCCGCCCACTTGAGCCCTGTCTGAATGAACTAACTGCGTTGCTCCAGCCCAAATAACACCGATGGCCCTGTTCACTGGCCACGAAGACCGTCGTTTTCTCTCTGCTCCCCAAGAGCCAGGGTACTCCGTCTTTGCCGTGCGTCATTTCGACTTGCTCAACCACGCCATTCATTTTCCCTCTAACCAGGATCTTTCTCCTACACTACTTCCCACCTACGATATCGATCCATTTAATGAGGCGTCATCAGGCGTCTCTGATAATTTTGCTTATAGCAATTTGAGCTTGAACCACTCTTTCGACGTCCCTCTCAACTGCGATTTTGACTTGGCGGCATTGAATATAACAATCCCAGCCGAGCTTCAGTACCTCCTACTTCCTGATCATGAGCCCTTGTTGCAGCCACCACATGATGCCACCGTCGACTCCGATTTGCTTGCTGAAGGCGACCAAAGCACACCCGCTTCTTCCCCGAACTCAGAGACTGCGAATGCGAATGCGATGACCCCAGATAATGCTTTGTTTCCGACCGACCCGTCCTCTCCAACCCCGGACCAAAAGGCGTACGTCATGTTTGTCCCTTCGCCCATTCAACTCATGTCAGAACTTGTATTCACTTCCCCAGCCCCGAGAAAATCAGCTTGCATGAGAAGAACCGTCTACATCTGGAGGGCTTGGAGCGCTACACTCATCGTAGGCTTTCTCCTTTTCAACCCTGCCCAAATGCTTGTCGTCATTTTAGATTTGCTCGATGTGTGCCAGAAGAACAACGTTCAGCCAGTTCCTTGCCAGCAACAAGTGCAGCACTATGATTTGTCTCGTGATGCTCTCAAAGTATCCTCGTTCTGATTCAACAAGCAAGGTGACTTGTGCTGACGTGATCGTTGCAGACCATGCTTCTGTATCTTGAGACTGAACAACAATCCCTGAAGAGACAAATCAAGGAGGAACAGATTCGGGTGCGTGGTCCTTTTTGAACCCACGCTTGCTTTCTTGTTGATTCTTGAAACAGTCTGAACGACTTGACCTTCGGCTGGCAATGCTTCACTGACGGACACAATTCTCACACTTGAAGAAAACGATCGACAGCCTTGTAGTACAGATGTGATGACTTCCTTGCTACCTACATACAGAATGATATCGAGTCCATTGACAATTGTTAGTTCATTAATCCTCATAAGAGGGTGGGGGAGCATCGTCATATTCGTTGGAAAATTTACCTGAACCACTACCACCAGCCCTGCTACTAGCAAGCACACGCTCACGCTCTTCACGCTCCAGACGACTCTTCTCTTGCTCAGCCGTCTCGTGATGTTGTGCAGCCTCTGAATACGCCTGCAAACGACGCTTCTCCTCAGTCGCACTCTCGAAAGTATTATGAGAGCTGCTTGGCGTGCCATAACCCGGAATAGATGGCTCATTTCCAGGCAATCCTCCGCTTCGTGGCCCGGCCGAATGGGAGGCAGCATGAATATCATGAAGCGAGCCACTAGCTGGACCAGGCCCAGCCGCACCCGCTGACAGAGGAACTCCAGTCTCTGCTACCGTGGGAAGACTCGCCGGATCGAGGGGGATCGGGGCAGCGATAGGCGAATCAGGTGCAGGGGCGAGATTTGGAATAGGGGCTGGCGATAAATTGAGGGTCGACGGATCGATGGGAGGAGGAGACTGTGTTGTTGTTGTTGTTGCTGCTGCTGCTGGTGTTGTTGACGATGAAGTTGGCGTTTGGCGATGACCATGAACAGTGCCGTGGCTACCTCGTCCATGAGATGAGGGCGTCGAGGTGGATGTTTCTTGGCTTTCGATAGCTTCGAGTTCTTTGGCGTGACTTATGCCAAAGCTGCGGGTGTCCGAGCGACTGAGATCGACTGAGGCAGTTGAAACGATGGGAAGATCTATTTGTCCAGTTTTGTAGTTGTCCAAGGCACGTTGCAAGGCGGCACGAGCAGCGCCTGTTGCCAAAGTTCCGGTGTAGGGGGTTTCTACTGTCGGGGGGAATTTAGGCAGTGCTTCAATCACTGGAGTAGCAGCCTGTGCAAGGATGACGAGTTTTTCGCCGAACTGACACAGAAAGAGTCAACGATACGACCAGGCTCCGAGGCGAGCAGGGCATACCTCACGAATGGCTTCCCATTTCTGGGTTTCGCTTGTGCGGATGGCTTGGCGCTTGCTTAATCTGAGCGATGGGAGGGTCAGGGAAAACGAGCACTGAATTTTATAGACATACGCAAGCTCTGCTTCTTGTGGTTGGTCTTCAGCAATTGCATCCTTCAACTTCTGTTGAAGTTCTGCCAGCCGTTTCTCCATTCCGCGTGGTTGGTCTTGCTCGATGCGATTGATTTGCTGCTGGAGGCTGGCTCGAAGGTTGCGACGAGGTTGTACGGCAGCCTCAATTGTCCGTAGATTCTTCATCGGCCCACGGGCGCCATTGATTTTCTCTCCAAGTGTGGTAGAAAGAGCGCCCAGAACGAAGTTCATATACGCTAGGCGGTCGGTAACATCTTTGAGGTCTGCCGCTTCTCCTTGACCCCAAGTATAGAGCTCCTTGCTCATCGCCTTGCTGTCCCGTCCGAGACTGTCAAGATCAAGGGCAGCGCCTTTCTCCACGGTGATAATGCGTTGGATGGGTGTTGTGGAGCTCGAATATTGCTGGCCAAATGAGCGCAGCGAGTGGTGGATCGAGTCCAAGGCATGAGAGTCGCCAGGCAAAGCGCTCGAAAGTTTCCCGGCAAGAGATGCGAACATGGAGGTCGGGAGAAAGAATGATTAAACAGCAATAGACGTCACGCTAAGTACTACTTATACAAACAACACCACCACACACAGCTTTCCTCCCGACTCTTCTCGCACCTCCATCTACGATGACCCAGGCTCGGAACTGGAAGGGCACCGAATAAATTGTGCACAAAGGAGTCTTTCGGGCTCAGACGACAATTTTGCGTGACTTGCCACCCTTTTTCTCGCTGTCTTTGTGCGACAGGAACTCCACCTCTGTGGACAAAGGCCCCGCGAGCTTCGCATGATCAGCATATCCAAGCACGCTTGTCTTGAAATGTTTGCCGACCCCCTCGATTCGCTCTCGCAACTTATCGTCTTCTGAACCAGACGGGGCCAGCCGTGTCCAAATCGAAAGTCGGTAAAACTGTGGTCGCGTAGACACGATGACGCCTGTAATCAGAGAACTGGGTGGCGATCCGGCTGGATCTGCTGACGTGAGTGATGGGTCAAAGGTCTCTCCAATGGCAGCAAGCATCTAGCCGGTTGTTTGGTATTCGTTGCTTTCCGAGACGATGCAACACACCGTATAAAGCCACATTTTATCGACGTTACCTCTGTTCTTGTCCTTCGGTAGTTGGATGCTCCATTTTCCGCCGTTTTTGTTTGCTTCGTCCTCCCATGCTGGGATAATTCCCTCCTACAGTTAATGATGAGTTTTAGTCAGGCTGTCTTCAAAAGAAAACATGCCTTAAAGAGATAGTAGTTGGCCTTTTGCGGCAATTGTGACGGCGGGACGATGTTGTTATACAGCCTTTGGAAGAGATCAGTCCAGGAATCGATGGCGCAGTCAAAGAGAACGCACCCCCAGAACTCTTCAACGCTGTCAAAACTGATGACACGCTTGATGTCCTCCATCCATCCTTGAGCAGCAGCCACACCAGGTGTTTGCGCAACAGGAGTCTGAGGAAAGGCAGAAATTGGAGTCTGGGGCATGTTACGACCCTTCGTTTGAGGCGAGTCGAACCATAGGGTCCAAGGAGAGTAGAGAGGATGCTACAAGCGTTGAATTTATGCTTGTTGACACGAATTGCATTCGCCGCACCTTGACGTTAAAGTTTGTAGGATCGCTAAAGACGGTCCTGATAGTTTCTGCTTGGGTCTGCATGTCAACCTCCTGGACCTCGCCTGGTTCAGAGTCATCGATCGTGGCATCTTTCGGAGGGTCTGAGAGCGCTGCTCCAGATGGCGCGGGGCCGGACAAAACAGACATGGTGTGAGAGGGAGGAAGAGATATTTGTGTGTGTGACTCGTCGTGTTACCGTGACGTCGCGCTTTGCCCATGAACTTGAATGAGTTCAATGCAAAGTTTGTTGCCGCGGCCTCGGGCTCTACGCTCACTGCGTTAACAAGTCCTTTATTTCCTCTGCCATATAAACCTTAATACTCAAAAGATCTCTAGTGACCCCGTTCGATGTTGTCAAGACCCGTTTACAAACGCAACAACCATTACCAGTGCGAGCCCGGCCCTTACCGAATGTTTGCTGCCAGCCCTCCAATGTTCAATGCGTGCGCCAGATGTCAACGTTTGCTCGCTCCTTCACCGCTGAGCAAATCGTCTGTGTCTGGGATCATGGTGTTTTCCGAGCTGAGCCGGTTTCCGGTTTTACTGACGCGGTTCGTCACGTGTGGAGAGCCGAAGGCATACGAGGGCTTTGGAAAGGCGTTGGAACCACCTTGTCAGTGTCTTTCACTTGGTATCGACTTAGCCAGCGCTGACTCTTTGAGCGCAGGGTCATTGGAGTGCCGTCCTCTACGTGTTATATGCTGACTTATGACTATTTACTCCACTCCGCGCTGGCTCCTCTATTACCCGCATCGCTTGCTCCCTTATGCTCTGGCATCCTTGCACGCTCTACTATTACGTCCATCGTGTCGCCTCTCGAACTCATTCGCACAAACCTTCAATCAACACCCAACCATGGCCAAAGTCCCCACACTCTTCGATCAGTTCTCCACTCGATACACGGCCTGGCTCGGGAGAACGGCATCCGCTTTCTTTGGAGGGGTCTTGGTCCTACGCTCTGGCGCGATGTCCCTTTCTCTGGGATATACTGGGCTGGCTACGAGTCGACTAAAAACGCGTTCCGACAACGCGGTCAAACCGGGGCATATGTGTCCTTCATCAGCGGTTCACTTAGCGGCATCTCAGCTGCCCTCTTCACTCATCCATTTGATGTTCTTAAAACACGACGTCAAGCTCTGATAATGAGCTCATCTACCAACTCCCAAAAGTCGAGTGTTGCTTTACTTGCGCGGATTGTGCAAACAGAGGGAACTTCGGCACTATTCGCCGGCTTACTACCCCGAGTCGCAAAAATAGCCCCGGCTTGTGGTATCATGATTGCTTCATATGAGGTTGGCGTTTTTTTGTCGTCAGACACCAAATACTCAAGTTATTCGTAGGGACTCGGGAAGCTGTTGCTGAAAAATTAGCTCTGTCATAATCCAAGTACTGTAAATCCATGCGTAGATAGTTCTAGACAACCACCGTGTATTATTAGTTAGCCATCTCACCTCAACCTCCCCATCTGCCTGTTGGCTGACTGCAGCTTTCCCGAAGTGTCGTCGACCCGATTGGCCAGGTCGTCTAATAACTCGATCTGCAAGGCCAGTTCGTTGGATATCGCCTCGCCAAGATGTCGTTGTCGTTGAAGAACAGCGGTTAGTTGAGAGACCTCGCTGTCTTGTTGCTGCATCTTGGCTTCTTGAAGCATGAACAGCCCATGATCATCCAATGGCCGTGTTTCCTCTGTTTCGCGCGGTTTAGCGGCGGCACCGAATACCCGGCCAAACGGCTTTGACGTAGGACTGCCCATAAGTGCGTCACGATCCGAGTCTGGGGCTGGATTTCGCGATGAACTGGCGCCAGGTCGGGCAATCTGGCGTGCAACGGTGACCATCTTTCCTAGTCTGGACAATAATGGGTCAAATAATAATAATAGAAACGAAACTGTCGCTCACTTCTCGCAGTCGTCCCGTAGTCGCGCGACCATATCTGTCCGTCGATGTAGCTCTCCCTCGCTCATCCCACCCATGGCCAGATCCTGTAAACCTTCGGCAAGTTTCCCCAGACGCGAAATAACCCCTGCAAGTTGTTTTTTCGCAGCAACATTGGAGGAATGGGCGCCGTTGGTGTCTCCCCGGTCTGAAAGGGCATCTCGTTTGTTTATATCGGCCCTAACATCGCGAATGCGCGCTTGGAGCTCGATATGCTCGTCCAGCCACGAGGCTAGTGTGTAGGTCTGCACCGTTTCGCTCTGCTTCCCCACAGGCATCCCCAAGAACTGCCTAAACAGATACGACTCGCGCCATTTGTCATCCTTGGCGCTGAGAATAGCTCGCAGGTAGAGTTCGAGTCCGGTACGCCTTTCTTCAAGCAGCTTCGGGTCTGAATGCGAGCGGAATATGGACAGGGAGTGTTTGGAGGGCAGGGGAGCGGGCGGTGCTTCGTGGGTGGCATCTCTAAGGGCACGGTCAAGGTCGTCAAACTCCGAGTAGCGTCGCCAGATAGACCAGTCACGGATGTTGGCCTTGACCTTTATCTCGTAGACCGTGTGCGGTGAAGGTTTGGACCTTTCTTCATATCGAGGGATGAGGACAGACTGCATTGGATTACGTCACACTGCGCAATCTCATCTTGGCTTGGTTCCTCTGACTACAACAAAACGCGCGCCGGTGGAATAGTAAAGACTTAGAACACTTGCAAAGATGCTCCAACCAAACCCTCGACTCTGCAGGAAACGAATAAAACCCGGGAACACATCTTGGCTGATATCTTCCAGCTCGACATCCACAAAACCAGCCGCCTTCATCTGGAAACAGTAATCTTCGGTTGAAACCATATTTCCCTTGGGCATTAGACGCAAGAAAAACGTTATTAATCGACTCCGAAGTGAATTGAGGGTCTCTGGTGCGAAGCATATATCCGCCAAACCGAGTGATCCTCCAGACTGCAGAGCATCATAGGCCTGTTGGATGAAATCGCGACGATGTTTGAAGTGGTAGGCACAATCCAGCGCAAGAATGGCGTCGAACCGAGCATTATTGAAGGGGTGATCATCTACCCCCGCCCGTCTAATAGCGTCTCCGACATGCAAAACGACTGGTACTTTGCTGGTGACACATGAGAGTCTGGCTTGCGATCGTATATAGTGTTCCTCCAGACTCGTTATGCCCGTGATATGGGACGGCCTTGGTACGTCCGGGTGCGAAAGGAGGAAGAGCAGCGACTCGCCACTGCCATGCCCAACATCTAGCACTCTTGCGCCTGGCGGAAAATTTGTCGCTTGCACTAGTTTCAAAGCTAATGCTGACGCGTCTTCAGAATGATTCTGGTCTTTTGCCAAGTAATCCAACCTTCACAGCTCTTGGGAAAGACATCAGTGTCCTAATGAAAATTCAGTGGTCAGTGAAACATCCTGAGCTTGACGCGCCTTCCAATAGCCCATGTTCAACCATTCCGTTTCAACATTTCCAGGTGCAACGCGATTGAGCTCAACATGGAAATCGCCATAAGGGTCGGCAGAACCAGTTTTGGTGAACCAAAACGCGACAAGCAGAGCAAAGAAGATGGAAGTAGCAATCAAAAGCATACAACAATGTGACATTAGCTATGTACGGTCTGAAAGCATAGGCACAGCGCGTCTATAGTACAGAGAGATCCACCTGGTAAAAATACAAACTTATGATTAGGGCTCCTCAGCAATATCCACTTCACCAATTATATAGCGAAGGACGTCGCTCAGGGTGATGATGCCCAGAAGGCGACCCTTCCTTCCGCCATTTCGCTCTTCTTCCTCTCCTTCCACAACCACCAGTCGATGCACTCGTCGTTTCTTGATGAGCTCAAGCAGGGTTCGGAGGGAATCGGACGCAGTGCAAATGACCACACCGAGGAAATCCGGAGAGCGCGTTTTCAGTGCTTCTCCAACAGTCAGGTCCAAATTTAGGTAGACCCCAAGTCGAACGAGGGTCTAGGTGTTCAGTCAGCGAAGCAAGAGATAGAGAGAGAGAGAGAAACGTACAAGGACATCAACTGTCTCGTACATGTCGACCACGATACCCTCTTCGTTGACAATTGGTACGGCAGAAATTGACCGTTCAGAGAACATCTGAACGACATCGAATACCGGAGTGTCGAGCGTAGCGGTAGCGATAGGATCGAATGTCCGCGTAGATGAGCCGGCTGGGCTGACATAGGTCCCGATCTTCAGTTTACGCAGCGTGTGGTTTAGTTGCTGAATCTCTGAGGGACACTGGGACAGAAATTGAGTTGTGCGAAGTAGAAGAAACCTTCAAAAACGCACATTCATGGACACAAACTTGAGCAGACGGTATTGTGTCAGAACGGAGACGATAACTTCATGTCCTGTCTCAGAATCCCTGTCGAGTAGTGGTAGTCGGCGGGCATGGGTTTGGATAAGCAGCTTAGCTGCGTCAAAGATAGAAGCATTAGGGTGTTCGCTAAGCAATGTGGGTTGAGCAACTCCAAGTTCCTTTTCAATTTCTTGCCATACGATTAGAGGGCGCAATAATGGCCGATTACTGAACACACCTCGAAGAGACTCTAGAGGAAGCCGCTCTACATCCTTCTTAATATTGTCATAGTTCACATCGGTGTCCGAGGCCAGCTTGTAATAATATTGGATGAGGTGAATGATGTCGAGGACGGTAAGCATGCCAGCGAAAGCTGACTTGTCGCTGTTCCAAAGCGGTGCAGAAACAACGTCTACATGATGAATGAGGCATTGTGCCAGGCTTGGAGAAGCGCTTACTATTAGCTAGCAGGCATTGTAGTGCTCGGGTGACACTGAGTTTGGTGTCGAGAACAATCAAACGGAAGGAGACCGGGAAAGCATCATAGCCAGTCCTTCCTCGAAGCATAGTGCGGATCGCATGTAAGGCCGTCTCATGAGTTTCCTGGGGAAGATGAGACCCAGCTCGCCGACGCGAGGGCTTTCGCAAAGGCTGCATCAGGTGGGGGTAATGGCAGGACCGATGCCTTGGAATCCAAACAATCCACCACAAGTATTGCTGACGTAATCTACCGTCTCAGGCTCCAGGCTCACCGACCGTCATCTTCTTCAAGCGCATCGTCAGTTAAGCCAGCAGATCGATTATATAGGTGCTACCGTAACCGTTTGCCATTGACAATCCAAGACCCAATTCCTAGGTAAGTATGGTTGCGGGCCAACTCCATAAGGAGCACACTCCAATAACACTCCGAGATTTATCATGGACCGCTCTAGATTCATGTAACCTCATGAACCGAGTCCAACCGACCGATTCGACCCTGACGTAGGCCGATCCGGGTTGCGCACACATCAAAGGATTATACTGACGTCATTTCACGTGGTAATTCAAATTTTGCTAGTAGTCAGAACATATGTACTAGTAGAGCGGTAGGGTAACAACGAGAGTAAAACAGTCCAAAGCACCTGCAGATGTGCTTGTGAGTAGGGTAGTCGATACAAGTCTGGCCGAAGAGACAGCAGGTGGGCCGCGTGAGAGTTTGGTGAGAGTCGTTAGTTGTGTGGGTATGGTCAGAGATGGGTAAATGCTGGGTGTGATGATACAGTAATGGTAGGCGGGGGGTCGGAAGGGTGAGCGATGAATAAATAATATGCAATCTTTAGTTTGGGTCAGTCACCGTGTTGCCATCGCATTTTTGCAATTCCGACGATCCCGTGACTTGGGTCATGTAGACGGGACTGTCGCGCCAGCCATGTCGGGAGGAACTCTTCGAGGGATAACGACCCGCAAGAGCTCTCCGTCAAACTCTGCGCGCACTTGAGATAGATCGGCGTCGTACCCAAAAGAAATTCGACGCTCAAAATGACCACCTCCTGCTTCCCAAGAGTCGGCAACGAGATGAAGTATCCGGCGTTTTTTTGTGGCAAGGGTACTGTGCATAGAGATTAGGTGTCACACCTCGCTACAGAGAGAAAATACGTGCATTCCATCGCGTTTGAAGCCTGGCAGACGAACAATGAGCTTATACTCGGCCGTGGTGGACTCGACTTCTATCCAGCTATCAACTGGGGGTGGAGCATGGCTTAAAAATGGCTCGTAAGACGCGCCACTTGATCGACTTGTGGCCTTGCTCATTCTTCGTGATTCCGTGCTTTCCTTAGTATCAGGCCGTGATTCGGAATTGGGTTCATCGGAGGGGGGGGGGTGATACAACTGCGTCGCCAACATCACCTTCCGCACCAGGCAAAATAACTGGCGGTTCCGGTGGAGGGAAAGAGGCCGCTGAGCCCCTGATTGACGGCGTACGAGTGATCGCAGTGGTCATGTCGTCTGGAGGAGCGGTTGGAACGGGAGTATAAGTCGTTCTGGGTGGCCGGTAAGACGCAACACCACCGTGTGATGTTGTTTGCTCCGCTGGAGGCATGGGCGCTGGGCCCCGTTTCGTCGCAGGATACGAGACAGAGGATGGACTGGTAGAGTCTGGAGTAGGACTGTGACTGTGACTTCTCGACGGTGGTGCTGAGGGAAGACTTCCAGAGCTCCCAGAGGAAGTTGACGATGCAGCACTATGAAGTGGTGGTCGTAACGAAGCCTCAGCGGCTGGTCGTTCATAAACCGGAGATGGGACTGAAGGTTTTGTAATAACCTTGGGAAGCGCGGAAAAGGGAACCTGCATTGGCAACGGTAGACTGGCTGACGAAGTGCGATCCACAGTTGGCGGAGGCAAAGTTGCTGCATTCGCCTGTCTGCCCTGATACGAGTGGGCCTCGGGAAGGGAATATGGCCTCGAGTAGGGAAGAATCGTGCTTTGTTGTGGTGGTTGTGGGTGCGATTTTAGTTTCGACGGTTTTGATGCGAAGGCTGAAGGGGGGGATGTGGGAGCAATGGAGGTAGCGGAAGGCGTTGAATTCTGTATATTCTGCTTGGGTTGTTTCGCCTTCTGGAGCTTGGCGCTGGTGGGATTTACAAGCTCCCAGTCGTTGTCGTCGTCGAAAACAGGGCCATTGGGAGGCCCACGCATGGGGGAAGGGAGTGGAACTTCGCGGGGGGAATCAAACGAGGCGTGACGTTTATTGAAAGACGAAGAGCGGTGAGGAGGGTCTGGTCGTTTACCTGCCAATCATGATGAGAGCATGCTCGTGGATATTTGTGATCGTAGACAATGCGCAAACAACTGCCAAATCCTCTAGGCGCACTGGCCAGAAGATAAAAGGAGTGGCAATACTCACTTTTGCCTTTGTCGGTGGAAGTCATATCGACGAGGGCGTGGTGGTGGTGGTCGGGAGGACGATGTGGTGGCTTCCGCAAAAGGTTGTGGTCAAAGTGCATGCAATCAGAAATTGGAGCTTTAACACCAATTGCCCGTTTCAGACCGAATTGGACTTTTCTATCGAATTTCACACATGCGAATCTCCTCAAGTTTCTTTTCCCAGTGCCCTCGACTATGTACCCTACCTTATAATCTAGACCTTCGTTGAGCGTGTGGCAAATATTTCAGCCTTTTCTACGCTTTTTTTTGTTCCTTCTATCGACGTCATCTCACGTGCCCTGCGCATCTCCGCTAGGCGGTGTTCTTGCGGTGTTTTCGACGCACAACATCGACATCGCTCCATTACCGGGCATTGACGGTCGCCGGCGGCCACTCTGATCCTTGCCGGATGGAAACATTGGAGCCAAGGGCGTCAAACAGTCCGACGAGCTCGTAATTACTAGACCCACACTGACGCTCTACAGGACATCACAAGTTGAGTATTGACGTACGCTGTTACAGCGTTCAGGGTGTGGATAAATGAGAGGTTCAAAGTTGCAACCACCAAAGACAAGTGCTTACTGCATCCGAAAAACTTATGTGGCTAGAGAGTTCATGTAACAGTATTGCTGGAGGCAACTGAACAGGAGATCATTATAGTAGATAGTAGGAGTCGATGAACTTATGTCGGTCGTTGTAGACAGTGATATTCGGGGTCGGGAGTTGCAACAATGTTAACATCAATGTTTGTGACATTGTCACTGATCGCCACCTCCAACTGCCCGCCATGCCTCTCGAAGACGGTGAAATCCCTGGGGACGCACTTCTCATTCTCCTTCCCTTGTTAATTGTCCTCTCTACTCTTCTCTTGTGAGAAAGCTGGCTATATCACTCATACAAGACTAACCTTGATCAGCATTCTATTTCTCGTATTAGTATGCGCTTTACTACTACGCCGCCGACGCGGTATCATGTTACGTGACATGGATGGTCCAGTTGACCTCAGCAGAGAGGATTTCGCAGACGGAGAGGGTGGTTTTGAGGGTATTGAGTCACGTTGGCTGGAAAGTGTGAGCGAGTCTGTTCGTCGGGCTTATCTCCGCGCTCGAGGTTTGTTTTAGTGTTGCAATACCTGCCTTTTACTCACCGTTTGCAGACTACCAGCTCCAGTACCACCCCAACTCTCTGCCATCCGACATCACCCTTTCACAATTCCTATCGATCCAAGAGAAAGGCGTGTCAGCCTGGTCGTTCGAGCCTGACTACGAGACCGTCAACTCCCTGCTCGTTCATGCCCGCACAGAAATCACATTCCTTCCCGACCCAGCTTCCGCTTCTTGTGTCCAGTCCAACTTGCCCTTACCCAAGCTCAACGAGGTCTATTACTGGGAGGTCAAGATGTTCGACCTCCCTGAGTCCACAAATGTCGCTGTTGGCCTCGCCACCAAACCCTACCCCGCCTTCAGACTTCCCGGCCTGAATAGATATTCTGTGGCTTATCATTCCAACGGTGAAAAGTCGCACAACTACCCCTTCACGGCTTCCCAGTTTGGTCCACCACTCAAAGAGGGCGATGTACTGGGTGTAGGCTATCGGCCACGAACAGGTACTCTGTTCTTCACTCGTAATGGTCGCAAGATGGAGGACGCTTTTGTTGGATTAAGCCGCTGGAATCTCTTCCCAACTATTGGTGCAGACGGGCCGTGTAGTGTCCACGTCAATCTAGGACAAGCAGGCTTCGTCTTCATTGAAGCCAATGTCAAGAAATGGGGACTAGCTCCGAGCGTTGGGACTCTGGCACCGCCACCCGCCTATGGCAGTGAACGTGGTAGCATTCTTCTTGATGTTGGGGGCCGTCAACGGCGAGGTGATGGTACACCTCAGACAAGTTCGGGTGCATCTTCTCCCAGGCGATCGTCACATCGTTCCCGCCGACCGAAGCCACCTGGCCAAGTCTCCTCGCCACTTCGCCCTTCTTCCAGTGATATGCCTATGACCCCACCACCACCAATCACCCCCATTATCGAGGAAACGCCAGATATAGGTGCCGCTGGACCGTCCCGCACTCGATATATTTCTCCTTCCGACTTGGCATTCCATACTCCTCCGCATAACAATCTGCCCAGCGATGTTCAAGACAGCCCCCAGGGGCTCTACGCCGTCTTCACCCGCTACTTCTTCACGCTCTTTGTCACCAGATGCAGCTGTAGGTGCGCGAAACCCATTTACAACGCCTCGGCGTATTCGTCGATCCCTCACTCACTTGGCTACATCATTGTCCGACTCAGGCCCAGAGATGACCATCCAGGTACATCCGCCCCCTGATACTCCCATGACACCCAATCCTCCAACGCCGAATGTGCTTGATATTCATTTGCAGGCACTTTCTTCTTCATCCCATCGACGGTCGTCCAGCAATGGAAGCCAGTCAAGTCGGGACCAGGACGACAGATTTGCTTCCGACTCGATCAGTAGGCGGGAGCCCCCAGCGTATTCGCCTTTGGATGCTTTTGCTTATCAAGACGGGGTTCACATCGACTTGCCGGCGGAGGTGATAGCTGCAGCGTTAGAGGGCAACGCGATCCCCGCAACTTCAATTGGGCAGGGAAACACGGACAGGAGGAGAAGTCGAAGACATTAAAGCTATTGAAGTCAATCTACCCCCCCAGATATGTTGTAATTTTCTACCAGCACGCGGAATTTACTTTGCACGACCAGACAATAGTTTGCTGAGGAAGTGTTAGAGGGGAAGGGTAATAACATCCCGATTATCGTGCCTTCAACGCTTTCCATTGACCTCTTCGCATTGAAGATCTCCGGTCTTGGTCGTTGCCTGTTCCTGGTCGCTTCCCGTTGCTTTGGCGGAGCGCACTCGCCGTCGCCGCCTGACGGCAAACCACAATAGTCCAGCGCATAAAATAAGCATGCAGACAATCGTAATCCCAATAGAGCGATGTATTCTGTCAATGGAGAAGGTGGTGCCAACATTTTGCTCAGTGTCTCCTCCGGTCATGGTATTGCTGGGTTCTGAACTGTCGATGCAATCGACTCCGTCCAAGTCGCACATGTCGCGCGGGGAAATAAACATAGCATATGGGCTCATCGTTCACGTTGCTCTCTTAAATACTTGACTACGAGGCGAGAAGGAACTCTTGTTCGGACCAGACCCGAGGTAATCATTGACAAACTGCATGTTATCTAAGCAAGCACGCCGTCGCACTCATGGGTCGAGGCGTTTCGGGTCGCGAGGGAATAAGGAAGCCCGACGAATGTTGTTTAGCTTCAGGAATAGCATCAACACTCGCTCCAAACCGATTCCGCCTCCACCGTGTGGTGCACAACCCATCCGGAAAGCGTCAACGTAGGGTTTCATTGAGTCAGGGTCGACGCCTTTACTTCGCATCTTCTCCATGAGGAATGCTGGATCGTGGATCCGCTGGGCTCCGGAAAGAATCTCTTCCCCGCGCATGAAGAAGTCGTACGAGTTGGAAAGTGTCTGTCAAACGAGAGTAAGCGAAAGGTTACGAAGACGATAGAGGCAAACCGGGTCTTCGGGGTCGGGCATTGTGTAGAATGGTCGCAGGGCAAGCGGGAACTTGTCGATGATAAAGTAGTCAGTCTGATACTTGGCTTTCACGATACGCCCTAGTCGTTTCTCGTTCTCCGTACTATCGTAACCCTTGGAGTCAGTGTGAAAACAATATGGATAACAAACATACTTGATGTCATCTAATACTTCTCGGGACACACCATCCTCCACAAGCAAGTCAATTGCTTCACGGAAAGTTAATTTGAGTGTGCCGCCTTGTTCTTTTTCTCTCCACGTGAATTCTTCAGCAGGAAACTGCTTTCCAACTGTCGCGATCTCTTGACTGAATTTTCCGCGCAAACCCCGGAACATGGTGAGGAATAAGTCATCGAGAAGCTCCATAACTTCATGGTAGTGCTCTTCAATAGTCATTTCCAGATCAAGGCCCATGAATTCAGTCATGTGGCGGTGTGTGTTAGAGTCCTCTGCTCGAAATACTGGCCCGATTTCGTAGACACGTTCAAAGTCAGCCGCAATGGCCATTTGCTTTGCGAGCTGGGGTGATTGGGCAAGGAAAGCGCTTCCTGGGGTTGTCGGTTAATGCAGGTAAAAATGATAAGAGGGAAACTACCCTTGAAGTAACTAACTTTGAAGACTGATGCGCCGGACTCAGTTGCAGCACCTTGTAGCTTGGGCGAGTGGATTTCAGTGAAACCACGACCACTTAAGAACTCGCGGAAAAGGTCGCCAATCGCCGCTTGCAGTTTAAAAACTGCTTGGTTCACAGGTGTCTATGGAACATCATAGGCGCAAGGCGAATCATTAAGCGGAAAATTGACTGACTCGAAGATCGACGACACGATTGTTGAGGCGCGTCTCCAGTAGAACACGGCTGAACTGTCTTCCTTCAGCATCAGCCTCAGCAGCCGTTTCTTCACTGTCTGGACGGGAAGCATCCTCTAGCGAGAAGGGAAGCCGACCATCAATCCCAGAGATCAGGAAAAGCTGGATTGGATAGTAAGCGACTATAAACAAGCTTGAATGGAAAATATACCTGAGAAACATGGACTTCGACATCCTGAACACTGGTGCTATTGATTGGTGTGCTTGTTTTTTTGACGACACCGTGGACCAAAACGATACTCTCATCAGCAATGCCTGCACTCCACTTGACCATTTGCTTGGAAATCTTTTCTGGAGTAACAATAACCAATGCTTGAACGGAATCGGTCCGCTGGCGAAGGTTCAAGAAGACCATTTTGTTGCCTTGAGCTCTTGAAGTTTGGACGCGCGCACGGAATATGACCGATTCACCGTCCAAGTCAGATAAGCTAGAGATCTGAACGCGTTTTTCTCCTGTTCGCGTTTGAGACTGATGCAGGGGAGATGGGCCATAGAATTGAGCAGCAAAATCCTACATCGATCATGAGAGTGGGTGTTCGGATTAAGCTGTCAAGGCATACGACTTCAGTAGCAGCTTTCTGAGCAGCGGCCTCTTCGTCTTTGGCTGCCTTGAGCGCAGCTTTCTCCGCCGCTTTTTTGGCTTTCTCCTGCCGCTTCAACTCATTCTTAGATGGTCCGGTACCTTCAGGTGGTGGGGATGATCTGGTAACATCGTTAGAAGCGAGAACAAGCGAAGATATCGAAAGTTTACTGAGGGTCAGCCATGGTGGTGGTTTCGAGTCAAAAAGGTGTGCGAGTCAAGATCTAATCGAGGCGAGGTCTGGCCGGCGTGACCACTTCAAAACTTTTTTCGTTCCGGCTATGTTGACTGTGCTTTCCCGTCGCAGCGCTGCCGCTGGTTCCGGCGTGCTTCGCTCGCTCTCTACTTGGTCTGCAGTGCCAGCTGGCCCTCCAGACCCAATTCTTGGCGTCACAGAGGCATTCAAAGCCGACAAGGACCCTCGCAAAATTAACCTTGGTGTTGGCGCCTACCGTGATGGGAATGGAAAGCCATACGTCCTCGAGTCTGTGAAAAAAGTGTGTCCAAGACATTTATCATAATTCTTATCCATTCTCACTCTCACCAGGCAGAAGCTCTCGTTGACGCGTCTAAACCCGACAAGGAATACCTTCCAATCACTGGTCTCGCCGACTTCAACAAGAACGCCGTTAAATTGGCTTATGGCGAGGATAGCGCCCCGTTGAAAGCAGGAGCTGTGTGTCAAAAACTATTTGTGCCTCGTTGTTTCCGCTCACTCGCAGCAAAAGATTGCCGCAACGCAGTCCATTTCTGGAACTGGTGCCCTCCGTATTGGTGCTGCCTTTTTAGCGCGTCACTACCCTCACTCCAAGGTACTGAACTCTTGCCCTCAGTTTTTGTTATCATTCAAATATTATTATTATTAGGTTGTCTACCTGCCAAATCCTTCCTGGGGAAATCACACACCAATTTTCCGCGACTCTGGCTTCGAAGTCCGCAAGTACTCTTATTTCGACCCCACCACCATCGGGTTGAACTTCAAGGCTCTGAAGGAGGACCTGGTCCGTGTTTTCCCGATGTGTTTGATGGCCTGTTCAAATGATTTGTTATTTTGCAGGCTAATGCTCCAGAACACTCCGTTGTTCTCCTTCATGCCTGTGCACATAACCCTACGGGTGTCGACCCTACGCAAGAGCAATGGGCTGAGATCTCTGACATTTGCAAAGAGCGCAAACTTTTCCCTTTCTTTGACATGGCATACCAAGGCTTCGCTTCTGGCTCCACCTCGCGTGATGCGTTTGCTGTCCGATACTTCGTTTCGCAAGGCCACCAAATTTCTTTGTGTCAGTCCTTTGCGAAGAACATGGGTCTCTATGGCGAACGTGTCGGTGAATTCTCACTGGTGACCAGCGACCCGGAAGAAAAAGCTCGTGTCGATAGTCAACTCAAAATCATCATCCGACCCATGTATTCCAACCCACCTCTCCATGGAGCCCGTATCGCCAATACCATTCTAAGCACGCCCGAACTTTACGCGCAATGGGAGAGCGAGGTCAAGAGCATGGCTGACAGAATCATCAGTATGCGCGAGGAGCTGTACAACATTCTTTCAAAGGATCTCAAGACTCCTGGTGAATGGGGCCACATCAAGAGCCAGATTGGCATGTTCAGGTATGACATGCGTATGGGTTTTCATATCACTAAATAACAAACGCAAATAGCTTCACTGGGCTGAAGAAAGAGCAAACTGTTGCTCTTGCTCAGAAGGCCCACGTCTACATGACTGCCGATGGTCGAATTTCCATGGCTGGATTGAACTCGAACAACATCGGATACTTTGCGGAGTCCGTAGATGGTGCGGTTCGCGGTAATTTGTAGTAGTGCTCTCGTATGTCGCGCGGAGGCACTTCAAGAGCTCGTGGATAGTCGTAGAAACTCTTAAATAATTACTTAGACTGAGCAATACAGGAATTGGAAGAAGTGTGACAAACCTGTGACGCTGCTCGATGCGCACCATGATGACTGGGCAAACGACGCGTCCAACATCGACTTCTCCGCATCCTTCAACCCCCACCTCGCCGGACACTCTTCTACTACCAGGAGCATGGCCTTCATCCGCACATCGACGTGCTGCAACATATCCCTCGCCACGCCCTGACCGACTTGCGCAAGTTCTCGACTTCCAGCAACGCCTTGTCAATGAAATGGAGATAAATCCCACACCAATCAATCCAGAAAATACAGTGACCGCTACGAACTCATTAGACTCTGAATTAACGCGTCGTGTGAGTCCTGATTGTCTTGGGGTCGATTTGGTCTGACCACCTTTTAGACAGACACATCTAGCTTGATAATCGCGGTGAGATGTTAGCAACCACTCTATTCCCCTAGCTCAATAGCTAGTAGGATACTTCCATTAGCACGGCATGCACATCCGACTCCTCCTCTTCAGAGCAAAACTCGCCTACCAAGCTTCCTCGTCTCGCTTTCAAACCAACGCACACCTCTCTTGACAATGAATACTATACTACACGAATTCCTCGACATGTTGATCTTTCTCGCCGCAGATCTGACCAGCCTCGTTTCAAAAGCAAACATGCAGTGTTCGACTCGCCTTCTCCCCCTCGTCTCCGCCCAAGTTTCACTACCAACTTGACGCCTTCGTCTTCGCATATGTCCACGTCTCCTATGTCTCCAATCATATTCTCCTCGCCAACGTCGTCAACATTTCCGCCGATCAAGCCTTTCCACCAATCGTCGCTCGTTCACCATTCTTCTTCCTCCGAATATGCGTCTTCCCCTTCATGGGAGACATCTTATGGCAGCTATCATGAAGACTCTGAATTGGTTGAAGAGTCACCTTCACCGAGCCCATCGCACGCGAACCGTTCTCAAAGTCTTGTACCAAGATTGTCAGCAACCACACGGACTCCCTCCATCGAAATCAGTCCCGCACCAATGCTCACCGATCTTTCGCTTCCTGCAAGCCCCAATACCAGCATAGAGTCTGATCCAATCAGTCCTCGTATCATGCCAGTTGACGATGGGGATAGCCCATGGACTCTTTCGTTGACATCATCCTCGCCAGTTTTGTCTGCTGTCCCGGATCCATCCTTGTCTCCCGTTTCGCTAATGCCAAGTGGATCAATACTGGCGCCGTCAACTATTCCTGATATTGACTCGGAGATGGACTTGATTGCAAACTCGAGCGCTACTGCATATGCTACTGCTGTTGTCACATCTGCCTGGACTCCAGATGCCCCTTCGCTTACAGAGCTCTTACCCGTCGCAATGGATGTGGATTCTTATCGACTTTCTCCAGCTCCCTTGTCAGCACCCATCGAACTCAATCAACGCGTACCACCATCACCAGCGCAAACTTCAGGGTCCAAGAGCGTCGGCATCATTGAGAAACTGAAGAAGTTTGGCCATAAACTCAAAAAGATATGGCGCCAACGTGCCAATCAGGTGACTGCCGGTATCAGTCTCGACACAGATGCTGCAGAAGGTCATCGCCAGGCTGGACATGATTTTGCGGACGTTATCGACATTCAAAGCCACACGTCAGCAGCTCAGGAATATAATAGTCTCCTTTCTAATCATGACACTAGTAGTCTCTCTCCATTGCTTCCTCTGCCTCCTCCTCCAGGCTTGGGGGTATGTCAACACTACTAATCACTTGCTTTTGACTGATTTTTCAATCTAGATACGTCGCCCGAAAGCTCGTCCCTTACTTTCCACGAACACGTATAGTAACACCCGTGGTGGCAATAATAATAGCCCTGACCGCGTTGGACCACACGTTCTTCGTCGACCTCAGTCATCCAATCAACACTCTCCCAAGGTTCCAACACCCGAATTGATAGCGGCTCAAGCTCGTCCCAAGACGTTGGCAGAAATCAAATCGAGACGTCGACTTTCACTTCCCGTCCTCACAGATCTCATTCGCACCTCGAACCCACCTCGTCCCATCAATGTGGTCACCACCAACCGTCGACCACGGCCCGTTTCCGCACTCGCATTTCATCCTCGACCCCCGCCTCTTAGTAGTCTTCGTTCTGCTCATTCTTCGCCCTCTTCTCCTCCCATTGCCCGCGATTTCGCCGTGACCAATACGTCGACTAGTCCGAGAGAAAGTGATGGTGCAAAGAAGAAGAAAACTCGTCGTTTTTCGCTGTCGCGTTGGTCTTGAATTGAATTGTCTGTAGCATCGCATGCACTATAATTTGGAACAACAACAACAATGGCACAGAGTTTTAAATGTCCAAGTCCTCGTCTGGGTCATCGTCGTCAATGTCGTCGGCTGAGTCAGGGTCATAGTATATGGCTGGAGAAGACTTTTCTATATTCTGGGTTAGTGCCATTGGTGAATGAACATATCATCCCAACCGTGGTGAGCGTATGGAAGAGGTACTCGAGCCTTGGAGTTCTGTTGAGAGACGGTGAGGTTGAGATTGAAGGAGATATTCTCGGTTGGATCGGCTGAGGCCTGTAATCGTGTCTGTGAGTAGTTCCTCAGCTGCTAGCAACACAGAAGGTATTACCGTTTCATTCGTGGTCTTGGACATCAAGGATGTTAAGGCGGGTAGTGTTTCCAAAGGTAGTGCACCGCGAAGGCGTGACCAGCCTTGAATAGTGCGTTCGACGCCACGCCTGCGATCGCCATCGCCTCGGGTTATGACTTCGAGGACAAAGTCGTTATTGTTGCTTGAGCCCTCCCCATTCGCACCAAAGACGATGCGCTCCGTGTCAGCCACCCGCTCGCTGACGGGTCGGAAAATGCCCCAGAATTTGGGGTCGGGCGAGAGAGGTGGCGGTGGAGTGAGGTATTCGGTGGCGAGATGGATTAGGAGCGCTGGAGGGTGGGAAATAGCGTGTGTGAGGGCTGGAGAGAAGGCTGGTTGGCAAATAAGAGCCACGAGAGGCGAAGGGGCGACTGCATGAACGATTAAACGCGAGGGATCTGGCGTTTGTTCAGTGGGTTGTCAAAATGGTTGTAAAAAAATATGGGGACAAGACCAACCTGGTCGCGCGCGAACAAGAGTCAATATTTCGCGGAGTAATTTATACGTTAACGAGACAGAGCCAATATCGGAGCAGAGCGTGTCGATCGAGTCAATGATAACGTCCAGTTGCCCCGACGGAGCTGTCCTCCAAGGTCAAGACCAGAACTGAGGCCAAGTTCACTCAAATACCGTTTTTTACAGATTCTAGAATGGTTTCTCTGGGATCTTGGTAGTTTGGGGAGTAACCTGGCACGTTGCCGGCCAGATCGTGGATTTCAACACCACTCCTTTGGATGGAAGTCAACGGCGAGTACAGCAAGCAGAACAAGATCGCATTGTCTGTGCCGTCTTCCAAGATCTGCCTCAGAATACCCAAGCTAGATTGGGCGATAGAAGACTGCAGCAGAACGAAGGGCTGATTACTTCGTTGTGGTTTGTAGATGAAAGACATTTTTGGGTATGATGTTATCTAATCACGCATTCTTCCTGTCCCACACATCTCGGCGTAGCACAACCTGAACGACCTTCCACCTCAACAAACCCACAGTTTTCAACTCCTTTTGCTGAACAAATCCCGCATCCTTCAGCGCTTTGCTCGCGTAAGAAGCCAAAGAAATGTCTGTCGCCTCAATCTGCTCTACTTGAGAGGCCGCAAAACAGTGGTTGAGCGCATGTTTCAGCAAGTCTTTGTGGACGCCAGAGGACGGATATGGGTCCTGGACAAAGAAATGGCGAATTCGCGCAATCTTCGTTGCTTTGGCATCGGCCGCGTCGATAGCGATGAGCCCAACAAACGAGTCGTCCATTTTCAGAATCCAGAATCCACTCGCTGGGTTTCGAGCATAATAAGCGGCGAAGTCTTGTACGTCAGGAGCATGCACCGCTTCTCGGCCCAACTGCTCGAATGACGGTCGATTTAGCCTGTAGTTAGAGTCAGACGGGAGGTGGACTTAGTATATATAGCCAGCGTACCAGTCAACGATATATATGAGGGGCATGAAGATGGACGCAAACGCCGGCACTGGTCGCAAAAGGGCGATAGCACCGTAGCGAAAGTCAGGCCACCATTGTAGATAGTCGACGAACAGATACGACAGTCCAAACCACACCGCAAGGAATAGCGGATTTATATAGGCTGCATTGTGTTTGAACTAGATGAAGGAATGGAGTAGGGGGGACACAGACTGCGTTTGTTTGCGGCTGCAAGAGAAGCTAGTCTCTCTTTCGCCACCATAAATTGTACAAGCCTTTCATCGGCTGCTTCTGCGTTGCGGAATGTGAAGCGACGGTCCATGGTGGGCGAAAACAAAGTGAAAAAACATCGGCGCAACACGCACGTTCGTCCTCAGGTTTGGTTTGGCGCGTCACACCCGACGCGACGGTCACAGAGAAAGTCTAAACCCTAACCCCACGACGCTTTATCCGAAATGCTCATCAACAAGACCTTTCACGATGTTCCATCGCCTTTGGATGGCGGACGGCCTATCCGAATCTTCGTTATTGCGCCTGTGACTCCGGATTACCCTCAAGCCCGATTTCCTGGTGTCGTCGTTTTCAGGTAAACGGCCAACGCTCGACAATCGAGAAGCTACACATGTCTGGCAGCGAAATTTATCAAGTGACCGGCCCCGTCGAGAGGTTTGCGGGCGCAATCGCCAGCCAGGGCTATGTTGTCGGTTCGCAGCAAGCCCATTGAAATCGAACGCAATTCTCAACGCCATCCTAGCGTGTCCTTCGACTTATCACGAGTTTGAGAGCCCAGATCCTATTCCATACGATGTCGAAGGTCAGTCCTCCCTGATATTCGGTCGAGTGTTGACCCAACTCGACCCACAAGGCACGGATCGAGGCAACAAGTACAAGGTTTTACCCCGTTTCTGAGTTGGACGGGTTGCTGACTGGCAAATAACCCAGATCGAAAAGACGGTTGCGGCATACGATGAGGTCAACCTCGTCTGCGCATGGCTGTCACCACCTAAACTATCCCCGTCAGGATGCCACCCAGGCGATTGATCTACTTGTCTCACTCTCGAACTGCAACGGACGTATAGCAGGCCAGTTTTCTGCATTACGCTGTACATTTGTTTTCATGGTTATCCAGCTACGGGCATGTGCCTAGGCGGTCACCTCGTATGATTTTGCTTGTGATCTTACACTTCCTTGAGCCAACTTGGTTGCAGGCATTCAGGGTATGATCCTGCCAATGCAATGCTTGAATTGACAATATGGCTTCTAGGCTGCCTTCGACCCGCGCGTTCTGTCGACCGTATGCTTCTTTGCAACGGACATCCACAGCGCGTCGCTCGGCAAGGGAGGGGACAACACTCTCGTTCGCGTCCAAAACGGCGATCTTGCCGGTAAAGGTGAACTTGTGGTAATAATTGCACAGTCCCCAAGACTCTGTGGCTGAAACCACATCCAGATGATTTTTGGCAAGCAGGTATGCCATACTGTAAACCGACGATTTGCTTTCTCTGAGTACGATCAGGATACCCACGTTCCCCGAGTTGGTCGCGATCTCATCCGCAAGACTCTTGAAGATGGAAACATCCCAGTCTCGGTACGTCACCTCCAATTGCCGCTCTGTAGCTAACAAGTACTATTACTACTTAGTTCCTCGAAGTCCAAGCTCAGCATGCCTTTATCAGAGATGAACACTCAAAGGGCCGATGGGATGCGGCACTAACACGCTCCCTTTTCTCGTATATGATGGAGGTGTTTGAGCGTACTGTTGGCAGAGACTTGGGTCCCAAAGTACAGACAAACACTACACCAGAGCATGTCTGCTGAATTCAATCAAGACGTGAGGACATTTGCTTGCCGCGTAAATCGTTAGAATACAAATTGAGTACGTGAGGGAGTAACAACAACTGACGGACAAGATGGCACAGAGGAGGAAAAGAAGAAAGGAAAATTATACACTGCAGGTCTACATCTATTTCCCTTACTTCTTCTTGGCAGCCTTCTCCGCCGACTTCGTGACTGGAAAACCAAAGTTAAGCAACACAGGGTCAAGTTGGCCATAGCTTCATACCTTTGCCAGATGACTTGTCGGTCTTTTCAACGGACTTGATGATACCGACAGCGACGGTCTGTCGCATGTCACGGACGGCGAAACGTCCGAGAGGAGGGTATTCGTTGTAAGATTCGACACACTAGAGAGTATTGATTGGTAAGCAACCTCCTCAAATAAAAATCAAGCATAACCCACCATCGGCTTACTCGGGACGAGCTTGACGATGCAAGAGTCACCCGACTTGATGCTCTTCGGGTTGGCTTCAATCGACTTGTTTGTTCGGCGGTCGATCTTCTCGAGGAGCTCAGCGAACTTGCAGGCAATGTGGGCAGTGTGGCAGTCGAGCACGGGTGCATAGCCAGCGCCAATTTGACCGGGGTGGTTGAGAACGATGACCTGGGCATTGAAAGAGGCAGCCTCCTTTGCAGGGTCGTTCTTCGAGTCCGAAGCAACATTTCCGCGACGAATATCCTTGACCGAGACGTTCCTGAGAAATTATGTTAAACGTGCTCGGTTAGATAAGTAGAACATTCATACTTGACGTTGAATCCGACGTTGTCACCAGGGTTGCCCTGCTCGAGGACTTCGTGGTGCATTTCGACCGACTTGACTTCAGTGGTAACGTTGGTGGGGGCGAAGGTGACAACCATGCCAGCCTTGACAAAGCCAGTTTCAACACGACCGACGGGGACCGTGCCAATACCACCGATCTTGTAGACGTCCTGGAGGGGGAGACGGAGAGGCTTGTCGACAGGTCGGACAGGGGGCTCAATGGCATCAATGGCCTCGAGCAGAGTCTTGCCCTTGACAATACCACCCTTGGTTTCCTTGGTCCAACCTTTGAACCACGGCATGTTGGTCGACTCTTCCAACATGTTGTCACCGTGCCAACCAGAGATGGGGACAAAGGCAATAGTTTTGGGGTTGTAACCGACCTTCTTAATGAAGGTGGACGTCTCCTTGATGATTTCGTTGAAACGGTCCTCGCTCCACTGTACACGAGTGAGTCACACGATAAGAAACCACGATGAAAAATCACAAACCTTGGTCGTGTCCATCTTGTTGACAGCGACGATGAGTTGACGGACACCGAGAGTGAAGGCCAGAAGAGCGTGCTCGCGAGTTTGACCGTCCTTGGAGATACCGGCTTCGAACTCACCAGTACCACCGGCGATGATGAGGATAGCACAGTCAGCCTGGGAGGTACCAGTAATCATGTTCTTGATGAAGTCACGGTGTCCAGGAGCATCGATGACCTTGTAGAGCAAGTCAGAATGATGATGGAAAGCGGGTCCGCTGAGGCGAAAAATGTCTTACAGTGACGACGAATTTGGGGGTCTCGAACTTCCAAAGGGCAATATCGATCGTGATACCACGCTCACGCTCAGCCTTAAGCTTGTCGAGCACCCAGGCTATTGATATCGAGATCAGTTACCATCGATCAGAAAAAAAATCTACACTATGCTCACCGTACTTGAACGAGCCCTTGCCGAGCTCAGCAGCCTCCTTCTCGAACTTCTCGATCGTACGCTTGTCGATACCACCGCACTTGTAGATCAAGTGTCCAGTGGTGGTCGATTTGCCGGAATCGACGTGTCCGATGACTGGCAACGGTGGTCAGGGTCAAGACAATCGCTGCGACGATAACAGAGTAGACTGACCGACGACGTTAACGTGGGTCTTTTCCTTTCCCATGGCGAGTAGTTCTGAGATAAAGGGAGGTCAGTAAATGCTATCGGAAAAGATCAGTGAGGAGGGAAACGACCAAATCCCTGCGATCTTCTACAAATCGCAAGGAAGAGGACTCGAGAAAAGGTAGATAGGGTATGGGAGGAGATCGAAGAGTATTGAGCACACAAACTCACTTTAGCGGCGAAGAGGATGAAGGTGGATGGAAGAAGAGAGAGAGAACGCTAGAGGCTGTGCCGTGAAAAATTGCTAATGAATCAGATGATCTGTTACATCTTCAGTCACACTGCATCGTTGTCGATCGCAAAGATAACACATTTTCTTGACTTTTTTATTTATGAGGTTACATTTCGGTTACAGCTACTGGTTACGAATACATTAGCACTTCTTCGCAATCTTACACCCAACCACCGGCGCCAGCCAGGAATCGAGACTGCAGTATTTTCTCGAATGTCGGGCGAGCGGTGACAGATACTCGCAAACAAGCCCGCACCAAAGCAGCGGCATCTTCAAGAGCTCCTCCACCATCTGCTTCCTTCCCGTCTCGTTCTTTGCCCTCCCCACATCGTTCATCGAGACTTATTGAGGCGTTGGCAAATGGCGAATCAAGACCTTCCTGCGCTTCCGCTGGGGTCATGAAAGGGCATTCACCGACAAGCAAGACATAGGCCACAACTCCAAATGCCCAAACGTCTTGTTCTTTCCCCTCGTACCGCTCTCCACGGAGAATCTCTGGCCCAGCGTAGTCCAAGCTTGATCATATATTTAGCAAACAGTTTGACGTTTTGATTGAGCACGCACGTTCCACTAAAAGTGTCCCAACCGCCTTTTTTCGTCAGTCCAGAGCTCCCAAAGTCGATCAGGATGCATTTTCCCTGCGGTCCAAGAACGACATTTTCGTCCTTGATATCGCGATGAACTGTCCAAGCGTTAATCAAGTTCTATAGCCGTATGAAAGTGTGATTACCGATGCCCCGCGAATGTAAAAAAGACAACGCGTCAGCCATTTGGCCAAGGTAACTTCGTATAGAGCTAGGAGGGAGACCCTGCGGAAAGCTTTCGACGAGATCAAAAAGGTCGGAAGCGTGGACGGGCTGGTTTGGTATTTGATCTGGTAGTGACGAGGGCAGAACGAGGTAGTAGTAGTGATTGTCCTCAAAGAAGTCGAGGAGAGGGCATATATTAGGGTGGCCATTGACAACTTTGCCTTCTATCCACTCTGAGCATTCTATGGCCTCCGCCGGGAGGTCGCGTGTTGGGTCCCATGGTCGTCGTGGGGGTAAGACGTATGAGGTCTGGGAGATTGAAGACATGACGTAGATCTCTATTGGGATTGTCCCATATTTCGGATGTTTTTTCCAGCAGTCTGCCAGAATGCGGGACTTGATGATTTGCTTGATAATGACTGGAGGCTGTTCAAGGGAGGTTAAGGAAGGGTGTCTTGCTTCCAAAAATTTTGCCAACGCACCCCCAATGAGCTATCTGGAAGAATTTCTCTGGCGCGCTTAACGAGTCCGTATGCGCCCCTGCCAATCTCACCTTCAATGGCAAACTCAGATATATCGCGTCCGCCTAGAAACGATTGCTTATCTGAGGGGGCAGGAGAGGGTGCTCTTGTGCTGGTGGCTTGGCTGAGTAAGCTGCTTGTACTGGTTGCACGCAGTAAGCTTGGCGGTAAAGCAGGAGGTTCGGGGGGCTCTATGGTAGCAATGGATACGCGTCCAGCAATAAGCGAGACGCGTTGTTGTGAGGAGCGCCGTCTAGGGCGTGGAGGAAGTGTGGGAGAACGGGACAACGGTGTTTTACTAGGGACTGTAGGGGTAGTTAATGGTGAAGAAGGTCGAGTGTGAGCTGGGGAGTGAGTGAATGGTTCGCCGATTATCGACGGAATGCTAGTGTTGAGATGAGATGCTTTCGGTGGTTCTTCCCATTCGTAGTCGCGTCCACTGAAGAATAAACCGGGAGATTTAGAGAGTGGCAACCATGCTGTTGACCGTTGTGGCAATTCTGAATCCTCGATCTCGTCTTGGTCTTCATCTCCATACCCGCGACCAATGGTTGTGACGCCATAGCTGTAGTGCCCTACGGAAGAGGGACGGTAGATTCGAGATTTCGGAGCAGTCCAGTCGTCATCTTCAAAGGCCAAAGGAGACGAAGTGGAGAGCATATAATGTTTTCGTGGCGGTCGGAATGAAGGAAGTGATTTCGCACGTGCTTGGCTGTGTTTTTCCAATCGCCGCCCTCGCTCGTAAACATGCAACGTCGTCTTGCTTGTTGTCGCCACCATCGGTGACGGACAAGAAGGAATGGGAAGCGAGAAGCACACTTCTCCGCCTACTAAGTATAGGAGACGTAGAACAACCTGCTTATCGTGATTACATGTGACCACCCACTGTTATCGTAGACGGTGAGGTCGACAAGATCCACTGGACAGGTCTTAGTAGCACTCGCGCATTGTAGAAGACCTTGAGTTGAAAGCTTTGTGCTGGGGATATGAATCCAATGAAAATATTTTGTTTTTTTTTCTAGAATCTGGTGTAGCCATCAATCCCGAAATTTGACTGTTCGCCTCTTCTTCAAGACTACATCAACCCTTCCTCGTAAGGCCTCCCTTTCGCTCTGCAACACGTCTCAGCAGTTTCCCTGTCCTCTTGCGGTCCCAATGACCCCCATTTTGTTGGGTGGGAGACTGCGGGGCGGTGGATGCGTGCACTTGTAGTCGGATGTTGACCTTGTTTTGCAGATGGCCGTCAAAATCCCCATCGTCAAAAAGCGCACCAACAAATTCAAGTTGGTCCACCCCCTTGCCCTCGTAGAAGAGTCATTCATGTTCGCGTAGGCGCCACCAATCGGACCGCTACCACAGCGTGAAGGAGGCATGGCGGAAACCCAAGGGTATTGACAACAGAGTTCGTCGCCGGTTCAAAGGCCAAACCCCCATGCCCAAGGTGCGTTGAACAACTATATTTCAATCCGCTTGTTTTCTAACGATGCGTAGATCGGCTATGGAAGCAACGCCAAGGTCCGCCCAAACCTTTTTTTTCATCTTCCTCCCGCCAACCTAATCTCACCCAGACCCGCCATCTGCTCCCGAATGGCCTGAAGAAGTTCCTGGTCAACAACGTGAGGGAAGTCGACCTTCTTCTCATGCACAACAAAACCTTTGCCGCCGAAATCGCCCATGGTGTTTCCAGCCGAAACCGCACGACCATCCTTGAACGGTATGTAGCGTCTCGATTAATCACAGTCCTTATATTCCCTTTTAGTGCAAAGGCGCTCGGAATCAAGGTGACGAACCCAGCGGCACGGTTGCGCTCTGAGGAGTAGACGTCTTTTTACCTTTCCATGTATATGCCAATGCCAAAAACACCATGATCACACCACGATCTTCCTCTCTCTTCCATGACCTCAGTCGTCCGAAATGCTTCTCATGCTGGCGACTGGTACACGGCTAATGGTACCAGCATTATTGGCCCAGAGACAGTTCTTGTGACCGTTGATAGCTTCGAAGCTGGATGGGGAGTTGGCGGGATGGCTTGAGGCGGTAGATGCGGATTACCCGATCAGAGGCTGCAAAGCAATTATAGCTCCGTTCGTCGACTGTGCCTCCAATAACCATAGCTCAATTCTCGTCAGCCATGCTGGGTATGCTTATTCTGGACCAGCCGCTGCCTGGGCCTATAAGAGCATCGATGTCTCTTCGATGTGAATCTCTTTCCCCAAGACCCAAGCAACTCTAATCATCCCAGTAAACGCGTATTCGTGCTGGGCCCCTCCCACCATATCTACATCGATGGTTGTGCCTTGTCGAAGTGCACAAGTTACGCGACTCCCCTCGGAGATCTGCCCATAGACCTCGACAGTAAGCGGATGCCCTCTATATTCTCGCCCATTAATCATGCCATAAAGCGGTTCGAGAACTACGTGCCTCAGGAAAATTCCAGGAGATCAGCCACTCTGCCGACGAGGACGAACATAGCCTAGAAATGCATCTTCCTTATATCCGCAAAGTCTTCCAGGGGTGGGTATTTTCTGGTTCGGATTCTTTTGCTTAATTCTACGCAGCAAAGACATCGCTATCGTCCCAATCGTCGTTGGCGCCATTAACCAACAGCTCGAGGCAGAGTTCGGTGCACTACTCGCTCCGTATCTTGCTCGCGACGATACTTTTTGTGTTGTTTCGAGCGACTTCTGTCATTGGTACGTCTCTCATGGCAAACTTCATTAATATGAATACCTATTACAGGGGCACGCGCTTCAACTACACATATTACCTACCGAATGCTTCTGCCACCCCAATGCGTCTCTCAAGATCCCAAACTCAGTCGTTGGATCAGCCTATTCACGCTTCGATCAGGGCGCTCGACCACCAGGCGATGAATATTCTGGCTAAGCCACCAGCATCCTCCGCCCATGCTGCATTTGCTGCCTATCTCTCAAGCACGAAGAACACAATTTGCGGAAGACATCCCATCGGAGTTTTGCTTGGCTCGTTAGCTGCACTTCACGATCGACCCAGTGAGCTGAAGTGGGTTCGATATGAGCAGAGCAGCGAGTGTGAGACACTGCGCGATTCAAGTGTGAGTTACGCCAGTGCTTGGGTTAAATTCTAGAGTCTAGTTGGTCGTTTATCGTATCGTACCACAACATCTACAAATTGCTGGAAAGTGGGATCTGGACACCGTTGGGTCCGTCTATTTCTTTCTCCGTGCCGGGTACGCCCGGATCGTCCACAACCTGAAGAAGAATCAGAAAAGTCACGACAAATAGTTAGGACAATTACTTTGCCGTTCGCCACCTCAATATCTTCGAAACCCCAGTCGCGAGATGTACCTTGGGCGAGGTGCGCGCCATCAGCAAGTCGTTTCGCTTCCCAACCACCCAAAACTTTGCCATCTGGTTTACGAACGACCTCTGTTAGCGAGCAGCACCCCACACGCAACGGCAACTTTCGATCGGCTAGCAAAGCTCTGGCGAGGACGATAACCGTTGCAGCATGGCTGACCAGAAGAACGCGCTTGTGCTCTGGATATGCCCGTTCGACAGCGGGAATGAATGCGTCCAGAAAAGTGATGGCACGAGTATGGACCTCGGCAACATCTTCGCCAACCCGTGGGGGGTAGTATATCGACGACCAGGACGCGTCAATTGTTCCAGGGAAGTATTTCTCCAACGAATCGGCCGAGGAGGGCCGGGGATGGAGGCCAGTGCCTGGGGAGACAGGCGAATACCATTCGCTAATTCCATGCTCGATGTAGAGCGGAAGCGAGAGTGCTTTCGCAGTCGGCGCTGAGGTTTGCAGACACCGGTCTATAAAATAAGAGTCAAGTTTGTGGGCTGGATTGCAGGCGCACAGTAAGGCGACGAGAAGATCAGTGTGGGTCGCTGGTCTTGAGGCAAGGTCAGAAAGTAGTCAGCAAGCTCTTTTGCTTGCTCTTCGCCATAAGATGCTAGAGGTGGGTCGCGAGGAAGGCCAGTTGCACTCTGCCAGTTTGTGTTTATCCAGTTCATGCGGAAGCCATGTCGGGCAATATAGATCGTATCAATCATCGTGGTTGAAGGCAAGGTCAACAACCCTTTATGGAAATTTGGCATGAAGAAGGAAAAAGAACGGTAGTTTACATGAATAGTATGTGGCCATACAAATATCATAGGGGTAAAAGATTTGTTGTTTCGTTGCATTGTGCTAGCATTTTGGAGGGACTAAGACAGCGATGGGAAAGCCTTCTCGTCGTCGACATCCACAGTAACCGAACCACCCCCAGCTGCTCGGCCACCTCGGGAACCGCCACGACCACGGCTGGAAGTACCACGGCCACGGGTGTCTCCTCCTCGACCACGTGGGCCACCACGGCTTGGACGGTCAAAACGGCCGTCAATCTCAATGAACACCTTTTCCTCTTTCTTGGTACGGGCTTTGGGGGCGCTCTTGGTCTGTAGAAGATGATCAGATTTGTTCAGGTTCAATAGGAAAAAAAACGTACCTTGCCAACGAAGTAAGTGTCGCTTTCACCTTTCTCGAGTGCGACAACATCCTTCCAAGTAGCATCTTCAACCTTGCGGAGACTTTCGAGTTTGGGAACCACGGTCGATTCCTTCTCCTTTTGTTGGGCGAGATATTGCTCCAAAGTCAGGGTATTGTCTTCTTCTTCGGGTTCGCGCTCCCTACGAGGACGGCCTTCAGGTTTATCGGCTGCGCCTTGCTCACCGGCTGGAGCAGCCCAATTGTCGCCGTCGTTAGCAGGGACTCCCCATTCAGCAGCAGCAGCAGGAGTTGCTTCCGCATTGGCATCGCTGATGGCTGCTTCTTCTGCTTTGAGCTCAGCGTTGCCTTCTTGGCCACCCCAGCCTTGGTTGATCTTCTTATCCGAGTCACTGTCGGGAGACTAAGATCCTGGATCGACAAGTGGATTGAACCTACACTTTGCCCGTCTGACTGTGCTTGTCGAACTGACGACCACGTCCGCGAGGACCACCTCGAGAGCCGCCTCTTCCCCTCCCACGACCATCGACTGCGATTGTTGAACAAAATGGAAACGATTTGGACCGAACTTATTGACTGACACTTTTTGTCCTGAGGAGCGTCCTCGGTACCATTCTGGTTAGGGTTTCCAGAATTGTCGTCGCGACTGGCAGTTTTTCCACCACCACGGGCGTAGTATTTGCCACCACGGGCAGCAGGGCCACCTCGTGATTTGGGAGTGCCTCTAGCTGCTTGGGCTGGGGCGGCGACTGGCTTGGGAGGAGCGACAGGGCTGGATGGCCTTGACGCGCCTTCCGCTAATGAAATCCCCAATCAATTCGTTATCGGCAAAAATCGAGGATAAACCGCACCTTCGAGGAGGGCAAAGGGATTTTTTGTAGCTACGGACATCCCTGTGGTCCGTTCAATCGTTTTCTCTCTTCAGTAGGCGGCGGTTCTATGCAGGTGCAGGTGACGCCGGTGTCACACTATCTCACTCGGCCATCACGGCCTGCCGAATCAGGCTATATAAGCCGCAGGTCGATCATTTGCTCGTTAACGCAAAACCAACATGTTCGTCTTCTTCATATCTACTCCGCGAGGCAGTACACTAATACGCGTTTCAGTCCAAAAAAGCATCTCTTCGACGACTCGCCCGCCTTTTTGGGATGGAGTGGGTCGATGACCTGGAGACCGTAGCGGAATGAGAGAAGGAAAATTTCTGGATGCGGCTTGGGTGCGGTGTGTGAGGTTTGGCTTGCCCTTCGTGGTAGCTGCAGGATCGTCGCCGCAATGCCGTGTTCTACAACTCCACTTTAATTTTTTTTTTGGGTTCATACATTTTGTTGATTGATGTTTTGCTTCTTACTACTTCTCCTTGACCCCGACCTTCATGTCCCGAAGACTTGACATCTCTTCCCTTCTTTGTGCCGACGACCCCCCAGAGCGCAATGCCGACCACATAATACCGGAGACGGTTGTGCTTGCTCCCCATCTTGCTGTCCGAAAGTATGGCCCTTCCCACCCCCGACCACCACCCTCTGCTGAAGCTCAGGCGTTGGATGCCTTGGCCCAAGCAGCTTCACTTAGACGATCCGACCCCTTCTCCCCACCGTATTCAGCAAAGGCGTCGTCTCGCTATGAACCACAATCACGTCGTTATTGGGACAACGAACGACCCGTTTCTCCCGTTATCGTTGAACCACCATACAAGAAGCGGAGACCTTCTGACGTTGCCATGCCCCAACATAACACACCCCCCATGTCACTCAGACACACTGGGGACCGCAGCATTCTCAATCCTGAGCCCACCCCCGTCTTCCAGCCACGCCCAAGCTCTTCCTCATCGTCGACCGTTTCCCCATTCGGCTTCCAGTCCCGCGTGACCGACTTCGGACCGTCCGTCCTTCCTAGTGCGAGAACTCCACCACCCCCCTCGCCCGATCCGATTCCCACGGCACGGGCAGAATACACCGTCATCCATCTTCCAGAACGCGGTCAAGACGAATATGTTGACGACAGAAAGCCAAAAAAGTCACACGCTTCCCGCTCCCCTGAAACAAACCGCCAGCGCAAACACCAACAGCAGCGACCACCGAAGGAAAAGGATGACGAGGCCCATGACTGGCTGCTTGGTCAGATTTCAGACGAACCAAAGAAGGAGACAGGCGACAAGATGGATGTCGATCCCGGCCCGAATGATCACAAAATGGACATTGACGTTGACGATGAGTTGCTCAGTCTTGTTGATGGGCCACACAGTGTCAGTCGCGTACCTTCGGTCGACAACAAACAAACATCCCATTCCCGACATGCCTCTCCTGCCTCTTCACTCCCAGACCGCGGCTCGATGCCACCGCCAGCATCAACAGTCGTGGCTAAGAAAAAGAAAGACCCACCAAAGGTATGTTGACATCCTTTCAACTGGTCTTAGTCATTTATATCTCGCAGCCCAAGCCCAAAGCTCCTGCCAAGCCACGAACGAAAGCAGCACCCAAACCGAAAACCAAAGTTGCCGATAAAGCTAAACCGTCAGCGATATCACGAAAGAGTGGCTCTGCCACAGCCCCAGGCTCTCGTTCACGTTCAAATTCAGCAATGCCGGGTGGCTCAGTCGGTCCAGATGGGTCAGAGAAACACGAAGAAGAGGAGGAGGACCCAACGCCACTTCCAGAAGACGACAAGTTATACTGCATTTGCAAGACTGTGTACGACGAGGATCGATTTATGATTGCCTGCGACAAGTGCGACGAATGGTACCACACAACATGCGTTGAAATGCCGGAACTTGTGGTCGACCTCGTTGACCAGTTCTTTTGTCCACCATGCATCTCCAGTGTGTTTGATTTGGCGCCTACTGAGTGCATGTGGCTAACCGAATCAACAGAGAACCCTCAACTTTCGCTCAAGACAACATACAAACAACGTTGTCGCAATGGGTTGGATCATCCAGAACCCGATTCGTCCAAGGCGTGTCATAAACCATCCCAAGGTGCTCTCTCCAAGTATTGCTCTCCCGAGTGTGGTTACAACAGCATGAAGGCACGCATCGAGCAGTTTGCGAAGAACGGCGGCAAGAAAGAGCTACTGTGGGAGAGCGTCAAGAACGCCCAGAAACGCGAGGCAGTAGTAACCGTCCATGAAGGCAACGACTGTACAAGGGTCAAACCATCTATCGGACGAGTGGAACGGGAAGAGGCGAATCTTAATCATGTGCTTGCCGAGGTTGTAGCCCAACGCGAGCAACTTCGACAAGGGATGGATATCATTCTATGGCGAGAACGACTGGTCGATCTTGCAACTGAACGCGCGCTCCAAACTGAAGGCCAGTGTGGTTGGGACCAGCGATTACTTTATGGAGAAGACGAATGGGGCGACTCTGGAGAAGAGGTATTGGAAAGTTACGAGAAGCAGGGAGAGCAAGAGGAGTGGTGGTGTCTTGAGAGCGATGGCTGCGAGCGGCATTCAGGATGGCAAGTCATTCGTGCACGGGAGGTTGCAAAGGAGAAAGAGAACAAGGAGGAGGCCCTTCACCGACTGACCACTCGAGAGCGGGAGCTGCGGAAACGAATTGAAGATATTGTCGAGCCTTTTAATCGGTCGTGCCTGCTCCCTGCAGCGCTCCAACCACCCAAACTGGCCAACGGGAACAAGAAAGGGAAGAAAAGAAAGAATCCAGCTTGATAGATGCTCGTTTATTTTTTGTGCGCTTGCTGTCGATGTTTGCTGTGTTTTGTTCAAGTTTCTGTATCACATACTCTTGATGTAGCAAATCTTTTACTTATCAATAACCATCCCCCTCCCCTCCTTCCTTGCAAAACCCTTTCTTGTCGTACAGAATCTGAGCCTTGGCGTCTTCCCGTTGTTTTTTAGTCTCCACGTCTGTCTTGTGGTATGGCTCGAGGGCGACCCACTCTACTTGCTGCCCTATTGGCACGTCGTCTTCTAGGTCGAGGTCCTAGAACTGTGTGAGCAAGTAGTCGCATGGGGAGGTTGGCCAACACACAATTTCGCCCAGCAACACCACATTCTCACCGCGAATCAGAAACAGTCCATGCCATTTTTCAGCGAATGCGCCGGCGTGGTATATCCGCTCTACAGTATCTTCTAGAACGAGGTTGGCTGTCGGCGGTGCTCAGATAAAGCAGTGGGTAGTCGGGGGGTAAGCCTCACCAAACTGGTCATACGAGCGCAACACGCCATGCAGTTTGCGGCCGTCGCGTAGAACGACGAGCATCTTCCCTGCATCGCTCAAGAAACTGGCGTGGACGGCGGTGCAGACGTACGGTCCACACAATCCACAAGAGACCCAGACGTCGTGAACGGTATTAGCGAATCCATCGTGAAAGTGAAAGTTAGATCATCGTGTTACACCAACTGTCACATTGACGGTGATTGACCTTCCACTGCATGACCATTTTTCAATAACAAACTAATCCTCTGCCATTTTGAACTCAGGGCTGTATGCGCTCTATTGAGCTGGAGGGCCGGAAACTATAACAAGCTGACAGTTTTTCCAGATTTTTTTTTGGAAAAGGGACAGGCTTGGCTAATGTTGGGAAAAACCTAAATTGCTCGCAGATGGATTGTTCGGGAGGCAAGGCGATTCGCCTTTGGATCCTGCGTGTGGCCTGTCTGGGCTGCCTGGCCTTGGGTTGCCTGCATCCAAGCCTGTTGACTGACACGTTTGAGGTATGGCGCTCTCTGCGCTCAGGCAAAGAGTTTCGCGCATACAAACTGGGTCAGCCGACTACAACCTGCAGTCGGCACCGCCCGCCGCATCCCTTGAGGAGGACTCTCACGAGACAGGCCAGACGGTCGTCGATCCGGACGCTGTCTCGCCTTCAACGAGCCCGATTACCCCCAGGACTTCCCCGCCTATGAGCCACCAATACCGCCTACCCCTCCTCCCTCCCTCTCAAGGACTGCCAAATCCAACAAGCGTCGAGCTCAGAAACGTGCGCGGGCGGCAGAAGGCGATGGATTGGCTGATGCTGAACGCGTTGTGCTCAAGCAAGTCTGCAAGAAACGGCGACTGGCTGCGCTGCCACACGCGATTGCTACAGAGCCCGACGCGACCGACCCAAACCCGCCTTCATTGGAGACAGAAACGCGGTTTTTGCTCACAATACTGGCGCCTCTACAAACGCGTCCGAGAAGGGTGCCTCCGCTGCAGCGCCTGGCTATGGGATGGTGGCCAAGACCTTGAGCAGCGAGCAGCTCGCTGAAATTGGGTGCAGCGGCTTTAGTGAAGTTCCCTGGGATGGAGAGTACGTGCTATAAGTTTCTATTTGCCTCAGCTAATGATTATTAGAAAAACGATACCGCTTCTGGACTCTGAAGGCCGAGTCTATGGCCTTCTCGGTGGCAAACCCCGTGACCGTGGCTGGGACGACCTATGCAAACGCGCCAACGCCGAGGTTGAGCGCCAACATAAAGAGCTCAACGTCTCTGACGAAAAGCGAGAGCACCGCCGGGCTGCTCGTCCCTTTGCAGCCGTAGCGCGTAGGGTTTCCCACGGAGGCGGACAGACCGTGCGTAGCTCCTTCTCCCCTGCAGGTATGTATTATTTTTACCTGACCGTTGACCTACTAATCTGATCCCTTAGCACTTATGGCTCTATGGGCGCCAAAGCTCTACGAATACTACCTAGCCATGCAAACAGCGCTTCTTCTTTGGAAGCCCAGCCTCCGACAGGGCTGGCCATTCAAACGCAGCATCTTTGCTGCATGCACGATCAACTTCAAGACGGCGGTGTCCTGTCGCCACCTTGACTTTGGCAACCTCGCCTAGGGCTGGTGCGCCATTACGGCTATGGGGAAGTTCAACCCGAACCTTGGCGGACATCTCATTCTCTGGGAGATGCGGCTGGTTATCCGCTTCCCTCCTGGCTCCACCATCCTCATTCCCTCTGCCGCCATCCACCACTCGAATCTCCCCATCCAAGCCAACGAGACACGCAGCTCGTTCATTCAGTATACCGCAGGGGGTCTATTCCGATGGGTGGACAACGGCTGTTGGTCCAACGAGGAGTTTGAAAGGGCTGCGTCCCGCAAAGAGAAGGCCGTGCGGGATGCTCGGACTGCTAACCGTTGGGAGGTTGGATTACAGATGTACGATTGTATATAGTAATGTACTTATTCCACTGTCGTTAGTGCTCTGCCCGGGTTCTGCCCTCCTTTCAAAAACATGTGACCACTAGGACAAAATGCGGGCAGCCATCAAACTGCCTGCTCCTCTACCTCCCTCCCTTTTGTTCATTGGGTATTGGATGCAGAACTGCGAGAGCTGGTATCAATCACATCTATACAAAGCTAAACAGGTCAACATCAAGTTGAAAAACCACGGGAAGTGGAGAAAGGATATACGGTTTGGCAGTACTACACCGCACATCTATGACCATCATAGACAATTTAGTATAGAGTATCTTAGATCACAGCGCTGGGTAATACAAATATAGAAGCTATGTAATATACTGCTGTACCAGACATCTATTAAAGTTACTTGCTCTTATCTGGTTGGTAGCACTGGTCCCCGTTCGTCATGTGATTGAGGTCAGTCTCTTGTGCTTAGAAGAGGCCAGGCAGGGCAATATTAATTTGATGGGTGCCCGGATTCTGCCCTACTTTCGAAAACACGTGACCACTAGGATGAAATCAGGGCAGTTACCCACTTCCTCCTCCTCCTTCCTGTCTTTCTCATTCTCTTTTCTTTAGTTTTGGAATGGATGCTAGAGCTCATCTTCAAGTACCGAATTCGTGTACCGCTGTTTATTTCCTTCTCACTGTCGACACTCCAATTGTTTCTACTGTCGGCTCCAATCAAATCGTTGCATTTTTACATTGACAAGACGGATCTTGAGCATGTTCAGAAGAGCTCGTTCATGGAATGGGTGTATGTTAACCCAAATATTCGTATTCATGGGGTCTTGCACAATTGGGACTACAAGGGCCCAGTCATCACCCGCTCACATCCTCCGGTTATCCCAGGGAGTGGACAAAAGCCTGATGAAACCTACATCGAGTTTTTCGCTCGTAGAGAGAAGAAGAACCAGCGGACTTTAGCGTCTCAGCAGAAAAACGCCAAAAACGTCAAGGCAATACAGAGCCGAATTGATCGCGAGAAGGCAGCATTGAAGGCTATAGACCCTCCCAAGAAGGGCCAGGTGTTTGTATGGGAAGACACGGACGATGATAAATTCTTCATTCGTAAACCTCTAACTCGTGGCGAAGCGAGTGATATTTGGTACGATTTCCATCCCAAGCAACGTCGATACGATACATTCTGACAAGAGTGGGATCTATGTGAGCCTTTGGCTCCGACTGAAGTCTCCCCTCGCTATCTAGACGAGCTTGAAGATGACCTCAATGACCCCAACCATAGCGTCTTCTTCCCCCCCACTACTGCTCTGAAGCCAGATGAAAGACAAAGTCTCCCACCTCTTCCCGAGCTTCCTCAGCATATCCGTGATATCTTTGCAGAGCCAGCAAAAGCTTTTGAGAATATCACAGAGTATTACAGCAAGAATGGTGGACATGAAGAAGACATACCCGAGTATGATAATGCCATACACAAGCAGGAAGAATTCCCTGGGGCCCCTGTTAATGATCACTAACCGCTTCTTCCCTGGTTTGGTCTGATAGAGTCATCCACAGCTATCGGAGATTTGCTTGACGTGAACAAGTCTCTCAAGGCTCTTGGAGATGACACCGCCAAACCTCCAAAAGACAATGCCAGGGCTCTCTTATATATGCCCTTCTAAAGGCTGAGTCATTGCAAGATGTTCCCGAATCATTATATGACCTTCGCAATCCCGACTCCGATGTCTGGCCCGGACGTGGAATCAATGTCAAGTATATACGACAAACCGATTGCCCGAGATATGAGCAAGACGTTTTTTGTTCTCGAACCGTACAAGCAAGGGTCGAAGAGCATTCACAAAATTGTTGTTTTTGATGCTGTGATTGTCACCTTTGTCTTGCGAACTGGTTCAAATGACATCGAGGATATCATTGGTTGTTTGGTGGAGCTCGGAGTACAATTCCACCTTGCTGTTGAAGGATACGCTCCACGATACTGGTACCCTCCTCGCCCATTCGTGCAGAGTTTGGGTTCTCGCAAGGAAGACTATCGGCCTCATCCAGTTGAATTCGATCATTATGAACACCGACGCAACGACTTTCTACGTTCTCCTCGGGGTATGCTTGCTCTCTACCGAGGTGGGATCATTGCCCGCATTGCGCGTCAGATATTAGAATATCCCGAATCGATGGTGATGTCTGATGGTGTTGATATCCAGTCTGCAGATGCACGAATCTGTCTTCCAGATAGTGATCATGCTCTGTACTACCATTGCCTAACACCGGAAGAAGAAGACCTGATTTGTGGAACATATTGGATTGAAATGGGTTTGTTTTCTATTTTGCTTGACAGCTACAACATATTGACTTGTGTTTATAGAGCAACAAGATCGCATAACCGGAAAGCACCAAGCCAAGTTTGTGTCGTGGTGGCCCTTACCTGGTGCATTCTCAACGTGTGGTTTGAATATTGGATACTGGACACGGAATTGTGAATCATGGTATCAGCAACAGATCCACAACGCAAAGCAAGGAAAGGCACTCTTGAGGAATTCTGGGGGGTGGACACAGGACATTCGGTTTGTTAGAGCACCACTTCAGATCTATCGGAAGCAGAAGGAGTTTGCGTTAAAAGTACTTGATATCTCAGCAGTGGGTAGCACAATAGTAAAAGAATTATTGTACATACTAAGAAATACATTACCTCTGTCGTAGCGACAGACCCCGTTAGTCATGTGATTCCGCACACTGTAAGGGCAACCCTGGAGACTCCGACGAAAGCCTAGCAGGGAAGGATCCAAAGAGTGAATAAGACTACAGGAAATACACGAAGGGACCGACCTAGCAGGGGAGGATCCAAAGAGAAGAAACTCTAAGGGTCCGCCTGCTAGGGCGCCAACTATATACTGGTCGTCCGTAACTGCCGACGTAGAGTGCAGAAGGCCTGAGCGGCGTCGCAGGCTCTGTCCCAAGGTGATCGTTGGGAGGGTCTTGACGGATCGGTGATTGTGCGGGGCGAGGAGGCCGTGGACGATGGTCGGGGTGGGTCGGAGCGTCCGAGGGGGCGCCGGTCGGATGCGCCTCGGATGCGTTCGGGGTCCGAAGGAGGCCGAAGCGGGGGTTCCCCTGACATCACCCCCCTTTGAATGCGGCGTCCCGGCGTATAATACGGAAGAGCAGCGAGTCGAAGGTTGCTGAGGCGATGTGCCGTGGTTTACCCGGTATCTCCGATAGAAGTCCGCAATCTTGTCTGGCGCAAAGACACGGTCGAACCGGACCCACGAGTCGTGTGAAGCATTGTAGCCTTTCCACCTGACGAAATAGTTAAGACGCTTATACCTTATCCTGGCATCCAAGATTTCCTCGACTTCCCATTCGGGAACTCCGTCCTCTAGTTCGGGGGCGGTTCGTCGTAAGCCGGGTCGTCCATCGAAGGGGTCGTCCTGAGCAGGCTTGAGCTTAACAACGGGGAAGACAGGGTGGAGCTTGGAGTAACGGGGGGGGTCGAGCTTGTAGGCACCTTTGCTAACCTCTGCGAGCACCTTGAACGGTCCAAGGCGCTTGTGGGAGAACTTCTCGGAGGGCCAAGTCGTTCTAATGTCAGAGGCGTCCAACCAAACCTTATCACCAACTTGAATATTCGGAGCGTCCGAACGTTTCCGATCGTAGTACCGTTTATACTCGTCTTTGGCTTTAACGAGGCGGCCTTTGCCTCGGAGACGCCGTTTGCTATCCGATCGCGAAACTCGTTCACCGACTCCAACTCTGAGCGGGCGCCTGGCTCGAAACCCATTCGGGAGGCCGACCAGTGTCAGTCATAAAGGGTACCTGTTGAGTGGAGGAGTGAACGTGGTTGTTATAGGCGAACTCAGCGGCAGGGATAAGCTCGTCCCCAGTCGTCTTGTTGGTAGTTGGTGAAGATCCGGATGTACTGCTCGAGCTCTTGGTTAACGCGCTCGGTTTGTCCGTCGGTTTGCGGGTGGTAAGCCGTGGAGGTAGCCGGTTTGACGCCAATTACGCGCCAGAGTTCGCGCGTGGAGTCAGCAATGAACTGCGAGCCACGGTCCGAAATGTACTTCTCGGGGGTTCCGTGGTGCCTCCAGACGTTCCGATAGTACAAGCGGGCAGCTCCGACCCGTCTTATGTTGTATGGCACTCAGTGAAGTGGGCACGCTTCCCGGGGGGCGGCCAACCACTACCATAACCGCGTCATACCCATGGGCCTCGGGCAGCCTCGACAATGAAGTCTACAGTGACAGTGTGCCAACGTTCAGGCGGGACTTCAGTCGGATGCAGCTCTCCATGCGGAAGCCTTCGGAGGGCCTTTGTGCGGCAGCATAAGTCGCAGGTCGCGACGTAGCGTCCGATATGGCGAGACATCTGCGGCCACCAGTAGTTGCGCGAAACCAACTCTAAGGTCTTGAACCGCCCGGGCGTGTCCGGCGACTCGCGTATCGTGGCAGAGCTCGATGATGCGCCTCCTTAGGTCCTTGTCTTTGGGGACTACAACCTTGCCCCTTGCCGCGGAAGTACAGGAGGTCGCCGGAGGCGGCCCACTCGTCCGAACGTGATGAGCGGGGGCCCCGAACTTGACCTCGGACCTTCAAGAGTTGCCGGGCCGCAAGCGCGACGGGCTCCTCTAGGTCAGGCTCACCGGATAGTGCTTCCTTGATGTCGCGGACAAGTTCGGAGCCAGGCCCAGAGACGGTGACG